ATCGAAGTAGCAGCTTATCGAAGTTCCACTGTAGTTAAAAAGAAGATCCGCTGATCTTGTAGCAAAAAATTCAACACACAGTGGATTACATTTTATTAGATAAATTTTATAAATATAAAACCAAAAATTTTCATTTTAGATAGCATAACTGAAGCCTTAATTTAATCCCGTCCATAAGTGTAGCAAACCTCATGCATTAAATTTTGTAGACATTAAATTCAGATGCAATACGTTTCTGGTTGTCTTAAGTAAAACTTTGTGTTTCGGAAAGCAAGCCTATCAGTACTAGTTAAACTATCGAATACAACAGACGTGAAAAACGTGACCGTAAAATATTTAATTAGCTTATTGTATAAATATTTCTTTGCTGATAATTTGCTGTCATGTGAAATATGATACAAAAGTTAAAAATAACATTTTATAAAGTTTCTGAAAGTTTCTGTAAAGTTCTTTGACACATCCAACTGGGGTTATTCAATTAATTTTATAAATTCTTCTTGTGTTAAGAAAAAGTATCAAAAGCAAAATCATTTTAAAACTTTTAATTTGAAAGTTACATCAAAGTCAGTCGACAAATTTTAAACATTAAGACAAAATATTGACAAAAAAAAACATTTACGAGCTTACACACTCTGGAAAAACGCATAATTTCATAATATTTTTATAATTTTCAAAAAGAAGGAAAACCTCGGAAAATATTTATTTATAATTTTAGTTGAATTTCCAAAACTCAGGGTCAGTTTACAAAATATTTAAATGTTGTCTTGCGACCATAACCAGTCTTAAATATTATACATATATTTCTCTCATTGTAAAATGTCTGATTTTAGTGACTTAAAGGCAATGAAATTCAAAAGGGAGAAAAAGATGAACAATTTTATTTCGCTGGTTTCATCGTTTGTACTAAACATAAATATCAGCAAATATTTTTTTGCTTACTCATAAACACTTCCCAGAAATGAAACAAAGTGAACTTGAATTATTTATAACACGTGAATTATCATTCAGTCAGTGTCTTCGGTTAATAATTAAAACAATTAAAAGTTTAGTAACATTTACTAGATTCATAATTAATTTCTTAATGTTTGTATTGCTTTATCAAGCACTTTGCTACTTATCTTTTCCGGATTTTGAATTGTCTTACACTATTAACTGCATAATTTTATATCATTGAAGCTAACAGTGAGATTGAATGTGATTCTTCTTATTTCTTTTCGAAATATTTGCGGTGTTATATGAATACTTATTATTGCAATCTTCTAATTGGTCATTTAACACGCTTTCAACTTATCGTTACGATAGCAATTTTATATGATAAATAGTTTTATAATAACACAATCAAAAGCAGGTCATCAAAGAAGAAAACCTTTTAAAATAATTATAGTTTATAGTAAAATCATCTTGAAAGCTAAAAGTATTAATTAACTTAACTTTAAGTTTTGGAAAATTCATTTCGTCATCAATATTTACTTGCGTTTTGAAGTTACTGGAATGATTATTGTTATAATTTAATAAATACATTCACTAAATGTATCAGTTTTTAAACATCTAGTAATGTTAAAAGAAGCCTTGACAATACTCAAAAGGAAAGTAAAAAAGAAGAAAATTTTTTAATGGCTTTTTAATGCACTTTTTGAGACTTGATGAAACGTAGAATGTGTGAGATGAGTTTATTCTCATGCCAAAAGCAATGTTGTAATTAATCTGTCATAAACAAGATGAAATGCTCGATAGGTTCACGTATTGTGAGAGGAAAATGAAATTATCATGATACTGTATTGCAAAATCAAGCCCTGGGATGTATGTTATCAAAAAAAATTTAACGAGCATGAAGAAGTTTTATTTTATCATAAATGCTTGTTACAGCAAGTTAAAGTCTCGTTACTTTATTTAATGTCTCTGTTCTCAACATTTATTGCCTTATGATGCAATAAGAATAACGATCAATGAATTTATAAGAAAAGAAAATTTCCTTCGATCACAGATGATTAATAAGACGTCGTACTGTGGACTTTTTACCACTTCCAATTTTGATAACTTCAAGGGCACTACGAGAGAAAATTCAAGGTCTCCTTCTGATTACGACCGGTTTCCGCTTAATGTGACGAAGTCTTTACATGAAAGACAACAATTCAAAGTGTCGATCGACATTTCTCTGTTGCAACGTTTTCACAGGAAAATTATGCAAGCAAATAATTCCGTCAATAATATCATTTTATTCATAAATAAGAGACAAAAACAAATTGAAAAGTAAATAGTTATTTAAAGTTTATTCTGTTTCAAGGTTGATCATCATTTGGAGTTCACCATTTCGACGTTGAAATTCAGTGAATCGGATGGTCAAAATATTTTTCCTTTCGATTGATTTGAAGTCAACTTTTTTGATTTATTAAAGCAGAACAAGGCAAACCAAAATATTGAACCCACATTGCTCTTGCACGTGATAACATTGCAAATGATTGTCCTATTTAATTGAGAAAAGTAAATGAGGCTCACATTTCATTTTTCTTTTATGCTGTTTAGGAGAAAAACGAGTTTGTGAATGTTCGATCAAAGTGGATATAAATGATAGATTATCAAATTAAGAACACTTTTAACTTAATAAACATTACGTTATAAACATTTTTCATGTTCTCATTCTTGAAATTATGTTAAATAGTTAAATACCCAAGAGATATGTAGTTAAATACCGCTGTAAGCGATTGAATTAAATGAAGAAGAAATTTTTAAATGCTTCGGAAACTTTCCCATTATTTAAGAAACTTTCGACAAGTGCTTGATGTTGTCAATTTATTTCAATGATGTCAATAAAATCTGATAGCGCCAATGACATAATTGCTTAAAATTGCAATTGCATTTCACCGAAAGATAATAATTTAATGAAGTGACGACGGCTATGAAGCGAGAATTTATTAACTTACATATGTGTCATTAAGCATTGCACTTATCAACACTTTTTTGTCTTCTCTCACTTTAGTGACTGACACATTGGTTTCTGTTGCAATTGCTTTTTTTGTGTAGCCTCATCATAAGAGAAATGGAGCCAACAATTTTGAATAATCCTTTGATGTTTACTGAACATTTACTAAGAAATGATGTACATAAAACTGATGACTTGAGTAACGAAACAAAATCTTTGAAGGTGAATACGATTGATCTTTTAGCAATAATTAATTTTAGAAACTAATAAAAATTATTTTAATTCTTTTTCGAAATATTTAGAGAGTTGTGCAGAAAAATAATGAAGTTAGAGATAAAACAGTCACAGAACGTGATTTTCCAGCTGATTTGCCTGGACCTGAGTATAAAATGGAGCTGGTATGGCGTAACATTATAATATTCATTCTTCTGCACATTGGAGCTGTCTATGGTTACTACACACCAAAGCGTTCTTGGAACACCATAATATTTAGTAAGTTTTCCTTATCATAAAGTCATACATTAATTCATCAACTTAATTGGCAGACAATTTATTTCCTGAACTTCATAAAAAGAACAATTCATGTTCTCATTAATGATTCAATGCCTGCATCCAAAGTTTTAATTTATGAATTTAAATGAAAAATATGTAGACTAAAACAATTGTCTTCTCCAATTCCCGACCAAAGAAAAAAAGATAATTTCGAATCATCACTTGATTATTATTAAATTCATTCATAGTTTTTATTAAATTTATATTGAAAAACCAGTATGCGCTCGTTTCAAAAATATTCAGCGTATAAAGAAAACTTTTGTGAGAGATTAAAGAATTCCTTTAATATATAAAAAAGGGAATTTTAATTCGAAGTTTTTAATTATATATCAGAGGTTGAATTGTGTTTGTATGCATACTCAACACAAAAATTCTTAATTTATTTTCATTCGAATATCTAACATTTAAAAATGTATATGCATAATGAGGATAATTTATGATTAAATTTCGGGAAAATTTTTTTTTTTTACTAACACGAACTTACTCAATAAATTTGAAACTAACCAACAGCAACCAGTTTAATCGTTACCATCATCATTAAAGCAAAACTTATGGATACTCATGTCAATAATAAGAGCGTCTTCAGCGAACCTGTTCGTTTACGTAATAATAATTCTAACTTCTTTGTATTTGAAAACGTTTGAATTGATACGTCATCATTTAGTCATCATCATCATCATCATTGATATTGTGATTTTATTTAATCATAAAATGTTAATTTTCCATGTGTAAATATTTATGTTGCAATTTTTAAATTTTCCTTTTAGCTTTGCTATACGGATTCTCTGGTGGCTTTGGGATAACAGCTGGTTCGCATAGATTATTCGCTCATAAAGCTTACAAAGCAAACAAAGCATTAAAAGTTCTGTTGCTTTATTTTCAAACCATTGCTTTTCAAAACAGTGTTTACGAATGGGCACGAGATCATCGGTAAATTTTATTATCGATAATGAATTATCAAACTAATTTTTTTTTCTTCTTAGTGTTCATCACAAGTTCACTGACACGAACGCCGATCCACACAACTCAAGACGAGGTTTCTTCTTTTCACATATCGGATGGCTATTGTGTAAGAAACATCCTGATGTAAAGAAATTCGGAGCAAAGGTCGATATGAGCGATTTGGAAGCTGATCCTCTTATTATGTTTCAACATAAACACTTTTTACGATTAATGGTAGTGATCAGCATAATCATTCCAACTTTAATTCCCTGGCTCTGTTTTGGTGAAACTTTTCGTGCATCTTTCTTTTTGGGTTCAGTATATCGTTATATTGTATCACTTCATATAACATGGCTCATCAATTCAGCAGCACATATGTATGGAATGAAGCCGTTCGATAAGTATATTTCACAAAACATTCTCTTTTCTCAAGGGTAATTAAAAGGTCACCTTGAAATTTTAGAAACATCAGTCCAGCTGATAGCCGTTTGGTTGGGTTCCTTGCTTTTGGTGAAGGATTCCATAATTTTCATGTAAGATATTCACGAAAGAAGAAAAATGACTCTCAGAATGCTGAAAAATATCTTCCTTTTCCGTAGCACGTGTTTCCTTGGGATTATAAAACTTCGGAACTTGGCACATACTATTTTAATTTTACTACCGGCTTTCTCGACTTTTTTGCCCGTATTGGATGGGCAACTGAACTGAAAACCGTTTCAGATGAGTTAATTCGTAAAAGAATTCTAAGAACTGGAGACGGAAGTCATAAATACTCTAAAATTAAATCAAATCAGGAAAGAATGATGGCTTATATTAAAGATCGTACGACTGATGAAAACGGGAATCATGTACACCATGAAGAAGATGCAATATGGGGATGGGATGACCAAGCTTTACCCGAAGAAGATAAAAAATATGTAAAAATCTACAATTAGAATCATTATTTAAATTCTTATCATTAATTATGGGTTCAACTTTGTGTTTAAAACGCATCCAAATTCTATTCTTTTTTTAATTTGTTACGTATTCAGTTTTTTAAAAACGATATTAGACATAAAAAAATAAACAAAAGCTTTAAAAAAAGTTGTCGACAGCTTTTAATGGGGAAAGTTCAAGGTTTTCGTCCCTGTTTTTAATGACTCATGTAAGAAAAGAAATAAAATTCTAATCATGCCTCCAAATACCTACTATTACGGGTGCAAAAGTTGTCTAGTCTAGATCAAAGCCAGCAGAAGTTTCATAAAGAAATTTTGTTCATCTTTATTTTAATACAGTTTCCAAAAACATCATAAAACGTTGTACGAGACTCTCGTCCAGTTCTGACTGTTTTTTAAAGTGTATTCAATTTTTCATTTGCATTTTATATTTTCATAGCGAGAAATTGCATCGAAATAAATAATGCCCACCATCATACAACATGACGAGAGAAGACGAATGAAATGCATTACATTTATTTTCTAATGCATTTTTCATGATTCTACCTCATCATCATCAAATCAAGGATAGCTTTATACAGGAACGAACATCTAATGCCGCAATTGATTTGTGATGATTAATGAGTGCCGACTGTTTTGCATCTACCAAAGTCGTTTCTGCAAAGTAATTTTGGGCTGTTTTTATCATAATTTGGAGTTATAGGTGTTTCATCTTCAACTCCGTTCCGCATAAAGATTCCAAGCAAGAATACTCTTCTCACTGCACTGCGATGGTTTTTAAAAATGACATAAAAGAAATTTTTTTTATTTTCCATTTTCCGGAAGAGTAAATAGGGAAAGAAGAAATTCTTCATAATTTTATTAATTTTCAAGATGTTCATTATTTTGATTTTGACAGTTAAAAGGAAACTAAATAGGTATTTTTATAATTTTTCTACAACGGTGCTACAACAGATGTTACAAACAATTTTTAATGTTCTCTAGTCGGAAGCTCAGAATAATAATTCGATACAAAGAGTCATTTAAGTACTTTTTATTGCAGAGTAAATTTTGTTTAAGACAAAACTGTCCCCCTTGCAAGGGGCGAATTATTTAAACTTCTGGGAACCTCAGAGTTCCGTACATTTATTCTTATATCATTCAGTTCAAAGAAGCATTCAAAAGAGTATAAAAAAGCTAAAATGTTTCATGTAATTTTTAATAAAGAGACTCGCAAGGTAAAACAAATAAAACCTTTAAAATAACTTTTAAACAAGCTGAAATACATTTTTTATAGATAAGATCAAACAATACAAAGCAAAACGAAGACATTCATTCTAAGAAACAAGTCTAAATTAAACACTTAAGTTAAAAATTCTCACATAATTCCTGGTAGGTACGATTAGAACTATAATTCATGTATAAGCTTGCAAAAGAAAATCCTTCAGGCATTCATTGTTTTTTTATTCTTTACGTCATAATTATGAATTTTTGTATCGCATGAAATAAAATATCTAGCAAGAAAAGGAAGCGTTAGTGAAAATGGATGATAAATATTATTTTAAAAGTGTGGATCGGTAAGTCCAGGAAAGTATATAAAAGCATAGTCAGGTTGGATGTATGTGTGACTGTGGGCAGTATTTATCTCGATGCATTTTCTCGCCATGAAAAAATATGCCTTAAAAAGATGGCATTAAAGGCAAATGAAAAGTTGAATAAACCTTTTTAAAACACTCGCTCGGAACTGGTCGAGTCTCTCTTACAACGTTTTATGATGTTTTTTGAAACTATTAAAATAAAGTTGTACCAAATTTTTTTATGAATCTTCTGCTAGACTTGATCTAGACGACTTATATACCCGTTATAGTATGTGGAGGCTTAACATTATCCGAATTTTATTTCTTTTCCTACATGAGTCACTGAAAACAGGAATGAAAACCTTGAATTTTCGCAATTAAAAGCTGCCGATAACTTTTTTTAAAGCTTTTATCGATATTTTTATCGCAGCTTAACTAGACTTGATAAATGAAAAAATGATTTTTTTTTGCTTCTTTCCAAAATGAATTGAATTCATTATATTTTTATCTGTTACATTTTTCAAAAACTGAATACGTGACAAAATAAAAAAACGAACAGAATTTGGATAAAACCAACCATTTTTGATTCTTAATAAGTTTTTTGTTGAGAATCTGTTAATTATGGCTTCAAACTCATGAGACAATCTTTAAAATATAAGGCTGTTAGCTATACAATGTTAGTTGTGAAGCTGATGTCGTTTTTCGAAAGAAAAAACTTGATCAGGATTTGCATAACGCTACACAAAATTGGCGGATGAAAAACGTGCCTTCGTTTAACCTTCCCAAATGAAATAGAGAAAAACGAAACACTTTTGAGAATCCCTCAGTTGATAGCAGGCAGCCTCAGCAGAAAGGTGTGTCAGTGTTTTGTGTCTTTATTAGTTCTCATAAAATAAGTAAGAAAATTTTTACGTGTTTTGTAAAAATAAGAAGAATTTGTGAAAATTCATTTCGTGGAAAATCGTTTAGTGCTAAGAAATTTATTTAAGTTGCTTTAATCTCTGTTGAAAGTTCAAAAGAAAATTGAAGGATATTTTTTAACAAGAAAAGTAAATTGAAATAGAAATCAACAACAAAATTAATCTGACCTGATTGCGTTTTCTTGAAAACAAATTAAATTGTATTAATTTTTGGTGATTTAATCAAAGCTTCTCAATCAGATAACCAATCATAAACTTCTGTTCTGCAATCCCCAAGCTTTATTTAAATTTTAATTTACTTACAAATTTAAATATTTCTTAATATCTTACGAAGTAAAATCTACAATAAAATTGTAAACTATAAAGTTTCTAAATTTAACTTTAAGGAAGGAGTTGAAAAATGCTTAAACAAATACTGAGATATAAAATTATTTAATAGCCATACAACAAACCATCATTAGATCCTTGATTAGCTTGGCCTTGTATCTGGCGTTTAAGGAACCATGAAACTGTGACTATGGATATTTAAATTTATTCTAAGATTCCATTTAAAAATTCATTTTCATAAATTATCTAGGCATGTTTCGTTAACTTAAAATATAAAATATTCGATCTGAAAACTAAAGTTTCATTTATTTACCATATTTAGGAAAAAATTTCTTCAACAAAGTTTTCAGAAAAATTGTAATAGAAAACATTTTGTTTTATTATCACTTTGTTAAAAACTCAATCTGTATCATTGCACAATCGTAAAAAGAATCTGATCAACTAGATTATGCCATTGAAAATCTTGACCTGTCCTAAATTAGGATAAGAGATACATATTAAGATTAAATTATTTAGAATTTGTTAGTAAATATCCAAATTACTTTGTATAGATATCTCTTAGGTAATTAATTCTTTTCAGGCAGACAAAATAAAAAAAAGGAATACATTTTCATAATTAGGTATTAAAATAAAATTCAAGTTTAAATTTCAAAACTTCGTATTTCATATTTTGCGGTGCTTAAAATGAGAAATTAATAATAAAATGTTCCGTTAAATAAATATCTACGTTGCTAAAAATGTAAAATAATTCTGAGGATTTTACATATCTAATAAAACAAGTAGAGATAATATCTTTGGTCTTCATTTTTTCAAAATAATGATAACTCGTGAGAAGAACATGAGGACTCTTGTAAATAGTTAATAAATCACTTCTTTTAAGGTTGGATAAAAAATTTATGTTTAATTAATATTTTGTAGATTAATCTTTTTCTAAAATTCAAAAGAAATTCATCAGGTTTCGATGTTTTAAGTTTATTTTAAAAAATCTGTCTAGCAGGAACATCTTTGAACGTTTTTTTGATGATAAATTTATTTGAATATTTTAGAAAAACCATTGCTATGTCGCCCAATAATTTTGTGGTAACAGAAACAGAAACAGAAACGGCAACTGAAAAGGTTGATAGTGATTTAAAAAATCTTTCAATTGTCTTCAATGTGAGTTTATTTTTCTAAAATTATAATTATTGCACGAACATTTTGATTGTGACGCATAATAAAAATTGCAGAGAAAATCCAAAAACGTATTAAATAAGAAGGAAATGCCTAAGGATATAAATGGAAACATTTTAGGAGGAACAGAAAACAAAGTGTCGTCAGAATATAAAATAGAACCAGCTTGGTTTAACATTTTTGGATTCATATACCTTCATTTTACTCTTTGTACAGCACCTTTTCATATGGGATTGAATAAAACCTTTCTTTTTGGTTTGAAAATTATTTATAATGATTACTTTGAATACTATAAAACATCGTCTACTTTACAGCATTAATAATTGGACTTGGAAGTGGATTTGGAATTACTGCTGGGGCACATCGATTATGGGCACATGGGGCTTATAAAGCCAACAAAAAGTTGAAAGTATTTCTGTTGATATTGCAGACACTTGCATTCCAAAACAGTGTTATCGAATGGGTTCGTGATCATCGAGTTCATCATAAATTTACTGACACAAATGCTGATCCACATAATGCAAGTCGGGGATTCTTCTTTTCACATATGGGCTGGTTAATGTGCAAAAAACATCCGGACGTTAAAAAATTTGGAGCGAAAGTAAACATGACGGATTTAACTTCAGATCCAATGCTCAGATTTCAGCATAAGTAAATTTAATAATATTTTAAATTTGATTACATAATAATTGCGTAATTTCCACAGATATTTTCTTATTCTGATGCCATTGATATGTTTTGTGTTACCAGCAACTATACCGTGGTATTTCTGGGGTGAGAATTTCTACTCAGCATACGTCGTTGCCGGTGTATTACGTTACGTTGTTGTGTAAGTTGGAGAGGATCATTAAAATTATTCTTGAATTTATTTTCAAATATTTAATGATTCAATTCACCTTAACAGTTTGCACATAACATGGCTTATTAATTCGGCAGCGCATATGTTTGGTGACAAGCCTTATGATCGTTACATTCGACCCGTTGATACTTATTGGGTGTCGTTTGTAGCATTTGGAGAAGGTAATTAGGACATTACACGCACAATTATTTCAACTAAATATTTATTCGATATCTTTCATTCCCTATTAAACACAAAAGGTTTCCACAATTATCATGTAAGTTTGGCAAATTAATAAAAATAGATTTTCGCATATTTCAATATATTTTTAATGTTGTTATTCAAATAGCATGTATTCCCATGGGATTACAAAACATCTGAATTTGGCCTGTATTGGTGTAATTTCACAAATGGGTTTTTAGATTTTTTCGCATTGTTGGGTGAGTAAAATTTTCACAAGTTTTTTAAGAATTTCATTAAAAAATTAAATTTATTAAGGTTGGGCTACTGATTTGAAAACTGTGTCACAAGAAATGATTTATAAGAGAGCTCTTAGAACTGGAGATGGTTCTCATCATGAAGCAAATGAACATGCAGTACTGCTGGAAAGCAATGTAAATTCAAAAGAATGTGATCGAGACGTTGAACATTTTTGGGGTTGGAATGATGAGCTTTTAACGGAGGAAGATAAGAACGTTGTGACTATAATCAATAAAACAGAGCCTTAAGTTGTTAGCTGAAAGAACGAAAGTTTCTATAAAGGAAAATATGTATTTAAACTTTTTGTGTCAGAAAAGTTGTGAAGCAGACGTAAGAAAAGAAATGCATAAATTGTAATTTAATGAGTAAAATTATATATTGTTCCTAACTTTGGAATAATAAAATTTAAAAAAATCAAATAAATCTTCAATACATTTCATTTTAAGAATTCTACAAATATTAAACTGACCACAAAATTATCCTCCGACTCATTGGTTTTAAGATTTCATTTCCATGAATTTTAAAACAATTTGATTGATAAATATTTATTGAGTAGAACATAACTCTATCAACCATAGTTTGAATCAAGTTCCGATGATGATAGCCTTGCTATCAAAATAGCTATCAAAACAGTAAATATTTTAAAAGTGAAAAAATCCTTTTGATTTTCAAACCTATTCATCTATTTTAATGCGTATGCTTAATGTGATCTCGAAATTTTAAATTATTCGATTTAATTATTTGTAGGTAGGATGAGGTAAGATTTCCATCAAATGATTAATAACACCTGCTTTGCGAATAAGAAAATGAATACATTTTCATAATTAGTAAAATAAAGTTCAAGTTTATACTTCAGAGTTAAAACTTAAAGTTTCTTAATAAACTGAAATGTATTGAAAATGAAATTGTATAACAAGTTTCGTTTAAGATTTGCGTCGTTAAAAATTGTAGATCTATTCTAAGGTTTTCACTTAATTATGACAGATATTTGGAGATTAAAAGCTTTTGAATAGATAAAAAAAGCAAATCAATAAATAAACATTCAAATGGTTTAAAATTCTAAACTAAATTTGATAGATACGCGACAAAAATTGTCTAATACACTCGAATAATGTTAAAAAATTAAAACGAATTTTAAAATAGTTTAAATTTCTAATTAAACTCGTTTTCATTTTGAGACGCGATTGCATGAAATTTTCTTATGTTTTCTCATGTAGAACACATGACATTAATTTTAATATGAAATCCATGGATTATTCAATTTTAATCACGTCTCGAATATTCAATGAATTTCTGGAATGATAACAAGTTAAATATCCTTGAATTATCATTGAGTTCTTCAAGACGTCAGACGTTATTTTCTGATGAGAGAATAAATCTTGATGTCACTGCTTCAAACTGGATACAATATGTGAAGAATCTTAAAACAAACAGGATTCAAATAAAAAAGCAAGTTAGTTTTCTTAGTTCTTTTAATCATATTTTAAAGAACATTGAGGAAATGCATAACAAAACGAAGGTTCTTACGATCTCATTCAGCATAGTTATGCTTTATAATAAAACACATGCGAAGTTCAACATCATCAAATTCATCAATACTTGTATCTTCTCTGCATTCACTTCATATTTAAAATCAAATCGTTTACGAAGCATCATTATTGATGTCATCAAATGCTATTCCAAAATTTTTCAATTTTAACAGGAATATTTGAATATTTATAAAAATGTATTTAAAATACAATCATGAGAAAGAAAAAGAAATCTCAGTTCAGTTTTGTGAATTTGAGTAGCATTTTGAGAAGACATAACATTGAATGAATTTCTGTTTCAAAAGTCTTGGCCCAGTACTTGATGCTAAACCTTCATTTGAAGATCATATGAAGAGTATTTTTAATAAGTGCATTGCAATAATCTTTTGCTATTCATTGATGCATCATTTTCTTCGTCTGTTGTAAAGTTTTCTTAAAAATTGCTTTACGTATTCTGCACACACCTGAGTTAATGTTAATTTTTTTATGGCGCGTGATTTCAAGTCACAACATAAATCTTCATTCCTTTTTTTTTGACACATTCAGACGTTCATCCCAATAGATATTAAATTTGAAAATTCTTAAACCATTTTAAGCAAAAATATTTGCCTCTTCGTTTCAAGTTTGCTGACATTGCAGCTGACAAAAAAAGTTGAGCAATTTTTTCATTAACAAAGACAAATTTTCAGCAAAATTCAAACAACAAGTTTCATAATTTTCCTATATTAAAATTCAATATTTACTAAGTTGCAAGAATCTCAGTTCGTACTGCTTATTGAAGAGAGAATTGCTCAGTTTACTTAAAACTTTGATGACAATAAGTCACAAAAAAATAATTATTAGATTGTAACATTTTTCTTACCTTAAAATTAATTCAATTAGAGCACCTCATAAAACAGTGTGAATTAATTATTCTAAATTTTAGTTTAATTTTAAATCAGAAAAGGTTTTTAAAATTTTGGACAAGAAAATATTGGTAGATAATGAATTAAAATAAAATTAACTAACTAAACGAATATAGACACGAAACACTTTTATACTTTTCACTTTTTCATTTAATTTACCTTTAAATAGCTATTTTCGACAGCGATGCTGTCATCTTCAGAACGATTCGATCTACACTGAAGCAATTGTTCAGTGTTCGTCAATTGTTAAGTGCGAACTAGAAAAAGTCTTAAAAAAACATAAAATTTGCACATATTACACCAGCAAAGGAAATTTAAAAGATTTGCTTGGAGGTTCAAAAGATAAAATTCCAATGAAAGAGAAATCAGGAATATATGAAATTTTATGCGGAGACTGTCAGAGCAAATACATAGGAAAAACATATAGAAGGTTCAGTGATAGATTTGATGAGCACGATAGAGCAATGAGACAAGGAGAAGGATTTAAATCTGCAATGGCACAACACTGCATTGACGAGAGACACAAATTTGGAGGCGCAAAACTCATCAAAGAAGTGAGAAAGGTGACACAATTGGACGCCTGGGAGAGCCTGTTTATTCACAATGGAATAAACTTGGTCAACATTGACGAACCTTTGATAAGGTCAAACCTTTTTAAGTTCGCACTTAACAATTGACGAACACTGAACAATTGCTTCAGTGTAGATCGAATCGTTCTGAAGATGACAGCATCGCTGTCGAAAATAGCTATTTAAGGTAAATTAAATGAAAANNNNATTTAATATGTAGATGAAACGCGACCAGCGACAAGTTTTTTTTATTCTTCTATTCTTTCACTTGTTACCTACTTTGAAGACTTTAAGAATCAGATTAGAAAGAGAAAAGATTTAAAAGCTTCGCTTATGACGTCATTAGTGGTACCAATGTCTGGAACTTTTTATTTCAAATTTACGGTCAAAATCAACATAAAAACGAAAAGAAAAGTTAAGAAATGATGCGCTAGCGACGTCATTGCTTTAAATTTTATACGTTCGTGAATTTTGTAACTGTGTGGCGATGGGAATAAAAACAACTTAAAAATCAGCATACAATTGAAACTACAAGTGGAAGTTGCGACTGAATTTTATTGGATGTTATGAGATTCTCAAATTTTGTAAGCTTTTTAAGAAATTTATTTGAATGCGCATTTTATAAGTTAACATACAACATTTTGAGTTTTTGCTTTGCGCTTCATTATAAATCTTATAAAAGGATTTTGATAGCATTTGATCAGTGAAGTTAATGAACTTGATTAAAACTCATTTGATGAGCATAAATTAACATTTACGTTACAAGCTATTAATGTTATCTATAACGCTGTCTCATATATTTATTCAAATATCAAATCGAGTGTGGCAATAAGAATGAATAATTTTTCATCAGACTTTTCCTTTGATACTTTTTAATGCGATTTTTTCTTATATGCTACGACGTGCTTTTTGTCAGATTTATAATACAGGTTTCATCCCCAGTTTCAAGTTTAAGATTTGAACTTCATGGCTTTAACGATATGCTGTCTTTGAAAACGAGTTCCACCATCAAAAAATTATTTTTCTTTCACACAATCGCTTTTTCATCCTCGATCTCGAAAACTTTTGGTTCAGTATATTTTTGAGCTTTGAGGCATCAAGGTGGTTATGCCACTATCTCAACTTATAAATTTGATACTTGAAAGTGTGAAAAAACATTTAAATTATTTCAGTTTTAAAAGTGACATCAATTTATAAAAAAAAAAATAGTGTAACATATTTAAGCATCTTGTGAACAGCAAAAAATTTGTCGTCAAGGTAGGATCGTCGTAAAAATTTTTCTGTTTCTCATCAAAATTCTAGTCAAGCATTGTTCGAGCTTTATAAATATTTTCAAAACGCGTCTGAGAATTTAGTTTTTTAGAAATGACGTAAATATTGGGAAGTTAACTGATCAGTTTTTATTTGAGTTTGAATGATGAAATGTGTTGAGTAATTGAAAAAACTTTCTTCAATTTACGGAACAATAGAAAGAGAAACGTGAAGTGATAATTTATCTACATGAATGAAAAAGAAATTTAAACATTTTAACTTGTTAAACGACAATTCGATACTAAGTTGATATTTATTTAAACTACTTTTACTGATAAATTTAATTCACGAATTTATTATCTGAAGATGCTAGAAAAACCTTCTGTATTGTCCTTCAATTTCAAACAATAGCCTTCCCATGACAGCTGGTGACGAATTTTCCTAACGTGGTTATAAATAATCCTGTTTAACTGGATATTTTTGTTGAGTTATCATGACTTGACAAAGTTTTTTTCTGATGATTATTATTATTGTTATATGCTTTCTGGTTCAAAGATTAACTAAGTTGAAAAGAATCTTCTTTAGTTCCGAGAATCTTTTATAATAAATTTGGTTTTGGCAAATTTAAAAATAAAAAAAAACAAAACATCGACAGGGTTATAAAATCAGACATCATATACAAAATTTATAATTTCCGAGTCTTTGATTAAATATTATTATTGCATCTTCTTTGATTAAAAACCAGGAATGGCACCAAATCAAGTCGGAATGGTTGAAAAAACAACAAATAACGAGAGTGAAAACGGAAATCTTCTGAATAGGTCAAACAAAATCATAGTAAGCTTAAAACTTCAATTGTCGAAAATGATTACATAAATGTTTTGAATGTATACACAGAAAGACCGACCAAATGCTCTTCCCTATGATACAAAGCCTGGTGAAAAGCCATACAAATTAGAAATCGTTTGGCGCAACGTCATCGCTTTTATCTATTTACATGGCGCAGCCGCTTACGCAGTATATGCGTTGCCTCTGAGAGCGTCAACATGGTGGACCGGTAAGATGACATGATATAATTTATTTACCAATTAGATTAAAAGTGTTACATTTCAATACATCAGCATTTTTCTTTGCAATCATCGGATCTTTCGGAATATCTTCTGGTGCACACCGTCTATGGGCACACAAATGTTACAAAGCAAATCTGCCGATGAAAATTATGCTTTTATACTTTCAAACAATTGCTTTCCAAAATTGTGTCATCGAATGGGTTCGTGATCATCGAGTTCATCATAAATATAGTGACACAAATGCTGATCCACATAATGCAAGTCGGGGATTCTTCTTTTCACATATGGGCTGGTTAATGTGCAAAAAACATCCGGACGTTAAGAAATATGGCGCAAAAGTTGATATGACAGATTTAGAATCTGATCCAATGCTCAGATTCCAACAAAAGTAAGTTTAATATAATTTAATTAAAAATCAAAGTTATTGTTAATCACTTTTTCTAATTTCTCAGGTATTATTTAATCTTAATGCCTATCTGCAGCTTTGTTATTCCGATGATGGTGATGCATTACTGTTTTGGAGAAGAGTGGAGACTAACATATTATTGGAACTTATTCCGTTATGTAGTAACGCTTCACATTACTTGGTCAATTAATTCAGTTTCTCATATATGGGGAAGCAAACCATTTGAGAAGTAAGATTAAAGGCATTTGTCTCTAAACTCATTCAAAAATTCTTTTCTTCTTTCTATCTTAGAGATATTGCACCTACCGACACATACATTATTGGATTTTTAGCGTTTGGAGAAGGTGACAATTTTTTAACATTTTTGTATCAACTGTAATTAACTAACTTTTCTTTTATGTAATAATTAGGTTGGCACAATTATCACGTAAGTTGATTGACAAATCATGTTCTTTGATATGATTTAATGATAATTTTCTTACTTAAATGTTTAGCATGTTTATCCATGGGATTACAAAGTATCAGAACTTCCTCGGTATTGGTGCAACTTCTCCATTGGATTTCTTGATTTCTTCGCATGGCTTGGATGGGCAACAGATTTGAAGACAGTTTCTGATGAAATGATACGTAAACGCGTTTTAAGAACTGGCGATGGTAGTCACAGATATGCGATAGAGGCCAAGACAGCCAAAGAATTGGTTGAAACTTACAACAATAATAACAATAACAATGATCCGCATGAACATGTGGATACATTATGGGGTTGGGGTAAGTTTCAAAGTTAATTTAATTTTTGTAATTGAGAAAATATTCCAAACTTATTGTTAATATTAAAAGGTGATGACGACATGGATTCAGACGAAAAGAAAGACGTCAAGATATTGCATCCAAAATACGGCTTATAAAACCTAATTAAGTATACATAAATTATATATTCAACTTAAGTTATAATTTGAGGAAATTCAATCATTTAGAAACTTTTCACAAACTTCCGTGTTTCTTTTTATTTAAAGTCACAAAGATGTCTCCTATTGTAAAAGCTTGTACAGTGAACTCTCTATTGTTAGTTTACTTAAGTGATTAATTTTAATGAGTTCAATATAAATTGAATTAATAATAGTTAAGTTCATGTGCACTGGATGGAAGACTTTCATTCAAAATTGATGTTTTCTGATCGCGTCAGTAATTTCTTTAGTGAGAAAAATTCTCTACTGTATTGAGGATGAAATAAAAACTAACATTCAAAAATCTAAAACGAGTTTTATAAAACCTTCTAATTTATATACGAAAGCAAAATATTGATAGTCTAGTGATGTCTCTGATGGCTCAACATTTTATTTGATTTTTGAAAATGTGAAACGATAGCAACGACATTTTATACTTACTAATGAGATCTTCTTCTTGTCCATGTCTCTGATTTTACTTATCTCATTTACTTACTCTATGTCTCAGGAAGTTATCTAAGTAAAAAGATGAATGAATGATTAACAAGATATTTTTCTTTTATTCTTCAAAACTAAATGTCAACCTAATACAAAATTTTATGAATAAAAATATTTCATTCTGTTTTAAATATAATTTGTTTGTATAACTATGAAACTATTTTTAGTATTAAAATGTCAAAACTTAAATAACATTTGACTCTAACTTATACTGTAAGCAGTGAGATTCAAATAAAAGAATATTTGGAGCAGATGAAATTATTTTCTATTCCTATAACCTGGATTGAAGTAAACGGTCTGTTGCATCTCTTTTTCAAGAGCATTCTGTCGTGCTAAATATAAAATCGCCGCTACGAGTGAAAACGTGTTGACAACAGTGGTGAAGGCGGTTGCGATTTTAAGCACAGGAATCAGCATAGGAAGGAAACCAGCAAAAATCATTGCAGGGATAAGAACAAGTGGAATGCCAATCTGCAGATATTGATCCCTTTTCTTCATTGCAATCTTTTCATGCTCTGTTGGGACTTTCATATTAGGACTTCCTGTGTCTTCGATTTTAATTTCGTTTGTCTTATCACTTTGTTCTTCAATATCTTCTTCATAAGTGAGCGGTGAATCTCTTCCAGTAAAATCGCTTTCTGTAAACTTTTTGAGTGAAAACTCCAAGTCATTGGTTTTACTAGGAACAATCTTTACTAACACATTAGGAATAAACTTCAACATGATCGGTCTGTGTTTAAAATATTTTTGAAAACCATCAGTTAAGCGTTGGTTCAGTTCCTTTTCGTTGAGATTCAGTAGACTCTCAGGGATATCTTGAGGCATGTTGCCTTCTTCCTTCAAAATATTTCCAAGAAACTCTGAAGTGTCGTTGTCACTTTTCACATCCTGAAAATCTCCTGATTCAAGTCTTAATAGAACAAAATATTTAAGACATCTCAAGAGATTGAATTTTTGTATGCAACGATATATTTGCGTTGGAAGTGAAGCCTTAACATAGGCAACTGTGCTGTCTTTAAGTTCTTCACTTCTAGATGGTACCACAAGTAAAATTATCACAAAACTACAAAATATCAACGAGCTTTTCATTTTGATCTTCACTAAACTATTTTTTGTTTCAAAAACGAAATAAATCTTTTTCCTCAATAAACAGATTTAGTTTCTGCGATCTTGATTGAATGAAAGCAAGTCAGATACTAAATAATCTGAATGTGCAATGTCTTCAACAAAAGAAGAAAATGATTTTTTCTCTTCAGAAAATTCCGTAAGATTTACTCACAATTTCTCTCGTACATCTTCTGGAGAATGCATTTCAAACAAGATTTTAAAAATGTGAAGATATTCTAACTGCTACTTAACATTGCAATGTTCAATTTGAGGTTTCAATTCAGCTTATTACATTCTCAAGCCAATTCTTGTCTTATTTGATTTAAAATTCTTCATAACAAAAATTGCAAATTCTCTTAAATGCATAAAAACTTTTAACTTGCGATTGAAAAGTGAAAAAGAAAGCGAAACTGCAATCATTTCACTAAAGCTATAAATTTCCTAAACTTAATTAATGTTCTTGATTTAATGGCATAATTACTTGTTTCAAATTGTTCTCAATCTGTTCAATGCTATAAAGTCCGCGGTAATAAAGTTGGTTGAGAAGAATCTTTCACTTATCTACAAGTTGTAATAATTTAATGTTTCTATTTCAACATGTATGTTCAAGGAATGAAAATTTATTGAGTAATAATTTGCTCTAAATAATCTTGAAAGACGTCTAGTCTGAGATGTATTCACAACATTTCTCTTTTTTTTCGAATAAATTTTTTTAGAAAAAAATGTTCCTGTTTCAATAATTAATTACAAGTAAAAACACATCAAAACTCATCTCTTTTAATTATATTGATTAAGGTTACCTCGTTCCTTGACACGTTCAAAAGTATTTAGCTTTCAATTAAAAGATTTTTTATGTCGTTAATATGTAGCCCAACAACAAATAAATCATATTTTATTGTCATGTCAGCGAGCTGCAGCTTTGACACTATTTTATCAAAGAAAGTGAAACATTTAAATTTAAACTCCAAAGAAGTCAATATGATTTAGTTTTGAATGAACGAAACAAACACATTCGTTCTGTTGGACGAAAACTAATTTCGTATGCAAGGAACGTGTTACAATTCGCTATTTAATGTCACCATGTGGAATCATTTCTTTTGTGTGAAACGGAGACGAAAACAAACTGTATGCAGAGTTGTCGTGCATTATTGTAATCCACCAACAATCGTAAGAAACCCTTTAAGTTTTGAATTAATTTATTAACACAACAATTTCTCCAACACATGTTTGACGCTTTGAAAAGAAGTTTCTTCGACCAATATTGTCGCGACTTGCCAAATTTCTATTTGAATTCCGTGTCACTTTTTGCTTGTTTTAATTGAATCATTCTTTGATATTTGTTGTCTGTACGATAAGTAACCGAATAAAAAACTCTTGTGAGCTTTAACTTAAAGTTAGTTTGTTTCAATTGCTTGACGTTGATTGATCTATTCAAATTTTCATTAACAATCATCAAATTAAAAGTGATTAAGCATAATGGGAAAAGCAGAAAATTTATTTATTGTTGGAATGTTATTAATTTGTTTAATCAGCGTGGTTTATTGTAATCTTGAAAATGATGCAAATGTTCAAGGTATTGAATTAAATTCTGAAATAAAAAAAGTTCTCAATATAAATTTACAGAGTCGAGAACTTTTGGTCATCATTTCTTGAAACGAATTAGTTTTGCAATCATTCCTGCAGGTAAAAACAAACAAACTGTTACTAAATAATCTGAAATTGAATCTTTAAATAAATAAACGGGACAACCGTTAATCAATTTAATAATTTTCAGCCTTTGTTGTTGGAATGATAACAACATTGCTTGGAGCTTTAACTGTTGTTTCCATCAAAAGTCTTGGAGTTGGTGTAAGTAATTTTCATTAAATATCAAAGGAATGAAGAACCCTTTCATAATGTTTGTGTAGGTAATTTTGTTGGTTCTAACCATTGGCCAAATGATTGCAAGAGCTCTTCCAACTGCTGTGCCATTGACAGCAGCAACATATCCACCAGCACATTATCCACTCGTTTATTAAACTTGGTGAAGTATCAAGTGGTTAGCGTGTAGTAATTTATTAATTTATTTATAATTCTTAAGTGATTTCTGACACAATCGAATAAAAAACGAAATTGTTAAAGTCAATGTTTCAATTGCATGCTAAATTCTTAAAGTCATAAAGAGAAATCGATAAATTAGATCAATTAATATTGCCAAAATTTAAAAATCTCACATCAAAAATTTTTTCGTCACGCTTCTGAATTAATTAATGAACTGAAAAAAAAATTAATGTTCCATTAAACAAAAAACTTTTACATGAAATTTCACGTCTCCTGGTTTTCTTTTTGTCTTTAAGCTCGATTTACGCTGACAAGATTAACTAATAAAGCGTTTCGAATCTGATGTAGTTAGAACTCACCGATGCAGTTAGAAATTGCAAGAAGAGCGTCGCGACATAAATTGGATTAGTAGGACATTGTAAAGTGGTTTAGAATAAGTTGAATTTTTTTTTATGGAATGTTCAATGAGAGTTTGTCTAAGAAGAAGCTTGAATTGTTAGAAAAGAAATTAAAATGTTTTAAAAATTCATCATTGATGTTCTTGGATAACTTCATCTGAGAAATGTCTCTTCATTCTAAATAAGTCCAATCTAAATTGAGTTCACATAGATGAAGCTTTGAGATGTTTCAAATTAAAACGTGAAACGACCGTAACAAACGGTTTTTTCTCTTTTCGTACCATCTCTTTGATGCGAATATTGCAATTGCATTTCACTCTCTTCCCATGATTGTTTCTCATTTAACTTTTAACTAACTGATTAGCTCGATGTTTGAATCAGTCCCAAGTGCAGCATCATATTGAAAAGACGGTCACTTAAAAGTTTCTGATTAATTCAAGCAAAAGAATTAAAAATGTTTAGCAAAAAATCTGTTTTAGTTTTTGTCATGTTTTATTTTATGTACCAAAGTGCAGATTGCGGCATAAGAAAATCATGGAAAGCTTTACATTTCGATTCAAGTATACCGAAATCTACATCGATAGAGAGTGAAAACCATTCAAATAATAATTTTGTAAAGACAACAGAAAAAACTGTCTCAAGTCCTTTTCCTTCCGCTGAAACTCTTAAGAAAAAAATTAGTAGCAAAATTAGATCACCGCCAGAATATGCTGCTGAAAATTATAATCTGATGAAAGAATTACAAAAAGATGCAGTTTTAGATAACGAAAATAAATACAAGAAAAACAATGAAGTGAAAGAAATTTTTAATGAAAAAGTTCTTCTTAATAATGATGAAAGTAAAGACGATGAAACGTTAGAGGAACAAGAAGATGATTATGAGGTTTCAATTAGAAAAACAAAAGAAAATTCTAGCTTAGAAAACGAGAAAGACGAAATAACTTTAAATGAATTCAAAAATGAAGAAAATGTTGAAGATGACTTTGAAGTGACAGCAACAGAAACGCCAAATGTCAGCACAACTCAATATTCAATCGGCAAATTAATGAACGTGTCATTTGATTCCGAAAGAAGTTCCGTTGGTGTCACCTTGAATCGAGAGACACTCAGAAACATTTTCAAAGGTAATTGTAATTGAATTAATGTTGTAAGGTGTGAAAAGTGATCGTGATCTTATAAAATCAAAAAATATTCATTTAGGTCGTGGAAAGAAATATGGAATAATAGAACGTGTCGTCCCATTGTTCATTCTTCCATTTATCATTCAGTCAGCTGTCGTTCCTTTTATGGTTACAATGATCAAGCTTCTTCTTTTCAAATCAATGTTTGCCGGGAAAATTGCTGTAATGTTGTTGATCCTTGGAGCTTTGAAAAATCATCAAAACAATCTTTACATGAAATCAATGCAAAGCTCGCCTTTCTCGATGAAAGATTCTTCTTATCCAGAAAGAAGAATGGTAACGAACGCCTTTGAAGGATACAAAGTTGAAGGACATCCATCAGCTTTTATAGCTTAAGAAATTTTACAAGTTAGCTGACTAAGTATTTATGTAAACTTTTTGTTTTTATCTCTTAAGTTCCACCAAAAGTTTCAATTAAGTTTAAATTAAATTTACACGTTTAATGCAACAAAATATTTATAATAAAATTAAGAAAGCATCAATTTTTCATTCAAATATTTTGCAATATTTTCATTCGTTTTTATTTTATTACAGACATCAGACTGAGTTACGAAAGCTTGAAACTTCCACTTGAATTTTCAATTATTCAGTTGTAGTTCAGAGTAAGTAATTTTTGAGCTCACTTTATATGGTGGTTTAATCATATATCAATTACTAAATGAAGTTTATAATTGCCATTTGGGATGTGTTGATACTGTTAACTATAAAAACGGGAATGAATCTTTTCTAAACGGGAGTTGAATTAGACAGAAGCTTCAAAGTTTCTGCTACAAATCCTCAAACTTTAATATAAGATTGACTATTAATTGTCTTCCGTTTAAAAATGAGTTTACAAAGTATTTGCAAAGTAAATATCAAAACTAAATCAACTTTGTGTTTGTGTATTCAACATTTATTTCAATCATTGTTCTATTTCAATTAAATGTTTTTCACATAAAAATTTTATAATATTTAACGAAACGAAAAAGAAAATGTGCTTAATTGAATATTGAAGATAAAGGAAACAAAAAAAAATATGTAAAAATACTCATTAAGTTTATTTTTTGGGAATGTTGTGCGCTGATTCGGACGCAGATATTCGGTAAAAAGCATTCTGGCAAGAGGTAAAACGGCATCATTAATAGCAGTCGAGATCCATACTGATTCCAAAAGATCTCAAGACATCGTCAAGTAATGTAGAGAAGTTCTCTGAATGTTTCAGCCATTCTGACTTCTCCTTAATCAATTCATCAAAATTGGTTTTAGTCACAAAATCGAGAAATTCATCAGGCGACACTGTCGCGTATTTTTTAAATAAATTCTCGTCAATTTTTCCCATCGAAATTTCGCAAGTAACTTGCAAATTCATTTTACATTTGTTGGTAAGTAAAAGAATGTCGTCACTTTGAACAATTAAATCAATAATTGTATCGTCTGGACAACATTCGCCATTCTCTTTCGATATTGAAACTTCAGTTTTCTTCCTAAAGTCAGCGTTGTTTCTCACAACAGGACCTTTCGTTTCATGCAAATTATTCTCAAATTCTGAGTAATTACTGTCAATCACCGGCTTTACAGGATCAACACTTACAGTTGTTGGTTTCTTACTCTTGTTATATTCTTCAACAAAATTATATTTGTTCAAATATATCATGATTCGGTCAACGATTGCCACAGCTACTTTAATAACTTCCAAATCGCTATCCTGCAGGCAAGAAATCAAAATTCCTAAACATCCTCGCAATGAAAGTTCATTTAAAACTTTTCTCAATCGCAAATGAATTTCTTTATCATTTAATGTGATTATTTTCTTATGTTCTTTCGAGAATGTCACGGCAGGAAAAGTTCCATCGATCATTCCTTGATGTGAAAATTGGCGACAAATTACCGTACGCCAGAATCCTAATGCGTTCACTCTCACCTGCCAGTAAAAGTCATTAACAGCGCAATGTGTTAGAACAGAGAAGATGAGATCAAGACATGCTGGTTGTATTTGATGTTGTCTGTAAACAGCAGTTATACATGCAACAGCTTCTCGTCTAACAACACCTTCACTCTCAGCTCCGAGAACTTCAACAGCATATTTCTGTGAATAAATTAAATTTTACATTTAAAATCTTTGACTTCATTTGGTTCACGTGATTACCTTTACATCCAACTGATGAAGTGAATGTTCCCAAAATGCTCGAATTTTTATCATCGATGCTAAAACTTTTAATGCTGATGCTCTTACATATGGTTCTGAATCATTTCTTGCAATTATTTCAACGATGTGACAGACTTTACTCTCAAGAATATGTCTTTGAAATGGTGGAAATTCTATGAAAAGATTCAATTAAAAAATATCCCGAAGAAAGCAAAAACTTTTCCTTACTTTCGTCTGAAATTTCAACAATCGAATGAACCAATTCAAGAGTTGAATCACGTACTTCCCATGAATTATCATGTAATCTCTTGTAGATTGTTGGTCCTAAATCTTCCATTCCAGATCCTTCCATTTTATCCATCAACAGAGCGAGATTTGGTGCAAGAAAATGTTCAATCGATGTCTGAATCAGTTTTAATGATTCGACAGTTTGCTAGAATTGAAGACAATGACAGAAAATCCATGAAAAAAAAATGTTACAAAACTTACTCTTGGACTTAAATTCGGATTGTCAAGCAACACCAAAAGTAATGTTACAATTGTTGTGCTTTCTATGCATTCCTTCCATGTGAAATTATAATATTTGATCATTTCATTTAACCCGATGAGAAGGGCTGAGAGAAGATTTGGTGCTTGCATGACGAGTTGTGTGTTGCACGTCTTCTTATCACGAACTCCATATTCTGGCTCATCAACATAGCCTTTTAAAACATGAATCAAAATTTGAAGTGCCAGAATTGCTCGATCTCGATTTAGAAATTTTTTCAATGACAAAATCTTTTGAATTGAGTTTGCAGCTAAATCAGCAATAAACTCAAAACTTTCGTTTGACAATCCATCACGATATTGATACAAAACTCTGATTGTATGTTCACAACTCATGTGAAACATTTTTGTGCAGAGCTCGTTGATGTATTCAGCATTGGCCTTGTATCGTGATCTTATCACGTAAATAATTGGTAAAGTTTGAATCATTACAACTTGATCGCCATATTTTAAATCGTGATTCTCTAGAACTATTTCCTTTGGTGCACGATCGCCCAACTTATACCACAGTTGATGGTGAAGCTCACAAATCATGTTAACATTCTTAAAGATTCTTCGATTCAAACACATAAGCATCAGATTGTAGAAATGAATTGTGTGAATGTCAAACTTCAAATCAGCTGCTTGTGTGTCTGATGAAGGAATGTCCATGCTGGATAATCGAGCAAAGTTTGCAAGTATATGGCCACGGCACAGAACTGTAAGAAAGTCAACATTCGTTTGAACTAAATCACCAACCACCCACAGTTTGTTCTCGTATCGATATTTCTGACAAATCAAATAAGCCATTCTTGAGCGTTTGTTTGACTCAATGCACATCATTAACAAATGATTGCAGACGTTAATGCATGGCATCATAATTGATGGAAGTTTCTCGTCATCGACGATATTGTCGGTGCCATATTCTGTAGAGAAGTTAATGATCGGTTCCATAATTTCCTCGACAATTTCAACACACAAATTTTCATCTTTCATCAAATCTGTGAATTTTGTGAGGATGTCAAAGAGGAAACTGCTTGCTTCTTTTATGATGAAGACTGTGTTACTCTGTTGGTAATAATTAATGCAGAGTTTCCAGCTTTTTGTCTGCTTGAGCCAATGAAGTCCAATAGAATGCTGAGAAATTGAATGCAACAATTGAATGTGACTGAGTTTTACTGATGGCCTTTGTAGTTGTGGATGTTTTTCTATTCCCGAACAAATCTTCTCCAATAAACCTTTTTCTTTAATAGCTGCAAACTGCCACTCATTCGAACAAATCAAGGAAAGTATTTTCAAGGTGAAATTACAGTTTTGTTGTGTTGGTGGATCATTGGATTCGAATGCTAAAACCATTCGCTCGATCCATTCGATGGTTTCAGCACATTTGATGAAATCATTGTATTCTGAGAAAACAAAATGAAGGGAAAGAAGAAATTTTCAGTTTTTACGATCTCTTACGAAATTCGATGAGAAAAACTGATAACAAAAAAAATTAAAAATTACCATTGAATGTTAGATATGATTGAATTTTCTCCAGATAAGTGTCATCCGTGATAACTGTTTTTGGTGTGATTGACGACAACACGTTTATGAACTTCTCTTGACATTCTTTAACGTTGTCAGTCATTTATTTTGTTATGAATTTTCAATTATTCTTATGATGTGTAAGGCACAAATTTCTTTTTGCGTTTTTGTTCCAAAGTTGGGAGTTGTGTTGAGATAAGTTTATGAAAACAAAAAGAAGTTGTAACAAAATAGTTCCGTTAAAATGCCGATGTCCGGATTACAGTTCGGATAAAACAAATGTAAACAAAAAGAGAAAATTTAAACAATTGCTATGTAGTTTAATTTTAAATTTTAAAGAATTCAGGTTGATAAAATAGTCAAAACCGTACTTAAGAGATGCCAGGCTGGATAAACAATGATTCTAATTCTTCAGATCCCGGAAAACAGCGAAGAAGATGGGAAATAGAAGACAAAAAATTGCTCAAAAATTTAAAATATCAATTGGCTAATGATGGCTCCAGTGAAGTTCAATACGATCTTGGAAAACAACTTTTAGAAGACACCGAAGGTATGTAAGAAGTAAAATAGAGATTCTTAATTCAATAATAAATTAAAATTGCAGAGATCGCAAGACAAATTCAAGGCATCGGATATCTCAAAAAAGCAGCAGAACAAGGACATGAAATGGCTCTCGAATTACTTGGAGCATGTTTTCGTACTGGAAGAGGGATTACAGCAGCGAATGAAAATGATGTAAGAAAATTCTTATCAATGACTCCAAGTGAAAGATCAGCCAAACGAGCAGCTCAGGAATTGTTTGCTTCACTTTCTGGTGGTGAAGAATTTGTGACAGTCGAACAACTTGAAAAACGAATGCGTGAGATTTATAAACTTCAAAAGAAGAAGAAAAAGCATGAAGATGTTCCTGGACCTTCGAACAATGGAAATATCCCGATTAAAGATAAAGACGCTGATGATGATGCAAACAGCAGCTCGTCATCTTCACCAGCTCATTTTAATTCACCAAGGGATCGAATCATGGATGATAGTAATCACATTTCCGAAGCAAATCTCCTATCAGCTGCACATAATTATTCAAATGGAATCATTCCAACAGTCAATCAAGCACTTGCTGTCTCAATACCTCATCCACAATCACTTGATCATGTTCCATGCTTGCATCGACCTTTTTTCCATCCAACGATGTTCTTTGCGCTTCTTTATCATCAATTTATCACAATATTCTCATCAGTACCAGGAACATTCAACACCAGATTGCAAATCTTCATTGTTCTTGCATATGCCATCACATCTACTGACAACTTCTCAATTTTTCTGCCTACCATCGCTTATTATATTTCACTTTCTATTATGATTGTGTCAAGCTTCAAGATGCTGAAAACAAAACATGAATTCATAGACTTTCGTATTTGGTCAGGATTGTTTTTAAGTTATGATGATCATGTCAATGCAAGAGATTCAGAAAATCTTTACTTGAGAAACAACATGAAACCATATTTATGGTTTTTCACATCATTTGCTGCTAATTTGATGTTATTTCCATTGATTTCTGATCAATGGTTGCCACATTCAGAAATAACTGTTGTGGCTTTTGTGTTGACCTTTTTGACAATGTTTTGCTTCATGTACACGTCATCGTCAAGTGTTCCTGATCTTTTAATGCTGTTTTCATTTGCACTGAATGTATTAGCGAAATATCCATATGAGTTGGATACAGTTGTGACGAATAAATGGCGATTTCTCGATTTGAAGCTTCCTGGATTCTCGACGTATGTTATCGGGTCTGGAATTGAATTTTCAATGAACAGTCGTGGACTTCTTTATCTCATGATTCCTGTCTTCATGTTCTTCCTCGCAAAACGTCGTAATTGGCAAGGAATTTTCCAATTTTTAATACCTCATTGTGTGACTTTAGCATGGCTTCAAATTAGCATTATCAGTGCACAATCATCAACAACTTTCGGAATGATTCGTTCATCATTAGCTTTAGCAGGAATTTTCTTCTTTCTTCCATTGTTTGGATTAGTCACACTTTTGATTCCTGTTTTTGCTGCTGTTGAATGGATGTCTTTGACAGACGCAACAAATCGAATTTTCGTAACGATTTCTACATCAATCATTGCAATAATTGGATCATGTTTTATGGCAATATCAAATCGTGTTGGAAAATACGTGACATTGGTGCAAATCTTGTTATGCATTCTCGCCAGTTGCTTCTTGTTTCGACCTTACATTATGGGGAATAACGAGACATTATATGCTTCATATATACAACAATCGTCAACGGAATCAAAAAATGAACAAAACCAAAGAATTCTCGATTCACTTGATGACACAAATTCACTCAATTGGGACTTTTATCACAAATATTGTTTGAGTTCATCACATTCAAATCGAATCAGCACCCAAATTCGTTGTTCACATCTCGATGGATCGGAAGTTTATTGGGACGGTATTGTCTCGGATGTAAGCATTGGAAATGCCAAGAATTGGAGACGTGACGTTTTAATGAATTACATTCCTGAAATTCTCTCCAATTATCTAATCTGCTACTTTGGTGAACTGAATCAAGTGAATTGTTTTGATGGTGAACATTGCGAGATTAAAGATTTTATTGAGGGACAAAAGAAATGTAATGTCGATAAATGGAATACTTACGAATATGAAATTGAAGTTAAAGTTCCTTCGTCATCATCTGGAATACTTAATCTAAACACGAGACATGAATCAAAAGTTCTCATCAAAGCTGAACATGAATTTGGTAATTTTACGCAACGACTCAATGCGTCTGATAAGATTTGGTTCAAAGGAATCTTGAGAACGTCGCTTAACTCAAAAGTTGATGAATTTTCAGCACAAAAGTCTTATGACACTGACGTACTAAAAAGAAAACGTTACACAGTCGTTGAACTGACCTCCATTGGTTGTCTTCATTGTGCTGACAATTCTTTATCCCCTTCAACTCTTAAAAGCAATCTGAAAATGAACAATCGAATTAAAGATCTACAAAGAGCATTGAAATATCTTCTCAATGTATTGTTTAATCCTCTCGTCACATTCAAATGAATCTTAACGCTTTGTGAATTAAGTTTTATGTTTTTTAGTTTTTGTTGTAAGGAAACGTTTATAACTTTTTTGATGAGAGATAAACTGTTAAACATAATATAAATTATAATCGTTTCCTGAAATGTCTGTTTTAATTATAGAATCTACAAATGAATGAATAAATATATTTGAAGATGAATTTTTGAAGATTTGTTCTTTATTATCTAAAGATTTCTCATCCGTTATCTAATTATCAATGGTTTTTATACCTTGTCCTAAGTTATCACTTTTATCTCCATTTGAAATTTAATTAACAATTGTATGGCAGGGGGAAATTCACTAATGACGTCTTTAAATTGTGTAAAAGTCAAAAGAGAAGAAAAAAGTTTATTTTATATTCCATTTCAAAACTGATCTAATATCCTTACTGTTGTGTGTAGACGTGCAATAAAAAAATAATTGCAAGCATTAACAATGATGACGTGATAAGCAAAATTAACCCCCATGAAGCCACTTAAATAAAAAAGCGCTTATTTTAACTCATAAACAAAACAAAAAATAAGAAGCGTAAATTTAAAGTCTCATGAATGATGATGTGTGTGATAATTGAAAATTTATGAATATAGATTGAAGATTTCATGTTTTACAATGAAAATTTATGATATATTAAAAAAAGTGAAAAATGTTTTTGGTATTTGTTCTCTAAAAGTTTGTTTCTTCGAGCTCAACTGCAGGCATTTTCCATTCTCATTTGTTCAATTCACTTTTCGTTGTCTCTCAGTTCGCAATTGAGTTCGCTTAGACTTGTCTCAGTAGAATCTTTTCTTTTTGTTCTGCTGATACTTTTCGTAATACATGTAGCCGGCAATGGAAAGAATGACAGCTCCAATCATACCAAACATTAACATACAGAAAATCTTCAAGTTACTCCAACCTGGTTTTGGATCGTCGACATGTTCACGAGGTTCCTCGAATTTAGTAGCTCGAGGGATTATGTCTGCACGTTCAAATGTTGTTACTCCATCAAGCTCATAGAATTTAATCGAATTAATGAGATGATTATCCGACAAATCACCGGTTGTTGCACTGGCACCAAAGAAATATCCAGTCGGCAGTTCAACACCATCAACTGTGAAACATTCCTTCCAATTATTTTTGTTTTCTAAATCAGTAAATACTGATAGAACATCGTTGTCATAACGAATCTTCAGTAGCGTTTCATATTCAACGTTTCTAAAACGAGCCTCACATCCAGCAATTTGTGTATGGGTTCCGTCTCTATCATGATCATAACTCAACGTTCCATTATTTACCATCGCTGTAAAGTAATCAACACAATTAATTATTTGTCACAAATATTCAATAAAAGGGGAAAATCATGAAAATATTTTCTCATCAGTTGTTTTCAAAATTGTTTACACGTTTAAATTTATCAAATGATTCATCAGTAACTTTAAAGCAATTACATACCTGATATAAACGGATGTTGATGATTATGTGGTCCATTATGATTAGAATATGTGTCAACAATAATTGCAAGACCGCTAAATAAATCTTTACTTCCGAATACCGGACCGACAATCATTCGATCTTTAGCATACCAAAAGGCAAATCCATCACCAAATAAATCCTTTCCTTTACCGGCGACTTTGAAGCTTAAGATTATTTCCCAGTTGCGACTCCAGCATGGAATTTGGTTCCAAATAGCGCCACTCATTGACTGTTCATCAGGCGTAAGTCGAACATATGACTGTGTGAACATTACGGAGCCAGTATAATCCCAATATGGAACAGTAAGGCCGGCAGCTGAAATAAATTATATTCTGTTATATCAACCATATTTCGAATGATAATAATGCAAGATTAAACACCGGCAAAATTACGTGTTTAATTTATGTGCATCCTTGAACTTTAATACCAAACACGTAGCCTCGTTACAATTTTACTTACTTAAAAATGGTTTTATGAGCGAGTGTTCTCTCCTTTTTTATGATGGTGCCAAAAAATAATGATAGAAAGATTGTTATGAAATTCAGATTACGATAGTATGAAATATCTTTAATTCTTAGAATTTTTTTACTATCATAAAATTACTTTACCTATTATAGTTTGTTTCTCTGACTGGATTTTGAGCTAATGTAGAGCTTATTTGAATAACTAGAAAGCATGCTAAACAATGATTCAAAATATTTATTTTTTCCATTATGAAGGATTAAGAAATTAATATCTTAAATTTTTCTTGTGTTTATCACCAAATTTTTGCGTTTTTTTCTCCAAAACTTTTGAAGGGTACGTAAGTCGTATTCTAAGTCGAACAATAAGCCTTGCATACCCTTTTTATGAATGAACTTTTTTTACCTAAATTTATGTCCGACTGACGAAAACCTCCTTAACTTACATTGTATAAAATTCTATCTAAAAATGTCTTAACTAAAATAAACTTTAATGTTTTTCGGTGGAAAATTGTAACTTTAAACGATTTTGAACACCATAAATGTAATAAAAAATGTCAACTGATAGGTAAAAGAATAAAAGTCAATTTATAAGTTTGTTAATTTATTGAAAATTCTTGGTGAAAGTTTTAAAGTTAAGAAGAAAAAAATTTCCACACAAAAATTTTCTTTTCTCAATTGCATCTCCAATTTTTTATTTTGCATTTTGGGTGTGTTTTTCCTTACCACCGATCGCATGAAAAAAGATTTCAAGCATGCATTTCGGATGGAACTAATTGAAGTGTTTCTGGTAGTGACAACAGGAAACGGAAATTGTGATATTTTCTTTTATTCAAATTATCTCTCGAATAAAATATGAGTCACGAAAAAAAATATCCGAAATACTCATCTCATTCTCGAGTTTGTGTAGTTTCGTTTTATGCGTTAGAGTGAAATGTTTGCTTGAAGAGTGATAAGATAACCCAAATGCATTCCTTCATCAGGTCAACGACGGCATTAAAAGATCAGCAGTCGCCAACACAATGGGTGGAAATAATCGAACCCAAGAGCAAGGAGAAGATGTATGCAAATCTTCAGACGGGCAGTTGTGTTTGGGACGCTCCTGAGGTAAGAAAATAAAGTCCCTGAAAATTTTTAATCAAAACCACAATGAGATCATCTATGAGATATATTAATTAATTTGCGCGGGGAGTTCTGCTCTTCTTTTGTTTAAAACAATTAACCCGAAAAAAGAGAAAAAATAATAATAAAAAATAATCGTAAACATTGCCCCACTAAAAAAAACAAGATCCAAGAAAATGAAAATAATTAAAAGTGGAAGTGAGTGAAAGAGCGGACGAATAGCGTGAAGAGATAAAAATAGCGCAAACAAAGAGCCAAGTGTTTCATATGGATCCATCATAAACGCCGAAAAACACGAACAACGTTTGAAAATTTTCACTGCTTTTAAATTTTTTTCCTTCTTTTTCATTTGCCTTTCGTCCCGAATGAGGGTTCAAAGAAATTTTTTTTGCTGTGTGAACCCTCGTTCCATATATTTTTGTTTTAATTTTATTTCTTTGACTCTCTTCACTCTCCCGCTCATGTTTTCAATGGAATTTGAATGACATTTATCACAGCAAATGGACAGCATGTGCATATTTTGCTTTGCCTTTCATTGTCTTGTCTGACATGATGACAATTCAAGTGCAAGACACATTTTTTTCGCTTCATCGAATGAGCTTTATCCAAGAAACTCTAACCGGAAAAACTTTTTCTTTTCTTTTACACTCTCAGAAGATTAAATTGATTTTTTTTACTTCTTGCCTTTCTTGTATTGCACGACCAGTTTGAACTAAGCGAAAAATTCAGCGACCGAAAATAGCGAGAAATAGAAAGAAGACAACTAATGAAAAAAAAATCAATTGCTGGCACTTAACCCAAATTATCAAAAGAATCAATTGCAAGCGCTGGAAATTTTATTGTAAACAAATTGATTGGAAATGATTATCAGAGGCTTTTTATTTCTCTTTCTTCAATTGAATTTTGTGGCTTATTTAGCTATTTTTTTATTTTGTTTTCTTCTTTTCGGGAAGCCCTGAAACAAAATAACAAAACTACAACATTTCAATTAACAAAAAAATTCGCTTGAACACATTTTTAAAGCAATGTTTTCGCTTCGTTTCGAAAAGAAGAAACAAAATTTCAAACTAATGTGCGATAAGATGAAAGACCTTGAGTAACATCATTTGATTTCATGTTTGATTTTACAATTAGCGCAAAGTCTTCTGTTAACAAACGTGAGAAACTGCAATTGTCAATTCAGTAGATCTCGTGGTGACCTTAAAAGGAAACTTGCAAAATATGAAACAAAAAAAAGCATACATTAAAGTAAATAAACATTCTGTCAATAACTTGCAAGTTGCAACATTTCCGTAAAACCGAGAGAAATAATAATTCAGTGGTTAGTTTAATTCAGAAATTTCTTAAAAAAAACTTAAAAGTAGTTTCACAGAGAAGCTAATTCCATGTGCCCCGCATGTGTAAAGTTAAGCTTTACGCAACGATCGTAATAAATGAACAGATAATGAATGAGAAGCATAAAACCAAACACACCACTTCATCAAGAGCTTCTACAAATAAAATAAAAAAAAAATAACAAAATGTAAGCGAGAAGAAAAACTTAATGGACTTTTGCGTAAAAATGAAAACACATTTGGTGTTGTTATCCAAAAACAACTAATTGCGACTTATGATCATGGTTTAGCTTGTACGAAAATAGATGTCGATGTTAAATGAAGTAACACGTTTGAGGTTGATCGCCTTATGCGGAAGTGACCGTTATTAGACGAAAAATCGGAAGTGATAAATTTGGATTATTTAACAAACTTAGACATCAGCGGATTTGCATTGTTATCTTTACTTACTGAATGTTCTTATCATCTGATGAATCTTTTTACTACTTGACAGGGTGTTCCAATCAAACGCTCGAATTCATCGCAATGGTGGGAGCTGTTTGATCCAAAGACAGATCGGTTTTATTACTACAATTGTTCATCACAGAAAACCGTCTGGCATAAGCCACAAAATTGTGATATCATTCCGCTAGCCAAACTACAAATTCTTAAACAAAACTCAGAACCACCAATAAATGAACCCAAAGATGCACCACAAACAATTCAACAACGTTTGAATCAACACAAGAGACATTCAGAAGCGAGTGGCAAAACAAACAGTTCAAGACGTAATCACGAGAATGAAAGAGTTCGTGATGAACCGCGTGAGAGGTCAGGAAGCGCGGGACATTCCAAGAACTTTCAAATACAACAAGCGAAGCTCCATTCGGTGGATGATTTTGTTGTTGGTGAATCGTACAAGTTTTGTAAGCATGGCGGTCAAGGTGCGTCAACACGCAACAATCACAAATATATGGATTCAGGAAAATCAAGTGATTCAAGCTTATCAAGTGCTCACAACTACCGTAAAATTCAAGAAGGTGGCAGTTTACGTATTGGAAGTACACATGGAAAGTCAAGCAACAAATACAATCCCGACAACACTTACAGAATGCTACAAGAAAGTGCAAGTTCACATAACATTCCCGACAAAAGTCATCATCATCTCGTGCCGTCAATTTCAAATTCATCTGATTTAGCATCGGGCAATAACAGCAACAATAAATCTCCATCACATTCAACTGGCACGCCATTAATGAAGAAAAGACTTCAGTATGAAAGTCAGGCACCGGGGAAATCTCGCGAAGCCACGTCATCATCTAAATCATCAAAACACCAAAGCTTTGACTACGGACCTTCACAAGCTATCAGCATAACGAGGTCTGGAAGTTTCATGTCACCTGTCAATAGCGGACCTTCGGGACGTCCACAAATCTCACAACACCAACAACAACAGCAAAGAAAAGGATCATTTGATGGTCATGGAAGTGATGATTCAATGCATGAAAAGTACTTTAAGTCAGTTGAGAATACGCCAGTGTCTCGACGACGTCACACAACTTCATCCAAAGATCGACTTAAGTCGAGTGATTCAAGTCCACAATCTCCAATAAGTCCACAAAATCAAGTAAGTTTAATTAACTATAAAAACAAAGAAAGCAAGAAGTTAATTAATGATTTTTCAGGCTACAAAGTCAGTTCGACCATCGCATCTTGGCCTCGAGTCAATCAACAAAAAGTCATCGTCTAGTCACAAGTACGATCCCGATACGGTTAACATGGATGTTACTGTTGTTAAACAAGAGCGGTGAGTTTTATATTTCTTTCAATTGAAAACAAATTTCATTAATTTTTTTAATTACTTCATAAAAGGTTCACTGATAAAATGAAACTTGATAGGAATAAAACATCACCAGCTGCATCAGGTCATTCAGCAAATAACTTGAGAACAATTCAGCAAATAAATCAACTTTTGAAGCCGAGTAATACATTGAAGTCCCCTTCTAGTCATCATAGTCAAGATGCGACAACAAATTCATTGAGTAAAAGTAATAAAAGTTCACTTCGTATGCATCGAGATCATACGTTGGATCGTAAACTACCGTCAAGTGGTGGTGTAGCAAGTGGAAGTACAGGAAAGAGTCGAAAGAAGACTTACACATCAAACACTAACGATATGGAATATGACAATGGAAATATGTCGCCGTTGTACACGAATTGGGATCAAGACATGCACGAACATCTTCTCCCACTTCAACATTACATTCTAGAACAAGCAAAGCTTAGCGGATTTCATGGTCGATCTCATGACACTTACGATTCTGATTCGATTCATTCGGATAGTCATTCAGAACATTCGTTAAGTGATCACGACACTGGCCATGAGCCGGATAATGAAGATTCTGATAATTCTGATGGTCATGGTGATTATCTCGCTCATAATCCTTACGAGGATTACGGCGCATTTCGTGGACCTTCGTACTATAATTATGAGCATAATTTTAATCGTCATATGAGTCGTGAAGACATGTAAGTAGTTTTAAAAATAATCTTTCATCTAATCATTTTCTAATTGTCAATTTTTCTAATCAAAAAGATCCGCTGAAGTCACAGCAAAGCTTGAAAGTCTTCAAGATCAAATTTATAGTCCAGTGAAGCATCATCCACCACTTCTTAAATACTCGTACTCGCCAGTGAATCCAAATGCTCAATCAATTCACAAAGAGTCAGCTTTTGCACCTTATCAACCGTCGCAAGGTCCGTCATCGCACAGTTTTCAACCGCCGCCACCACTTATGCCACCCCCGCAATCAGCAAATCAACATGCTTCAAGTCTTGTCGCTTCGAAAGGGCAATCGAAAAGCTTCTTACAACGGTTCCAAGATCAAATGAATACGAATAGCGATAAGATTGCTGAAATGGCATTGATCAAGGAATGTGATATTGAAAAGTTTGCTCAAGAGAATTTGAACTTTTCGAAAGGAATTTTTAGGAAGAAATCGAGCGTTCGTGACATGTTAAGTTGGACAGGTGAAGCGATAACGAAGCCAATGCTGAGTCTTGCAAGAGATAAAGCTGGGAAGAAGATGGCAATTGAACAATTTAAACTCGTTCAAATTTACATGGGCGATAGAAAAGCTCGAATTGGAATGAGTTTGAATTCAGTAGCGATGGATATCATTCAACAAGGTGTCGCAAATTCATGGCTTCGTGACGAACTTTATGTGCAGTTGTGTCGACAAACAACTGAAAATCCTAAGAGAGAGTCATTGATAAGAGGCTGGGAATTGATGGCAATTTGTCTTGCTTTCATTCCACCATCGCCAACTTTCCAACCAGCTTTACTTGGCTACATGAATCGTCATCGCGATCCGTCGTTTGCGAAACATTTTCCTGAGATTGGAAAATGGCCAATTCATGTCCAAGTGTCACATTATGCGACAATAGCATGTAGAAGATTAGAAAGAATCGGAAGTTCAGGAAAGAAGCAAGCGAAGAAGCCAACTGAAGATGAAATTAATCATGCGAGGGTAAAAATAAATCAAAAACTTTTTGATTTTGTTATAATTTTTTGTCTATTCATAGGAGCAAATATTCCGTGACAGTATGTTTGGCAACACACTTGCTGAGGTCATGGAGCTTCAACGTGAAATCTTTCCGGAGAGAAAAATTCCTTGGATTCAACACACTTTGTCCGAGCAAATCTTATTGATGCAGGGAAAACAGACGGAAGGAATCTTTCGTGTGCCAGCAGATGTTGATGAAGTCTTGATGCTGAAAGCTTACGTTGATAAATGGGAATTTCCTGAAAATCCTGGAACGATGGGTGAGTTTAATTGTAATTAAATTTAATCATAAATAATTGAATTATTTTTTTAAAATTAGACGCACACGCTCCTGCAAGTCTGTTGAAGTTGTGGTACCGTGAACTTTATGATCCACTGATACCTGATGAATTTTACGAAGAATGTGTTCTAACCGACGATCCCAAAGAGGTCATGGCGATAATTGATCGAATACCAGCATTGAATCGATTGGTAAAAATTGATTTTTATTCCCAAATTCATTCATTTAATTCTCAAATCTTTCATTCTTCAACAGGTGCTAACATACCTTATCCATTTCCTTCAAGAATTCGCTCATCCTGAGGTTGTCGTTTGTACAAAAATGGATTCGTCAAATCTTGCGATGGTATTTGCACCAAATTTATTACGATGCACATCGCAAGACCCCAAAATCATCCTGGAAAATACTCGCAAAGAAATGAATTTTATTCGAACGCTAATCACCAACATGGATACATCGTCAGCCGCTTACATCATCTAATTAATTAATTGATGAGTGTGACGACAATAATGAAAGTAATAAACACTTTCCTCCCACGGTTATTTCTTCTTTTTTTATTATTGATTTATTTCCTTGAGTCCAACACATAAAACGATTTTTAATTCCACAATCTGAAAAGTTTTTTAATTAATTAATGACGAAACGCCAAAAAAATATGAAACAAAACAAACAAAAATTATTGAAATTGTAGCTTCCAACAAGAAAAAAAAACTCCACGGTTGCGCAAAAAAAATCTTTTGATGCGATGATCAATTTTCCTTCTTAGGATTTTTGTAACAAAACTAATTGTAAATTTAATTAAGTTTTTTTTAAAAAGATATGATTTTTCTACCAAAAAATGAACAAAAAATTATTCTGATAAAATGAAAACTAATCAAACTTCCTTGCTATTTTGTAATCTTAATCTTTAAGCTAGTTATGATTTAAGCAAATCGAATGGCACAAGAAATGAAATGAGTTTCATCAAGGCATAAAGCAAGTGGCTTAAGTGTGTGAAGAACGAACCAATTGCGTTGATGCCTTGACTCTGTAAATTTTAAGACTTTCTCTTGAATTATCTGAAATTAAATGCAAAACTTGCACAAAAATAAAACTTTTTTCCTTCTTGACTTTTGAGTGACATGAAATTAAGGAACTTCCATAATTAATTGCAATAAGTATTCTTAGCAACAATCTCTCGCACTTTCTACTTTAGAACATTGAGTTTGGTTTTTATTATGATCAAATAAATGACGATTATCTGATATTGTAATCAAAGATACTTATTGAAAATATAAAGCTGGCGAGATCATCAATCAAGTTTTGAATTGCAATTCAAAAACACTTCGATGATAAATATCCTACTTCGAAATCTTCTTAAATTTCATTTTATTTTTGTGACTGATTCATGTAAAAAAAATTCCTTGGATTCTTTTTGTTTATGAAGATTTTTTTCTTCTCGAGGCTGCCCTTGACCTTCCCCAGTAACTTTCTTTATATTTATTGTTCATAAAGTTTTATAATGCAGCAAATGAATGAAAAATAACATTTACGAATCCCCACTCAACTAATAATTGCAAGTCGTGGATTCACGCGCTTTATGATGACAGCTTAAAAGTTAAAATCGTAAAATACAAGACGATTACCTATTAGTTGTAGTTGAGCAAATCTTTTCAATAAATAAATATAAAAATATCAATTTCGTTCATCAAACAGCTCAATCAAATAATAAAACAAGAAAGTAAAAATATTTACAGTTCAATTAAAAAGCTGCAAGGTTTCCACTTAGAATCGAGTTTTGTTGGTTCAGTTTAATTACTATTCATCAAAAAGAAAAAAATAGTTTATCTCATGTATCGACAGCTGAATCAAAAGAACCATACAGACCTACTTGCAAATAATATATATATAGAGAATCAGACAAAGTAATAAATAATTAATGAGATTAAGAAGAAAAGAATGGAGAAGAAAAAAATATCTAAGTAAATTAAAATGGAAAACGAAATGAAAATTTTCAAACGAAAACGAAGTGTAAATAAAAAAATCAATAAAAAGATTTTTCTTGCTGAATAAAAATAATAAAGAGAATATTAAAAAGAATAACTTGAAATGTTTTTCTGTTTCACCCACGACGCATTCATTCACAGATATTACGATCATCGTTGAAGAGCTTTAAAAACAGAGAAACAATCGCAAAACGGTTTTATTTCATAAAAACATCAAAATTCTTTATTTTCTGCCTTTTTATGATTCTTTTTTCAAGTGTACATTAAATAACAAAAATCTTGCCAAAGTTCTGCATGTGTTGCGTCAACTTCTGATGAAACTCTAGATAAACAATATTTTTTTAAACAGAAAAAATTACAATTTTATATTCAAATAGTTTCATAAAAGAATTCGAGAAAAAAATTGTCGTTTGTTTTGATTCACAATTCATTGCGTAATAATTGACAACAAGATTGATCTTTCTTTTTATTAGAGAGACAGATTCTTGAAAATTTTCTCTTAAATTGACTCACATGATCAATCATTGAATTAATTAAATTATTTTCCTTCCCTTCCTTTCATTCTAATTTCTAACTTTAGGGAATATTTTTTGAATGAATAAATTGCAGCTATGAATTTGTAGAAAAATACCTAATCCTAATTAAAAATTGAGTTTTCAAATCTCCCCCCTCCCCCCAAATTCCCCAAATTTTGGAACAATCATTTTAAGGTGTCATGACGTGATCCCTTGATTTAGGAAAGCCGGCATAATACCGAGACTTCGGAATGTGTGATGACGTGATCCGAAAAAATGTCATGCGGGGCTTGAAACTATCTTTTGTTTTGATTCTTTTCAATCGAATCGAAAAGAATTTTTCTTTATCAATTTAGAAAATTCATGTGAATTAATTGCAATGGATGAAACAACAACATTGCAAATAGAAGCAAAGCTGGAACGAGAACGAACAAATATTGCGCTTCTCGAACAAAACTTGGAAAAATACAATTCTTTGACAATTAATGCAAGCAACATTTTGCAAAATTTCGAGCAAAGATTATTGAAGGTAAAAAGATGTGAAAGACTTAACAAACCAGTCGGTAAATTAATAATTATATACTTTACAGGTAGAACAAAATGTCTTTCCTCTTTATAATGTCACCAAGTCACTCGAATGTCAACAGAAAAATTTGGATGTTGTTATCAAGAAACTTGATGGAGTTTTGCAACATTATTCGTGTTCACAAGAAAACTTCAACATTATTCAGTTAGGTCCAGATAGTGAGAACATTGGATTATATTTAGAAGCACTTAATAAACTGAAACGAGCTAAAGATTATTTCTTGACGACTGGAACTGGAACAGTCGAACTTGAAAATGTCACGCATCTTTATAACAACGGATGTGACGTTCTTAATCAATATTTCAAACAACTCATAAGAAGACACAGCTCACCACTCAAACCAATCGATCTCATCGATTTGATATACATGGAAGAAGATACGTCTGATGATAACTCGCAATATTCCGCATCGTCGATCCGACAACTTCCACAAGAAACTCGTAAAGAACTAAAAATTATCGTCGATTGGCTTGATGAGAATCTTCGTCGGGAATATATGACAATTTACAGCGATGAAAGGTCTGACATTATTTATCGCTCTCTTATAATGTTGAAGGATCATCAAAAAGCGAGTAGCCTTGGAAATGATTCTGGAATGAAAGTCAAATCTTATGGAAGACTTTCACTCAATGATAGCGGAGGAAAGAAAAAACTTCAAAGTATCTTCGAGAAGAAAGCAAATAAAATGTTTGCAAAAGCAAATTTGTTGAAGAAGCCTTTAAATTTGAGTAATGATAACTTTCTTAACGAAGACATGTATGGAGAGAATAACGATATGGAATTGGAGAAATATTTAGTTTTGCTTCTCGGGCTTCAAAAGCTTCTTGTACTTGAGCGACAAATTCTTAATGAAATAATTCCATCATCACGACAAAATGAAGTTTTCTTCAATGTTGGTATGACATCAATCGACATGATTGTGAAAGACGCTGAAGCAATTACAAGTCGCGTAATGAAGTCAATTTCCAAGAAAGAATGGTCAGCAGCACTTGGAGTATTCTCAGCAATGAAGCATGTTAATTTACTTCAACCTGACATCGAAAAAATCTGCAATCAAGAGCAGAAAAGTCAATTGAGTGGCGTAATGAATCGGTTTCATTCAACTGGAAAATCAGCTTTGGATCAATTCATTGACTCGATCAAGAGCGAAGGAAGTTCAAGTCAAGTTCCACTCACTTCGACTGGTAGTTTTCCCAAAGATGCAACAGTTCATCAACTAACTTCCGATACGATTTGGTTCCTTGAACATCTTTATCCATACTACGATATTATCGGACCTGTTCTTATCAACGACACGGTTTATTCACAACCATTGCAACAAATAATGAACTTCAAATCTTTCAATGATGATCAGAAAAATCGTGCACTTTGCGGGATTTATTTCCGTAAAGTTTTAACTGAATTAAATTTTACTATCATCACAAAAGCTGATCAGATTTACAACAACGACGCAACTTGTCAACTCTTCAAACTTAACAACATTTATTACATTTTGAAAAGCTTACAGCGAAATAATTTACTTGATGTTGTTAAGTTCACTGAAGTTGATTCCGAGAAGCGATATTTGAAGATGATTGACGATTTGAAACATGCTTATCAACAGACATGGCAAAAGCTTTTAGTGCACATTACTCCGATTGAAGACTGTCCAAAAGCTTCCGGTGGAAAATTAAAAGATAAAGATCGTGCGATTGTAAAAGAGAAATTTGCGAACTTCAATAGAGAGTTTGACGAAAGTTGTCGAAATCAAAGATCAATTTCTGTTCCAGATATTTTACTTCGTGAGGGTTTAAAGCGTGATAACTCTGAGACTTTAGTTCCACATTATAATGCGTTTTATGATCTTTACGCCGACGTTGAGTTTGCGAAGAATCGTGAAAAATATGTTCGTTACACGCCACATCATTTCGCTATGGCATTAATGTCAATATTTGATGATCGAAATTAAAATTTGCTTATGAATTAAAATTCCATTAAGATTAATTCCTTTAATTAGAGCATTCCTAGTGATACGCTACTAATATTAATCGTGTTAATAATATTTGTATCTACATATAACTGCAATAAAATAATAATTGATGCGAATTTTCATTTATTAAATAAATCATTTTTTTAGCACAACTTATGATTTTATGATAAAGAATAATCTTGAAATTATTAATCAAGATTAAAAGCAAATAAAACCAACAAACATGATTAAAATTATTTCTTCAGAACTTTTTTAAAATCTTTGATTGAACTCAATAAAATTTAAAAATCAAAACGAAAACTTAAAAATCTTATTGAGATACTCGCTGATTAAGTTCAAAGAAATAAAATTCTCATTTTCATAAAATCTCAGATATTCATTGTGAAAGAAAACGCCATCAAAATTCAAAACTTTCTATAATTAAAAGAAGAAATTGTAAAAGCTTTTGATGTCAATAATTTAAAGATTCAAAATATTTACCCCAAAACGTTTTTTCAGTCCACAAATTTCGATTGAACGATCGATGTTGGCAAACAATTTCACATAAGCAAATGCAAGACGAAAAGCTTTTGGATGAAGCTTCTCTGGTGGCTTTAAATTCCGAGGAATGCTTCCCCATTCAACATTAATGATAGTCCAAAGGAAAATGTCAGCTTCCATTGATGTGATTAAACGTTCTTGAATCATGAAGCCAATTGTTAAGACATCAGTCAGAAATTGTCTTGGAATTAATTTAAAATTGAAATCTTCCAACCTTTTCCAGTAAATTGACCACTTCAACAGATCAAAACGAATGTCATCAACTTCAATATTATCAGAGTAAAGCTCTCTCAACGATGGAACGATGAATGGTGGGAATGTTGGCTCCACTAAATATTTCTTGTACTTCGAGTGATGATTTTTCTTTGTGTAAATTGTAAGAAAACTGTTGGAAAGGCTTGAATGATGTTGCAGTAGAATTCCAGCTTGACGTTGAAACATTGGAACTGATAAGTTGTAGTAAGAAGGCGAATGACTTTGACGCAAATCATAAAAAACCAAAGAGAAGACCAACGACACGTCATTGAGAATATTATAAGTGAAAAGATTATGATCGTAAAGGAAATGATCATGAGAATTGTCGTTTTCAACTTCATCTATGATATTGTAAGATTCCAAACTATGAAAGATTTTGATAAAAGTTTCATTTGTAATGTTGTTTGATAAAAGTTTCTTCAAAATCTTCACAACATCTGAGCGACTTTGCAATGTTTTGAAATTCTTTCTGACATATTTTGAAATCTCTGGGAATTTATTTTTACGATTGGAAAAGAGAATCTTGTGAAGTGGTTGAAGATCATAAAGTGGGACAAAATCATTGCCAGCAAGACTTGCAAAGATTGGCATTTGAAATTGTCTTAATTGAAGAGCTTTTCGGAAAGCTTTCCTGTCAAACTCTCTTGTAGTTAAAGTGCGAGGATTTAAATCTCTTAATGAAAAGTATCGCCATGATCCAGGAAAGATGAGAAAATCGCTGTCATTAGAAAGCACAGCTAAAACACGATTGCTTTTGAATGCAAATCGTGCAAGTTCCTGATCACATTCTTCATGCACAGCATAGTAAAGTTGACCGTATTTCCGACAAGATGCTTCAATAACATTGAGAAGAATGTTGACATACAATTTTGAACGGTGTTTCGATTCAATTACATGGAGGGGAACTCCTTGATCGACGTAATTAATGATATCCAAATGATCCTCGTACTTTTGATTTTGTCGTTTTGACCATGTTGGAATTTTTGACTCTTTAACAGAACCATCAAGAAAGAAAATCAATTCACTCTTCCTTGACAAACGATAAAATAAATCATCGAAGAATTTTTGATGCATCTGATGACGACCACCGCATAGAACATCCAGTGCGTTGTCTTTAGTAATTAAATTCACTAGTGGCATGACATCAAACACTAGAATCGGTCTGAGGCCATTTTTCAATCTTAACAGAAAAAATTAATGCATAAATGTCATCAGAAATATAAAAAATCATCTCACTTCTCGAATTTATCAATTTCTTCCATTATTGACACATATTTTATGCAATCTTTAGCATTAATATTTATAAATGTTTGAAGTTCAAATATTCCCATTACTTTAATTAACTTTCTGCAACAATTAGATAGTAAAATATTCATTAGCGTCTTCTTGTTTACACCTGAAAAGTTTATCAAATTTGTTACCTGCTGAGCAAAGCCGAAATAATTTTTAAAATTTTAATTTTCGTTAAAATATTGAAAAATGTTTGCGTCGTAAATTGCATTTAATCAAACTTCTCAATGCATTGTCAAGTTCATTCACATGCCGAAATACAAATTGTGAAACTTTATTCCTTATCTTTACTCTCGTTTTTATTTTACTCGTAAAATGTACAACGAACTCATGCTGAATTTGGTTTCGTGATTAAAATTCATTGACTGAAATTTTTGCGTAAATTTCTTTCCAGCAAATGGAATCGTCATTAAAATATTTTAATAACATTAATCTAACGTTTGTTGATACTTATAATAAAGCTCTCATTATGTTTTATTACGTCTGATCTAGTAAACTTGACGAACTGTAAATTAACATGATAATCGGATGAGATTAAAATGTTTGTCAATTTAAGAAAAGCTTTCATTCCTTTATTATGAAAATTTATTTTATTAAAAACTTTCGTTCTGTCAGAGATACAATTTTTTATGTGAAATAAACTGTTTTGTTGAGTAGAATGCTCTTGAAATATTTTATGTTGAATGATAAGATTTAATGTTGGATGTCAAGATCTCGTCCTTCAATGTCATCTAAAATATTTCCACTAATTTCAAACTCGTTAGTTCTGTATTCGTAAAACTTTCGATAGCGTTTAATTCGATAAATAATGAAAGCTGTCGCTAATAATGCAAGAATCACTACACTGAAAATTATAATTCTGAAGTTTCTTTCATCATTCAACTTTTCTTCTTCAGCGTAGTTTTGTGAAAGCAATAAAAGTCGATCATTTTCCTTTTGAACTTTTATTTTTTCGGAGATGGTTGCTGAATGATTTGCTTCTAAATTAGTTAAATCAAACTGAATCATGAGTTTTTGTTGCAGTAAAGTTGTGAGATTAGCTTCAGTTTTCCGTTTGTTTTCTAACAAAACTGATATTTCATCAGATACCATCGTGTAGTTTAATTCAAACCAATCGAGTTTCTTTTTCATGTCAATGATTTTTCCTGACAAATTTTCATTTTTCTTGAAACAATTCTTGAGATTTTCTTGTGATTGTGTGTAACTCATGGTAATGTCGATAGTTGCGTTAAACAATTTTTCGAATTTGGCTGCAACATCAGAATGATTCATCTTTAAAACTTCAATCTCATCTTGTAATTTAAGTTTCTGCAGAGAAATTTCAGTCATTTTCATTGATAATGACGAAAGATTCTTCTTTAAGTCATTGTTATTTTGATCCCTTATCATGATTTCGTTTTGTTTGTTTTTCAACGTCGCATTGTTTAAAACATTCTCATTTTTAAGCTTGTCAATTTTCGTTTCCAGATCTTGTTTCGTATCATTTAAATCATCGATGACGTTCCTAAATATATTTTCACAATTTACTCCAATTTCAGAAATGAAGTTTTCAATTAGAGCATAATCAACTGGAAAAATTTTATTATTGCACATGTTACCACTCAGTTTAATTTCCTTAACTTTTAAAAGATTTAAAAATACGCTACTCTCAATTATTCTCAACTTGTTACTACTAAAGTCAATGCGCTCGATGATTTCATTGTGTTTGAAAAGTTGTGCAGGCAGATAAGCAATTTTATTTCCAGAAAGATTTAAAACTTTTAATTCCTTTAAATTTGCAAGTGCATTTTCATCAATTGTTTTAATTTGATTGCTATGAAGATGCAATTGTTCCAGGATTTTCATATTGGAGAAAACATCAGCATCAATGATCTCAATTCTGGTTGATCTAATTCCAAGAATCTTCAACGTATCTGGTTCTTCAAAATCACTCTTTTTAATGCTTTCAATCGGACACGCAGCAATCCAAAAGTTATTCAAGTTCTTAAAGAATTTGCTGTAACCAATTGGAATGTAATGCATGTTGGGCATGTGCACGAAGAGTAAACGATCGACATCAGAATTCGTGTTGAAAGATATATGATTTCCAGAAATTGAGTCAATTTTTATGTTAGGATTCAGAATGATTAATGCTGGACTGTCAATACGACAATTGTATCCATAATCCAAACTTCCAGTGTAGAAAAGAAATTTGCATGTTATTTCAATTCCAGCCACTAACGAAATCACTGAAAATAGAACGACGATCCCAAAACTAATGACCAAATATGTAAGTTAGCAAACATGTTAAATCACGAAAATGTTTCACTCACTTCATTTTTATTCCCTTCTACACTTCTTTCCCTTCGAACTTTACAACGCAACTGATCATCAGAAGATTTTTAATTCTTATCATCAGCGAAGAGAATGCAATTAAATATTTGTATGTAAATCAAAAAAGAGAGAGAATTAATGTTGAGAGTTGAAGATATGTTGCGAAATATTTTGATTATGTTGAGTTGTTATCTAAACGTATTAACATTACATTACATGTGTAAATAGTTGCTGATATGAACTATCATTTCTCTCTCACATCAAAAATAATTTGATTCTATTGAATTTATGGCTATTTAGCTATCAATCTCCAACAAAACTTTAATAGATAGCAAGAAAAATAAAAAATCACCACTGATAAGAAAATATTCATATTCGCGAGTTATCATTGAAGTGAATAGCAGTTTATGTGTTTTTGTGAGTCGTGTCGTGATAAAACGTGTTTTTTGCCTTTCTGATTATTCCAGCGTTTTGTAAAGTGAAAAACTTTGTGTTGATTTTAAGATTACTGATAATTATAATCTTCATTCTTTGTTTATAAAAATTCTGTTTTAAGATTAGATATTAAACTTAATCTTAAAGTTTTGGTTTTTCTTTGTGCAAATAAAAATATTCGCGATTCACACACACGATTTTATAATTGCTTTGACAGTAAGATAAAGAATTGCAATGTATAAATGTAATAAAAATGTTAAAGGTAGTGTCGATGAAATACCTTTGCAAACATTTGATTGTACTTATAATGAGTTGGTCGAAATAAAAACTGTAAGAAGTTCTGTGTTAATTTTTGTGATAACAATTTCTAATATAATAAATTTTCCGTTTAGGAAGCTAAAAGTTCTTACCTTAAAGCTTTTGAAGAAGACAATTTCATTGAGTTTAAAAAACTGATAAAAAAATCGATAACACTTCGATTCTTAGAATCGTCCCGGCGCCGAACTCACCAAATATTTACTCAACCAACGGAAGTCGAAATGAGCGATTTCGAGGAAATTCTGCAAGCAAATAAATACGCTGCTAAGTACATTAGTTTTGTTTTGGAATATTTCCAACTGTACAATGACGAACTCTTCGTAAGTTCAAAAAATAAAGCAGGAAAAACTTTGATTTACTATGTCGGATCCTCGAAGAACATTGAAAACTTATTAAGCTTTCTTATATTTGATTGGTTTAATCTCAGTGGAAAGAAATCTGTAAACTATGCATTGGTCATAAAAGGTCGAGAATTCAAAAATGCTTTCGCTATGTCATTGTTTGAGAAGCTTTACGAGATTCTTGAAGACGAAAGTAACAAAATCTTCCACGAAATATGTATGCGAGTTATTTATCAATTTTTACATGAAGTAAGTTCAATAGAAGCCACTGAAGAATTCTTCGAAATTCATGATTTGTGCATTGACAAAGTTTTCAAATTAAAAAATCAAAAATATCTCGAAAAAATATTACAAATTTTTGTCGTGTTTTTGATTGAAAATGAAAGTGAAATAATGAAAATTAAAGACACATTCATGTCAGTTATTAAATCAGAAGAAATGGAGAATTTCTTTCGTGTTGCTTTTTTGTTAAAAGAAGGAAAGAAAAAAGAATTTCAAAGAAAACTTGCTACATGGATTGAAAGCTATGAGAAGATTTTTGGAAAATATCACAAAGTTATTTTGAAACCACATTTACAACTTCTCTTCAACATTGTTAAAAGACTAAACATGAACAGTCTTGGTGAGTTTATGCTTCGTAAATATTCATTTCTTGGAGTGAATTACACCATCGTGGAAATTTTCCATGATCAACAAGATTTCCAACGATTTATCATCAGTCAACCTAAGTTTTCTGAACTCAATGAATTGAGTGATAAGGTCACAGAAAACAACTTCACTCACTGTGATCTGAATGAGATTTTAAATGATTATATGAACTATGATAACAAAGAAATTAATGAATTGAAAACTTTCATATTCGGGAGAAATATTGCAAACAACGATTTTCATAACGAAACTATTTTTGAACAAATTTTATCAACTCCAAATGCAAGCAATACAATTGAACTTATATGGAAAGTATTTAAATTGAAAAATCTGAAAGAGCTGTTGATATTTGTAAGTTACATTTAAAATAATTCATCCTATTTAAAATGCTAATAATCTTTGAATTTTTGACACAGAAAAATTATAAAGGAAAATTTCTTCTTGACTATGTAATTAAATCAGAAGATGTTGGAAATTTGTTATCATTTCTGCAACCCCCAACGGATAATGAAACTCTACTCAAGGAAAATTATTTCTTCATGTTGAATCATCAATTTCTACAAATTACAGGAAGATCACTTTTTGAAGAATATCTCAACTTCACTCATAAACATCGCCATGAAACATTTTCTCAATTCGGAGATACATTTTTCTCAATTTTGTTAGAATTACTTGAAGAATTCGGTGAAATATCTGACATTTATCTTCAGGTTCCCATCGATAAGTTATTAGAAGTATCTGAGAATGAACAAAATTTTCAACGCACTGAAAATATTGACAGAAAGAATTTAAAGTATAAAAACCGTTCATACTTCATTGATGTTTTACTTGGCAACATTTTAGCATATTGGACATGTTCAGATGTGAACTACGAAAACTACAAACGAAAGTTTTTTAATCTCAATCCATTTTTTGAAATAATATTTCTCATCATCGAAGGGAATGAAAAAAATTTTAGAGAAACGTTTTCAGACATTATAGAAAAGTTTGAAGATTCTTATGAAGAACGCTATTCAATCATAACAAATGATTATGTAACAGAAAACTTTCTTTTAATTTTAATATCAACTGCAATTAAGAAGAATCGTAAAAATTTCATCGATTTAATTATGGAATGTGGTAACTTTGACACGATCGAACTGAAATTTCCTGAAGGAATGTCTGCAAACGAAACAAGTTTTTACTTTGTAACGAAACTTTTGCAATCTGGATATGAGTTTAAGGGTGATGAAATTCCATCGAGATGGTTGACAAATAAAATGTTTAAAGATTTTCTTGACTCAAGAATTACTTATGCAAGTAGAGATTTTGTGAAACTCGATTGCAGTTTTCTCCTTCCTGCTCACATTAAAGAATTTCGCATCAGAAGTGATGACGATTTGAACAATAATTTTATTTTTTGTGAGCCAATGAAAGCATTCGAACAAATACTTCATAGTTGCACTCTTCAAAATCTTGTAACTCATCCCGTTCTTTCTGCTTACATCGATCTGAAAACTTTTAAGTATCGTAAAATTCACACAACTAACTTGACAATCTTCATATTGTTGTTTGTTTGTCCACTTTTACTTTTAATTTTTATCCGATTTGAAGAAAGCAAAGTCTTCATTACTGATCAAGAGCTTTTGAATTCTAATAATGAATCAAAGCATAATTTTCTGTCGATTTTTATAACTCTTCCCAGCATAATTTCATTCTTCCTTCTTTCATGTTCTTATGCTTGCAAAACAAACAAAATTTTTATTGGCAGAATTAATTTCAGTGAATCTTCAAACGCTTTAGATTTGACTTTTTATGTTTTGTCACTTGTAACACTTTTAGTTTTCTTGACACAAACAACACAATTCTATCTTGCCGTTGGTTCTTGTTTTACATTTACATCGCTACTGAAAATATTTTCGCTCATGTCGGCAATTCATTCTGTCAATCAACTCGCAATGCTTAAAAGAATATCTTTTGCTTTCATTAAAGTTTTATTGTCATATTTATTCTTGCTTTTCCTTTTCTCAACATTTTTTCAATTATTTTTCCAACACAATGAATCACTCGAATCATTTCCATTGATGAAAAATTTTAATTTACTTGAAAATAACTCAGATTATGTTGATGCGTCTTCGGAATTTATGAAAACGTTTTGCAAAGAATTTGCGAATGCAGAAAATGAAACAAATTTAACTCATAATTCATTAAATTTTTTTGAAAATAATGTTGAACAACATAATGATATTCAATGGATAACAGAACTTGTTGATTTGCTTGATATTTTCTGGGAAGTTACGATATTATTCATTATTGTATCATGTATTGTATTCAAAGATATTTGGCAAATCGCAGGATTGAAGAAATTACATTCGGAGCTTAAAATGAAAGGAAATCAATTGATAGAAACCAATAGGAAGATGATCGAAATATACACAAATTTTCAGTTAGTTTTATTTATCATTCAGTTATCAGTCTTATCAGTAACATTATTTTTATTTACTTCAACAGGTTGCACGAATATCAAATAGACGACCTCAAAGTCATTCCAAGAATTTATTTGAAATTTCTGAAATCTTTAATAACAAAATATCCTTTTCTTCATAAAATTGATGAAATATTTGTAAACATGCAAACAGGAGAACTTTTCTTTAACATAAATGAAGTCCAAACAAAAACGTTAACAAAGAATAATGGAAAAGCTAAAAGGTCTTGTCACATCAACTCAGAAGCTTTTGATTATTTGAAAAACTTTAATTTTCATTAATTATTATCCAGAAATAAATGATGATGTACAATAAAACTTGAATATAATCTTGAAACATTTTACCATGCAAAACTTTAGTTTTCGATGAATCATTTCGTTTTAGATATGTAGAATTGAATTGAAATCTACTTTGAATTTCTAAAATAGTAATGAGAATGAGAAAAGAATTTAAATTTGATTTAGAATTAAGTTATGAAATATTCAGATTGTAATTAGATTATACTTAGAGTCTAAGAAATGATTTTTGTGAAATGGAAGAATAAAATTGTTCACAATAATTGAAAATTGAGAAAATCATCATCGAGTGAAACATAAATATTAATGCTATGAAAATATTTTAGCATAAAATTTCATAATTCTTTTCTCACTTCAATTTCAAGTGTCCTCATAAAATCATCAGATATATTAAAAAAGTTGTTAAATTAAAGACAACATTTATGCAATAATGTTTGTTGCCAACTTCAATTAACAATTAATTATTGTGTTTAACGTTTACGCCGTAAATAAATTACATTTTATGTTCACAAGCACAGCGTAAGTTTATTTCTTTTCATTTAGTATTAGATCATTTGTACTCGACAGTAGACGTGTTGAGAGGGAAATAATTTCCATTATTTTGCTACGATATTTCATATACAAAGTTGCTGATTAACTATAAGTAATATCTGAGTGGAGTGAATTAACATAGAATAGTGAAGGCCCTAACGAGGATAATAAAGGAAAATATTTCTTCTTTATTTCATAACTGACGACACCTGATGAACTTTCAATTTTTTGTGTTTCTTTCTTCAAAGTATGTAGATAATTAACTTTTTTTTGTGTTGGTTACCAGGCAGTTTGTTATTGATTTCATAGCGTGAGAAGTTTAATAAACTTTCCAATTATTTACGCACTATTGAATTCATTCCAATAGAATTTAGTGTTGGTAAAGTTTCGCGCAGGCATTTAGTAAAATTCTTAAACTATCAAACGTTGAATTGAAAGTTTTATTAAAGTGAAAACTTCTAAAGTGGCTGTTTAGAATAGAAAATAAAGTTCAAGACCTTCAAATCAAAAATGGGCAATACAGTTTCAATTTGTCGCCATAAAAGGTTTGAAATTTTCTCGTTTTCATTGAGCTTTTGAATATGATAAACTTTAAACTGATTTAAGTTATATTGAAGCTTTTGACAACTTAATTTTATTCTTATGGTGTAATGACAATGTTGCAAAATTAGTTTCGCTTTCTTCCTTTTAATGTAATTTGCATAATCACACTACCAGCATTAATTAACATTCAAAATTAAATAACAAGTTCTTGCAGATTAGGTGAAATCATCAACAAAATATAAACTTTTGGAAGTTTTAACATTCCCGTTATCATCACTTTCGGTTTCACGATTTAAGAAGATATTTGAAACAAGTTTCTAAATTTTGGATCTTTCAATAAGCGACGTCAATTGAATCGATTTTACAACTCCCAAATTTTTAAAACTTAGTTCATGATTTTATTATTTTAAATTATTTATCAACATACCTTATTCATTTGTTATTGATCTAAGATACGGCGATATACTTCCTTTGACCTTGTGCTTAACATATCATCGTGACAAAGAACTCAATTCAAGTCATTCGGCAAATTAATCATTAACCAAAATCTACAAAAAGAATTCCGCAAACGTTTCCATATCACAATTCTTTAGTCAGTTGATCTTTGTTCGTTGGCGAATACAGCTGCAATTCCTTTACCGTGAAGTTCAGTTTTAATTTTACTTGAGTTTTTGTGTTAAAATCTTCAAAAGCAAAAATATTAAATTAAAGCTTTTACACCAGAAAACTCGTAAATATTTTGGCCTCAATTAACTACAAATTCTTAAACAATAACTACAATAATGTCAATTATTCTTAATAAACAAAACCATCATTTCTTGTTGCTAAACGGAAATCAATCGTAAGTTACACATTAAAATGAAGCAAAATTGTCATTTTTATTTATTTTCTTTGCAAAATTGTTTGGTTTTGTTTACATTTATTTGATCTCTTTAGTTTAGTTCCCATCTTCACTCATTAATTATTTTTTGGATATCTTTTTATGCTTTGGTTCTCTCCCACGAACATATGTTTTCTTATTCTCATTTTCTCAAACCTCAACATACTCCATTTCATGACGAATATTCGATATGAAGAATTCTGGAAGTCAAATCATACTGCATTGCATTGACTACTGTTACCTTTTTCAATACAGTTCACTGTGAAGTTTGTTTTATTGTTGTTGATTTTATTTAATCATGAACTTCTGTGTGGTGAACCTTTTATTTTGAAGTTTAAAGATAAATACTTTATCGAGTGGATAAACAATTTTCTGTTTGGTTTTATGAAACATTGAGACTTTACAAACATTTTTTATCTTATGTAGTGCGTTTTTTGACCCACACGCCTACAACGCAAATGTTGTCTCATTCTCGGATTTATTACTCTCATTTTCCATTATCTACTACAAAATTCATCTATCTCTATTAATGTATTTGGCCCATTCGATAACAAAGCAAATATCAGAAGCCTCAAAAAAATAAATCATCATCCTTTGTTCCATAATCAGTTGGGCTTGTAAAGCCGAAGAAAGAAGAAAGAAAAAAAGTTCATGGTTGTTAATAAGGATTAATCCGGAAATCTAACCGTACTGTGCAAATTGGCTTCGACAATAATTTTTAAATTAAATGATTGGCAAAATAAATTAAAAACTTTCTTCCTTCATCAAAAATTGATCCTTGAAATAATTAAATATGTTGTCAAAAATCAAAATCCAATCTCAATTGAAAACGATGGGAATGTGCCTGCGCTATTGCAGCAACCTTAACATGAATAACAATTTCAGAGTTGTGGAAAATGAAAATCACGACGCAACGAGCAATGAGAGGTTCAAATATAAAACGACGACCAATGAAAATCAACTCAGTCGCAGCAACAACGTTGAACGATCAACATCGTTTGTCGAAAGTATTCAAGTGATATCGCCGAAAGAGTTAGTGAAAAATTCATCAGGTAAAATGAGTGAATTAGAAAGGGATCGTCTAGGACAATGGCCATTGGAGTCAGAATCTGAATTACCTGGACAAGGTTTACAACGCTTGAAAAACGGAAGATACAATAAGGTAAGTAACTCAAAATTAGTGAATAAAGATGACTTCTTGCGTTAGTTCACGTGGAAAATAATGAATTTGAAATAAAAAATGAATGTGTTATAAATGTGAAAGGCTTAAAGGCAGCAAAATCAATCAAAGAAGTTGTTAATTTCACGTAACAAAATGTGAATGAATAAAAAATTGAAAATTATTAAATTTTCTGGCGCATTGGAAATTTCCGCAAATATAAATTGACTCAGAGAGCGAATCATACGATGGATGAGAAAAGCGAAAGTGAAATTTAGAAACAAAACATTGTTCCACGATCATGCGCAATCAATCAATACAAATTTTATTCTCTTTCCTTGTCCTTGAACTTCAAAATTATATTAAAAGACATTTTACATTAAAGCGGAAGTTTGATTTGTCTCAGATTCAGTTGCTGCTGAAAACTTGGCTTACTTACAAATTGTAAGCATGTGAGAAATCACAAATCTTAGCATGTTGTTTTTTGACGAATTAATGATGAAATTTTACTCATACAGCAGTCAAAATAGCTTTGCAAAAATTTGGCAACGTAGACTTAAACTAAAAATATTCTTTATGACCTGTATGGCCCAGCAAAACAAAGCTTCCTTTCAATGTCGTAAGTAATACACATGCCATATGTAAGACAGCGATGATTCTTCGAAGCGGGCTCGTCCGGAACAAACACAAGAAATCTTCAAGTTCAATTAAATTCACATCAACGCAGCTTAAATTGCTTAGTCATGATTTCTTCTCGAAGCTAAGTGTAATAAAACTCGTTTGAAAAATCATTTCCGACACCCTTTCATAAACTTTCTTAATTATATAAGAAATGTTATCAACATGGATACAAACGATGACGTTAATAAATTTTGCAAACAACATTGTTACAAAAGATTAATCTTCAAGGTCAGCTCACTCTACTTAACTTATATAATTTATTGCATTTAATTAACAGAAATTATGGCACTTAACGTGATAACAACTCTAAGAGATTGTATGACAAATGATAAAAAAATATCTAAGAGGTATTTCATAAGTATTGTCTTATCTTGAAGTGCCTAAAAATAGGAACTTAATTAATGTCTCGTGGTTACAAATTTGTGGGTAAAGCTTGAGAGCGGCCATAAAAAAATGTCAAAAACTAAGTCACTCGTTATGTATGTTTTTAAAATTCTCTTTGGTTCTCTAGCTCAGCTATTGAGTTAGGTCATGGGAACGTAAATTAAATATTTTTTGAATATGTGTTTGTTCCTCATTGACACATCGAAAAGTGTTTTGAATTTTGGTAAAGTCGTCATGACGTCATTAAGCTGATAATTTAAAGGCTTTCAATTAGCATTGTTTCCAGTGATTCGATAATACGAGATAATCACGTTTAGTTATTGAATAATGACTTTGTTATGAAGTAATGAAACTTGTTGCCATCCTGTCTAAACCTTCAAGTTTAAACCCGAAATGAAGACTTCTTTCAAATTAATTTAATTGTTGTATAACTAAGGGTGTTATTTTATATTTTTTTTGTTGACATTGTAAGAGTGAGAGTGGACAACAAGCATCATCATTGCGTGTTCTTATGAATTGTCCAAGGTGACCCTAGAAAATTTCAATTGAAATATTGGATAGAATAAAATAAACAAATTATTTGCGTCATCAACTAGCGAAATATCTTTTTGTTCAATATCACGTTCTGTTTATGGATGCAATATATCTGATTAAATTACAATAATTGAGTGAAATATTCGAAGCAGTTTAAATTTAGAATATTTTGGCGATCGGATCTTTGTTATTAGAAGCATATTAGTTATGAATATTCAGATCTACCTAAATTATCAGAAAACAAAGTCTTGACATTCTAAAAGTATTTGCTTAAGAACAATGTTTTATGTTCTTTATCGTAAAGTAATTGTTTAGCGAGTTGATTAACTTAATTCAATTGAAAGGAGAAATATAACTGACATCATTCAATAACTTAGAAGTGAAATACAAACACTAAAGACCAGAAAGCAATCAATACTGATTGAGTCAAGTTGTGACAATTATTGTTCTTGATGTCAGCAGCCTGTTAATGAAAGACAAATCAATGTCATGAATGAGCTGATTAATTTCAATCATAGACTGTTTGTTTGTAAGAAACTTTTACTGTGCACTAGAAGTGAACCTTTCAACTGCATTAACGAAAAACTTTCACTTTGTCCCACATTTAAATGTATTTTTATTTACTGCTTCACTTGAATAGTGAACTCACCTAGTTAACTACCTAGCGACATTGTTTGGAAAGGTGAATTGAAAGCGAGTTGAAAATGACTTAGCATAGGAAAATTGGCATTGCGTAATCGCTTGAAGAAATTGGCAACATGATTATAAACATGATAACATAGATTACTTAATATTTATAAACATCTATCAATTAATGCATTGAATTAAAAATTACGACAAATCACTTTCGTTTTACAATTTAACATATTTTCAAATAATCTTTAATCGAATGTACACACGCAATGTACGATGAAAACAAATGATTCAACGCCTTCTCATATTTACGCAAACAACCTTCGATTTTATCTGATCAAACATCGATTTGTCATCTCGCGAAATATTTTGCAATTAAATTTGCTTTTTAAAATTCAAAAATTGCGCATTGATCGACTTTGCGCTTTTCCTCATTTCACATTTTCACATTTGATTTCAAAACCTTCACCTTGATCATCACCTTAGACGAGACGATTCAATTAATCATCAGTTCTAATGAATGCTTTTATGTTTTGTATCAACAGGGCTTGGCTTTCACTCATGAAGAACGTCAAACTTTGGGTATTCACGGTTTGTTACCTTATGCTGTGAAGAGCGAAGAAGAACAAGTGAAGCATGCACATCTTTTATTGGAAAGATGCGCTACTGATTTGGATCGTTACATTTATTTAATGGGACTTCAAGATCGAAATGAACGTCTTTTCTACCGTGTACTTGCATCAGATATCAGCAACATGATGCCATTGGTGTACACTCCAACAGTCGGTCTTGCATGTCAGAAGTTTTCTTTGATTTACACCAATCCAAAGGGACTTTACATCTCCATCTACGACAAAGGTCATGTATACGATGTGATAAAGAACTGGCCTGAACGTGACGTTCGTGCTATTGTTGTCACAGACGGTGAAAGAATTCTTGGTCTTGGTGATTTAGGTGCAAATGGAATGGGAATTCCTGTTGGAAAACTTGCACTTTACACAGCACTTGCTGGTATTAAACCGCATCAATGTTTACCAATCACACTCGATGTTGGCACAAACACGCAATCAATTCTTGACGATCCAATTTACATGGGATTACGTCAGAAACGTGTTACTGGAGCAGAATATGATGAATTCGTTGAAGAGTTCATGCAAGCAGCAGTTCGTCGATTTGGACAAAATTGTTTGATACAATTTGAAGATTTTGGAAACTCAAACGCTTTCCGTTTGATTGAAAAATATCGTGATAATTATTGTACCTTCAACGATGACATTCAAGGTACAGCATCTGTTGCTGTTGCAGGTTTATTTGCATCACTCCGTGTTACTAAAACACGTTTATCAGACAATAAAATTTTGTTCCAAGGCAGTGGTGAAGCTGCACTTGGAATTGCTGAATTATGTGTAATGGCAATGGTCAAAGAAGGTGTTCCTGAAAAAGATGCACGTGAACGTGTTTGGCTTGTTGATAGCAAAGGCTTGATTGTTAAGAACCGACCAAAAGGTGGCATGAACCACCATAAAGAGAAGTTTGCACATGAGCATCCACCAGTTGACACACTCACTGAAGCTGTTAAGTTAATTAAGCCAACTGTTCTCATTGGAGCTCCTGCCATTGGCGGGGCATTTACACCTGAAATTATTAAAGCAATGGCATCATTTAACGAACGTCCAATCATTTTTGCATTGTCAAATCCAACATCCAAAGCTGAATGTACCGCTGAAGATGCTTATAAATATAGCGATGGAAAAGCTGTATTTGCATCTGGCTCACCGTTTCCACCTGTCACTTATAACAACACAACTTTCTATCCTGGACAGGGTAACAACAGTTACATCTTCCCTGGTGTTGCACTTGGAGTCATTGCGGCTGGAGTTAGCACAATTCCTGAAGACATTTTCTTAATCTCTGCCAAAGCTCTCGCAGAACTTGTTACTGACAATGATTTGAAGCAAGGATCACTTTATCCACCACTCGAGACAATTCAAAATTGTTCAGTTGAAATTGCTGAGAAAGTTGTCGAGTATGCATATGAAAATGGATTGGCAACCGTTCGTCCTAAACCCAAGAAGATTCGTGACTTTATTAAAGCTCAAATGTATGATGCTAATTATAAGTCTGCCATTCCAGCGGTTTATCCGCTCAGCAGTAAAATGTAAAATCATTGAATAATCACTGTCGATGTTTAAGCAATGTTTCTGGAAAAAATTCTTCTGTTTCTCTTATTTCATAATTAAAATTTTCTTTTATTAGTCAAAATGTTTTTTAACTTTATTTATGACGCAAATATTTAATACCGCGTGATATTTTTTATTGTTACTCTGTTAAAAATAAATCTGATTTTAATAAACGGATTAAAATGTGAATTGAGTTAAATTTTTATTCAATGACATCTTCATCAAGTGTTTGAGATTTCAGAGGTAAAGGAAAACCTGACGCACCAAAAAGATTGATTTGCTGTTTATTTCCCAAAAAATCTCGGCTGTCGGTAAACTTTTCTTGATTTCTTCTTATTTTCCGCTTTCGTTCACGATCATCATCAGAGTCAGACTCGCTGTCATCGCTTAATTTCATAACTTCCGGTTCGTCTTTTATTTCAATTCCTTTTAATTTTAGAACTTTCTTTTCACGTTCCTTCATTTCTTCGCCAATAACTTCAATTCTTTCTTTAAGTTGTGTCAAAACGGGCTTAAAATATTTTTTCGTTAGTTTTGTGTTGACTTCATCGATATCTTCAGGTTCAATTGATTTTGCTTCATCAGCCAATTCAGTTGTTCCATCGACAAAGAAGAAATCGTCAGTTTGTGGTACTTCAGTTTCTTCCGCATATTTTATTATTTTTACATCAGATTTGTGGCCGCTATCGGTAGTTTCAACTTCTTTTTTAGCATTCTTCTCATCGTCAGTCTCAATGTTCAAATATTTTTGAAATGATATTGCAATTCTTTTGTGTTCATCGATTCTTAATGATAAATCATTTGAAATTGAATCCATTAATCTTAAGATCTCATCGATTTCTTTTTGCTTTGGATTATCAAAATTTCCAGTAAATTTCAGAACCAACTCTTCAAGATATTGTGATTGTAAGGCGACATTTAAAACTCTTGCTGACGATTTTATTGCACCTGAACGAACTTCACGCAGCTCTTTAGGAAGCGAGAGTTCTTTCAAATTTTCTTGTTGATTATTTTCATGTTGTTTCGACACTTTGACTAAATCTAAGAATTTTGAAATCGATTTAGTTTCATTTACTATGAACTCAGTAATTCCGTCAATATCATTTTTTAATATGCTTATGGCTGGATAAATATTAGTCATAACAATCAACGCAAATCGCCAAAGAACTTGACTTTGAACATAAGCAAAAATATTGAAGAAAAACTGAAAGAAAAAATAACGGAAAATTAAAATTTAAATTACATTTCAAGTGTGCAATAAAATCATCATCATCGTCATCATCATTAATACATTCGGAAGATTTGTCACACATAAATGTTTTCTACTAAAATTTACTACGCATAATCATTTACATCATTCCAACACTGTTCCTTATCATTTTTCTCATCATTTCGACTTCTTCATCGCTGCGTTTCATTTCAATTTTTCGTCAACTTCTGAAGAAGTCATAACTCAACTTAATTGTGCAAAAAAAAGATTGGAATAAGAAAACAAAATTCTGTCATCAATTTAAAAATAGATTTTTCTTTTGGATACTCCCCGGAGTTGTGCAAAGTGGCAGAAAATATAAAGTGAAAAATTTCTTGCAAGATTAAACATTAGAAATCAATACAATATGAGTCAAACAACGATGAACAACTTTCAATTTGCTCCGTTGAGAAGCCTTGACGACTTCATACTTGAATCAGCTCGTTTTCAAATTCCAACATTTAGTGACTTTGAAAAATGGGGTAATCGTGTCGTCAAGAATCTTCTTTATTACCAAACAAATTATTTTATCCTCTCGGCAATTGAACTCATAATCATTGGCCTTATTCAACCGATGAAGATAGTCCTTGGCGCAGTAGCGATTGCTGCAGTGTTTTACGCAGTTTTGATGATCTACGGACCAAACAAAAGTGCATCGACACAGCAATTACAAAGTGTCAATAAATACGCAGTATTGGGACTATTATTAGGAATTGCTTACATTTTTCTCTACATGTTTGATGCTGTTTTGCTTGTTGCTTTCGCAGTATTACTTCCAATCAGCAGTAAGTTCATCATTGATATTATCACTTAATTTCGCTCTAAAATTCTTCTAATAATTTCAGGTATTTTCATTCACTCATCATTAAGACTCAGAAATTTAAAAAATAAATTGACAACAACAGTCGAAACGATTGGCATCAAACATTCGCCCATGGGACAATTGTTGGAAGCTCTCGGACTTATGCCGGATACATTTCAGTAAACAACTAATAATGCTGATACGCGAGATTGTCGATGACATAATTTTTGATTTTTTTGATGCATACAATTCAATTAAGCAATCTTTAAGAAGATTCACCAGAAAACAAACAAGAAAAGCTGTCAAGTCCAAGGTTACAAAGTTTAAATTTGATTGAGTACAATTTTCTAAACTGTTCATAATGAAATGGAAATAAAGAATATTTAAACTTACTTTAATAACTTTGAGGTCAATTGGTTGATTTTGTTGGTCAATTTTCAACAGGTCATCATTTTCAAGATCTTCGAAAGGCTCGTAGATGTGACTCAACCTCTCATCGATTTCAAAATTTTCGAGGTTTTTAAGAAATGTGTAGAGAACCTTGATAACATCACTTATAACTTGCACTAAATTGACAGGAATATTATTGTCTTTGTCGTAATGTTTCAAGATGTCAGCTGAGGTTTTAATAATTTGAGCATCTTGAAGAAAAGTTTTATTCTTTATGATTGCCGCTTCAAAATTATCTAATGAATTAATAAATTTGGCTAATTTCCCATCTAAACTTTTATGTACTTTCACTTTGACTAGCTTTTTAAGATATAAAGCTGGCATGACACTGCTGATTGTGGGAATTAAGTATCTAAAACTGAAATTATTTTTATTACCAAGACGATTAATCTTAAGCATAATTAATAAATGAAATTACCCGGTTTTCAAATGAATGAAGGTAACATAAGAAGCTAAGAGGACTCCAGAAGTACAAAGAAATGTGATGGAATTTTTGGTGGGATTCTTGTTCTCCAATAACTCATTCAATTCATCTTCAATAATTTCTAAATGATCCACCAGAAGACGTTTTGACGATAAAATCCTGACAATTAAATTCTTTTGAAGAATCTAAAATTGAAAATCGGTTATGATTGGCCATAAAAGAAGTAAATAAAAATTACTTGTTTTTGTCGTATTTCAGTTTCTAATGATTTAATTAAAAGCATTGCAAACTTTTTAACTTTTTTTAAATTTCCCCAGATTGAGTTGTACGTCCGGCCTTTGTTTACATTTGTTACGTACAGATACGTAATGAACGTAAATTACGTATGCTTTCAAATGTTATTGAACCGTTAAATTTTCAATTATTCGTCTTCTAGTAAAAGATTTTTAATCATTTTTTGATAAACATTTGAGTTTCTTTCTTCTTATGTTTCTAAATGTCTAACTAATGTTCATAATTATTTTCGAAAAACATTGCTTTCTGTCTTAAACCAGTTTAGTTATTAAGGCCATTTAATGTCAGATATTGATAAGTATCAGATAGATTACAAAGTAAATACAAATTGATTAACCTGAGATATTACAAGAAATAAATATTATGAAATAAATATGATCTGAAAAATTAAAAGTCAAAATAATCTGATAATTTCAAGACAGTTTCTGGGTATACAGAGTTGATACAATTTGTATCGAATACATTCTTGCATTTTATTAAGTTGATCCAGTTATGAAAGCCCAAAGCAATAAGTTATTCAGCAATGCATATTTTCGCATTATGATTTAACATCATGTGACGTATAAGAAGAATTCCGTATTTTATTCTCGTGATTTTTAAACATGAACCTTGCTAAAGAATCTTAATAATAATAGAATGGAAATAAATTGCTAAAACAGTAAAAATGTCAAAAAAATCAAATCATTTCAAAGTGTACATTTTCTCATAAATACTTCTAAACAAAATATATACAAGCGTTATTGTTTTTCTTTTGTCTAAGTCATGATTTATTGTAACAATTGATCTTTCCGATCAAAACTAACATTTTGTCATTTGAAAGAAGTATGTTAGATTAATTAAATTATTTGGTCTAATGAAAAGTTGCAGCACAAACATAAACATTCTTACTCACGATAAATGATAAGAAAGTGGAGAGAGACACAAGAGAGAAACAGCAGTCAGTGCATTGTTTATATTTATCGCTTTGCGTTTTGGAAGCAAATAAATTGAATTAACTTGGATAGTAAAATTTACTTACACAACTAAGTGCTGCTCAATGACTTTAATCAATTTTAGTTTGCCTTCAGTTCTCGAACAAATAGGATGTGTTGAAAATGAAGCATGGAAATATCTACAATGCTTTTAGCAGTGATTTTATTTTTTGTTTTCTTCATTTTAGTTTTTATCACACGAGACAAAAAACTTTTTGAGCTTAGAGGTGTAGAGTTTGATAAACCAACAATTTTCTTTGGTAATTTGTGGAATGTTTTTCGCGATATTGAAAGTGAACGTGAAGTTTTCGAGCGGCTATACGAGAAATATGATAGAGAAAAGTAATTTGATAATTTTTTACTTACGTTACATGATTTTGCTAACGAATTGTTTGCATTTTTTATGACTTTAAGATTATTTGGAATATTTATTCTTCATCGTCCTATTTTTGTTATCAAAGATGTCAACTTAGCTAAACAAATTATGATTCAACATTTTCATAATTTTTCGAATTTTGCTGGTAAAAATTTTCATGAAATCTTTGACAATTATTTTGCAAATCATCTTGGATGTCTTGAAGGAGATAAATGGAAGAATGCAAAAGAGAAATTGTGAGTGATTGGTAGATAATTTAAAAAGATGAGTAATTTATGATTAAAAAAATTCTTCATTATTTTCAAGGCTATCAGTTTTTGCGATGGCAAACTTAAAATCGCTTGATAAGTGCTTCGCTTTTTGTGTTGGGAAATCATTAAAACATATTAAACTTCAACACGCACATGTTGGTGAAACAATCGTAATTGATGTTCATGAATTCATTAACCGATACATCGGCGAAACAATAGCAATGATTGTTCTTGGTATTGAAACTGGAAGCCGGGATGACATAGTCGATGACATTCTTCACACATCCAACCAAATAGACAATGAACTCATGAGCTTCAAAACAATGATGTATCTAACATTAACTTCCATGATGAACTTCAGAAATTTTAAAATTAATTTAATTAGCGATGGAGTTAAACATTTTTTCAAACAAAATGTGTTACAACAAATTGAGATAAGATTGAAACAACAAGCAAATAACAAACATAATATCATGCAGATGTTAATTGATATTGGAGAGTCAAGTGAAAAAATATTGAGTAACGTATTTATGTTTCTTACTGGCGGGTGAGTTGAAATTTGTTTTTCATCATAATGAGAGAAAGTTGCAACATAATTAAATTTTCAGATTTAAGAGCACAAAGGAACTTCTAGAAACGTGTCTTTGGGAGCTTATGTTGAATAACGACATTCAAAGTAAAATAATAATGGAAATTGACGAATGCATGGAATTCAATAATACTAAAGAAATTAATTTCGAGCAATTGAACAAGATGAACAATCTTAACTTATTTATGATGGAAGTTTTAAGAAAATATCCTCCAATACACTTCGGAACACGAATTTGTACCAAAGACTGCACAATTACAACAAAAGATGGAGAACTTTTGAAGTTTGAACAAAATGATGTGATTTATATTCCCATAACTTTAATTCAAAACGATCAAAAATATTTCGCAAATCCAAATATTTTCGATCCTACGAGGTTTTCTGAAAAAATTAATCACACAAATTTGCTTTCTTTTGGCTTAGGACCGAGAAAGTGTTTAGGTGAAAACTTTGTGATCTTACAAGCTAAATATCTAATAACGAGTGTCTTAACTGATTACACAATTGAGAAAACATCGTTAAAATCTTCAAAAAGTGATGAAATGGAGATTCAATTAACACGTCGCTATAGACAAAGTTTTAGACATGCTGATTGAGTGATCGATGTTATTTAACACTCAAAAAACATTTATTTTTAAGACTTTTCTTCACAATTGTACAGAGTTCATAGACTAGCCCATAATTAAACTATTAAATGATTCACAATCATTATAATATTTTAAGTATCATCATCTTTAAAATTTAAAATGTTTTCAAATATTTATTAACGACACTGATGAAACTTACATTGAACATAATAAAAATCATTCAACATTATCACTTACGATGGATTATAAGGTGCATTTGCAATATTTGAGATGGTTGAATCTCTTACTGTTGTGTATCTGATTGGACTAGATGAGTAACTGAGGTCATTATTACTCTTGAGTCGTCGCTTAATGCAGACAATAGTGAAACCGATTATAATTCCTAGGACCACAACGCCAACAACGGAAAATACTGTTAACATAATTGATTTCGGTCTTAAGAATTGAGGTGGATCATAAATAGGAATTTTTTGGGACTTTTGTCTTGCATATGTGATACAAACGTAATCCATTGGGAGATCGTACAATAATTTCGAGGATAAATCATAGGGAGTCTTGCAACGAGCGTCATCATTATTAACACTCTTCGTGAAATAACTTGCATTGTGATTAAACAATGACAAAGACTTCATCATATCACAATCACATGTCCAAGGATTCCCAGCTAATTTTAAAACTCGAAGCATTTTGAATTGATCTTCGTATTTCCCCATTATGTCTTGCATTGTTTCGTTCAAGTTTTCTGCATCCTCATTTTCTAGGATCACACCAAAATTTAGAGTTGTCAAAGCATTGTTAGAGATATCAAGTTCTTTCAAATGCTTTAATTCACGTAAGTCTTCCATGTCAAAGTTCGTTAATTTCACATTTCCAAAGCAATGAAAAACTTCAAGTGAAGTCAAATATTTCAATGAATTCTTTTTGATTTCTGTCAGCTGAAGAAGTCCACTAATGTTAAGTTGTTTAAGCTCCGACAAACCAATTAAACTTGTTTCTTCGATTTCTTCAATAGGATTATCACTTAGGTGAAGGTACTCCAAAGATTCACCAACTGCTGAAAGACTTTCAGGAATTTCCAAGAATTTATTTCCATTCAAGAAAATTTCTGTTAACTTTTCTTTGTTCTCAAGGATGGCGCCAGGAAGTTCCATAATTCCCGTGTGACTTAAATCTAAAATCTATAATTAAAAGTAAAAAATGTTAAGTAAACAGTCAAGTCAAGTCCTATTTTTTTTATCACCTCAAGGTGTAGCAATGAAGCTAAGGCTTGTTGACTTTGTTCATTCATTATGTCAATTGGATTATATGATAAGTCCAATGACTTCAAGTATGGCATATGCTCGAAGAGAATCTTCTCTAGATAGCTGATTTTATTATGACTCAAATCCATCGTTTGAAGTTGAATCGGAGCTAATTGTTCATCACTGTAAGGACCTTTGAATATTTCAGGGAAGAGTTCCAGTGACTCAATATTATTGAAAGAAAGATCAAGTAATTTTATATTAGGCGTATTGATGAAAGCATGAGATGCAATTTTAATTATATTACAATGTCGACATGTGAAGAAAAGTGTTGCATCGGTTGGTGGAAGTTGCTGAAGAAATTGTATCTTGCTTAAAGACAAGATGTAGATAAGTTCTATACCTGATGATTGAAAATTTCGATTGAATGTGTTGAATGTGAATAAAACATTTCTAATTATAATACCTGTGTGATTATCGCCCATTTCTTCAGGCCATTTTGCAAATATTCTCTCGTAATCTTTCATGGAACAATCGAGAGTGAAAAGCGTTCCACTCTCGCCATCTTCTAATGTACCATTTACATTTGTGCAATTGCATTTATTACAAATGTCATCAGATGGTTCATAGGTCATCTCATCATCGTAATTCGACGCTTTCACAGTTACGAAAGTTAACACCACAATTAAAAGTAAAACAAACTGAAATGTGAAACATTTTTAACGTTTTTTCGTTGCAAAGTGAAGCTTCTTATCATATTTTTGTTATCAGTTGATTAATTTATATAAAGCAATGAAAAAATATCCAAAACGAGAAAATTTCTCACCTTTAGTGTCGTCATAATTTCAATTCAATTTATCAGCATTATTCGAAGTATTTTCTTTTTACGTTTCATATGAGTCTTCAATTTAATTCAATGTTGTAAAGTTTTTCCAAGAACGAATTTTTGTTCACTTCCGCTTTGATAACAAAAAAAAATTGGAGAGTTTCAACTGCAATTATCGACGAATCACTTTCAACTGAAGCACAACTAACACAGAGACTTTAATTTCGTGAAGGTAAAGACTGTTATCAGTTTATCGTTATCAAATGTTAGTGATATTGTTTATCACAGTTTGGTATCTTGTGTGAGTAAATTTTGTTTGTTTTTTTACATTGTTGTTATTTATAACTGATTCTTTCACCAAACGATATAAAAAGAAGTTACCACTTGGCTTAAAATATGAAAAACAACTGATCGTGATACTTGTTTCAAACTTGTGACTGGTTGGTGAGTCAATCGTTTGAATACCTGGGAAAATTATTCATTATGTATTGCACTTTTCTTACAACGACGAGAGAAGTAAAATTGAACACGAGTTTGAACACGAAGTAAACTCAGAGAAGTAAGAGAGAAATTCAGAGAAATAAATATGAAACGATGTTTGCTGGTTGAGCATGGAAAGGGTCGATTGAGAAAGTGTGACACATTTCATTGTTTCTTTTTCTTACTTTTATGCTACTAAGTCGCTGCTTCTTAAAGTACTTCCTTATTAACAAAGCTTCGTTTGAAAGTGGAATTGCTAATGCTTTGCTAATTTTGATCACAGTTCGATGAGTCAACATTAACATTTTTTGACTTATTTTTTATTATCAGAATGGGATTAAAAATATTTTTTGTATGCTCTGAAAACAGTCACTTACTTAATATAGAAACACTCGTGTTCGTTCTAAAAGTAAATCTCATTTTTGTAATCTCAAAGTGATTGACCGTAAAAGGTCGTCAAATATTTTGGAGTGTGCAGAATCTTGTTCACGCTTTGGACATTAATCTCAGGAATTAATTTCATTTCATTTCACCACTTAACTTATAAATTGCAATTTGTTGATTAAATTTTTACTACCTTGATGTTGGTGAGTGTTATCAGCGAATTAACGTTTATCTCAAAACTCGAGAAATGCGAGATCCTTATTCTGTCATGCACTATAAAGTTTTGGAAACACGATATGACATTTTAATTGAATTTCTTATCACGAATGTTGATAGGAAAACGGGGATTCATTGTGATTAAAAATCACAGTATCATTATTAGAAATTGTCGTGATAAAGTGTTGCTAAAGGTTATCAATGATTTTTATTTTTGTATGTCTAGTGATCGTCATAAATATTTTTAAGTCCACAACATAACGACAATTGATCTCATTTAATAAAAATAAATGTTTCAATTCGAATGTCGTAAACATCTGAAAAATAAATTAAAGTCTCTGCAAATCATAAATGAAATAAACAAAAATTTGTTTTTGACTTGGTTTCCTTTCCTCTGGTAAAATTCCATTTTCTTGCAATGTCGACCAACGGATTTCAACTGAAAATAACAAAAAAAATTCTGGTTTTTTATTTAAAACTTATCAGTCCAAGATAAGTTGTTTTATCAGTCGTAAATTTTAATTGAAAATATCAAAAGCCTGCTCTACTTTAAAAGTCATTTACAATGTACCATAAATTAAATTTCTTAAAAACAACCTTAAAGCTTTTGTCCTAGATTAATAAACACGATAACACGTTTGATAACTCATATTGAGTGTTCAAAGATACGAAAATAACCCAAATATTTCTTTTTAAAAGTTAAGAAAATTCACTTAAATATTTATTTTCTGTCTTAATTTCACGAAATCCAATTTCAAAGTCTTTGATTTAAATTCATAAGAGTTTTCCATTATAAGCAACACAATTTGAACTAAAAATAACAAATAAGAAATTAATCAATAAAAATAATAAAAAACTTAATCTAAAAGTCACTTAGAGGCAGGGCAAAGTTCAATGTTTCAATAGTTTTTTTGATTTGCGTAATAATGTCTTAAGAATTCTGTCGGCTGATCTTGAAAATTCAAAGGATGAAGTTGTGAAGCGCCATTAACTTTAGGATCAATAAAAGTTGGTACTGGTGGCCTTGGAATTGGTCTTTGCAGTTGACTTTGACCATGTGCTTGATTTTGTGCCATCATCCAATGAAAATGTTGTGAATTAGCTGCTGCAGCGTCTAAGAAATTTCTTTCAACTGGACTGCGTGATCTTTGCTGTTCATTCTGATGAAATGCTATCGAATTTGCTGGAGGTGATGTTGGTGTTCCCACTTTTCCTTTTGTTAAAGCATAAGGCTCTGAATAATATGTTGAATGAGCTGGATTATAAAATGGTTTTGCCATCAAACTCGGTTCCACATATTTCGCTGACTTTCCTTTATATTTAAGTTTGCGTTGTAATGACTGTTCTTTATGAATCGCATCATAACTAACCGGTGAATCTTCACGTGAAGATGACGAAGAAATTTGATATTGAATTGGTGACGTATGTGGTGGTGGCTGATGATTATCTTGAGTATTGAAATAATCTGGCTGAGGTCTTTGCTCCAAACTTCTTTGATAAGTTTGAAAAGCTGATGGCTGAATATGTTTCAAATTATCCAATTGTTTCAAGTGTTCAGCATATTGTTGTGACGTCAATGTTGTTGGATCACGATGAAGTGTTTGAAGTTGATGATAAGCAGCCGCCATCATTGCATGATGTTGATCAGGATTGATTCTTTGTGGTTGCATTCGTTGAGGTTGTGGTTGATGTGGTTGTTTCTCTTCCACTGTGTGTCGAATAGGCTTAGGCTGAAGATGATTCACATAATGTTGTCGATCAGGCTGGCGATGTGGTTCTTGTTGATGATAACGTTCTGGTGGAATGTGAGAGACAAGTTCCAAAGGTCGACTTGATTCTTGATGATTTTCAATGCGATGATCAAAGCCATGCTTACGCAATTGACGTTCAAATTGATTTTGATAATATTGATAATTTAATGGTTGATGAGTTGGTTTCAAAGGTGATCTCATCGGTGACCTTTGTGCAACTTGATATTGTGGCATTCTTGGTCGGTTCTCTAATGGTTGATGTTGCATTTGACTTGGAACGGGCGGCTGTGTGGGATATTGAAGCTGATGTGGATGATTCATTCGTGGACTAATCGGCACATCAGCACTAATTTCATTCGAAAATCTTACACGTTTCGGTTGATTATGATGCTGTTGAGAAAATTGAAGTGGAGGCGGTCGCTTCTGTTGTTGCTGTTGCTGCTGCTGTTGATGATTTTGCTGTTGCTTCTGTACAGCTTCCATGTGTTTCTTTTTACTTATTTCATTTTCATAAATATGAAGAAACTCCATGTAGTTACGAGCAATTGTTGCAGCTTCATCAGTTTCATTCATCATAATTCTTTCATGACAACTTTGACGACGTTTCTGAAGTTTTGGTGCATTTGATTGTTCATCATGACTAACTCCACGGGGCATAAACTTCTTTATTTCAACACTTGATGTTGACTCTTTTACTCCATCTTCACCAGATTTCTCTTCATTTGGTTTCCTTTGAACTGTACCTTTCAAGATAGAAGTTGGAATAATTTCAGTTCCATTTTGATTTAATGTTTGAATTTCCTGAATTGTTATTTGACCATTTTGAAGTGAATTGGTTAGATCAGGTTCTAATCTCAACTCCAAAGTTTTTGCAGGGGAATTGGATGTCTGGGGAATTATTTTTGAAATATCTTGAACTTCTTCAGGCACTGTTGTTGGTACATCTTTCACTCCATTAGTCGAAGTATTTTCGACTTCAATGTTTGCTGGTGTGATCAGAGTATTTGAAAGAATTTGGGGCTTTAAAATTCTGTGTTGCGGGGGTGAAGGTGGTTCAGAAGGCAGTGATGGCGGTGGAGTTTCAGATTCCACAATAATCGGTGTTGGTGGTCGCATTTTTTGTATTTGTTGCAATGGTGTTCCTGGTTCACTTTGTGGTGTCATCGGAAAACTCACTCGCATGAATTCTTTAGATATTTTATCATCACTTGGTGATCTCATCAAACGACGACCGATTCTTCTTCCTTTCAACACATTATTATCAAAAGGTCTTCGTTCATAACTTCTCATTTGTATGTGCGAACTCATTTGACATGAAATGACGTCACGATGATTTGTCGCAAATGTTGATCCAGCCAAAAGATAAATCGGATCTGAACGAATGATGAAATTATAACTCGTGTCAGCTAATCTTATCGGTCGTCTTTCACTTGGATGTTGTGTTGAATCGGGTAATTGAAATTTCGATAGTGATGAATTTGGCTGTTTTAGATTAGGTGCGGATGATATTTGAAAATTGTAGTTTAGCAAATCAAGTTGAGAATTTTTTCGTATGACCATGAAGTCGATGAGATATTGCAAAATTTTAGTTTTATTCAAATTCAACATCTCCTTAATGATGATCTCATAAAACTTAATCATGTTAATAAATTTCTCTTTGGTTAAAGATGGCAAAAGGTTATCGAAATAGCTTACTGTAAGGATAAGGAAATAAAGTGAAAATAAATGAAAATATTAAAAAGATGTTTGTTGATTAATTTTAATCTTTGAAGGGAATTGATAAGAATGTAGATTTAGCTATTTTAAGTCATGATAAGATCAGCAAATATTCCACCTTAGTACAACACAATAAAAAACAAGTCAACTAGAACTTACCAAAATCACTTGAGGTTGTTGGGAAATGAAGGAATTTAATTCTCATAAATTCTTTATTATTTGGATTCGCCTCAAATTTGTGACGTTTAATTAGTTTCCTGGCAATTGAAACAAGGTCCGATAGTGATGTATCGCTAGCGTCTCTCAAATTAGTTAAAAAAGTATTTTTCTCCAGTAAACCACTAAGACAATCTTTGATTATTTCCAAAACTTCAATAGTTTTCTTATTCATTTGCTTATCAATTTCTCGACTAATCAGTTGCAGCTCATCCATGCTTGACATTTTTGAACACTTTGATGGTGATTGATAGTTGGTAGATTTAGAATATCGCTCAGTTGATGATGGCACTTCCGTTTGATTATTTGATGGTGCAAGAATGTCGATTTTCACTCTACTTTCAGTGTTAGATCGAGCGTCTGGTTCCAAATTATAAGTGATTGAAGTTGGTAAAACATCTAAAAGAGAAAGGAAAATTTCAGATATTAAATAATTTCTTACAATATTTACAGGAATATTATTTGATGTAAGTGTTAATGAGCTTTATTTAAATATATTAGATACATATAAAAGAATGTTGAACATTTTAATATGAACACAGATGGTTCTGAAAAAAAAACAATTTGGAGGTCATTTTGTTGTTTTCAATAAGACAAATGAAATATCTTCGCTTTGTCTGCTTCATTAGTTTTTAAGAAATAAATTTATCATTCAAACTGTTGAAAATTTTACCAGAATGTAATCTGATGACCAAAAAATAAAAAAAAATTAAATTAAATTAAAATGAACTTTTTACATGCGTCATCTGTAATGACAAATAACATATTTTGAGTTACTTTGGAAGCTACCTGACTAAGACAAAATACTTAAAAACACACGCAGATGTCGGAGAATTGTCATTTAGTTTAATCAAGTGGTTCACATATTATTTTTATGAGTAACTTTCGATAATTATTGCTCTTAAATTTTATTCACTTCGAGAACTTTCAATGATAAAATGAAATTCACAGACAACACGAACTGTCTTCATGAATTCAGCGAATATTTACTTACTCGGATTCTGATGAGTTTTAGTTAAATGCTTTGGTAAAGGTTTGATTGGTACAAACGGTTCAAGCGGAACTGGCCTAAGAAACTTTTTTTTATATTTTTTCTCAGTCGTATTAGAAGTTTTAAGTGAAGGCATTGATTTTCCTTTAGTTTTCGTTTCAGTTCCGCTTCCTTTTTCTTCATCTGAGATATCGATAATTAGACGACTATCATCGTCATCGTTTTGCGTTTCATTTTGAGAAGCTGTCATCTGTTCATTGGCAATGCCAATTTCTGTCTGATGATTATCTTTCGCATCTTTATCTAGTTGATAAAGAATTTTCTTCAAACTCAAAGTTTCATCATTGACTTCTGTCGTTGTAATCATTTTTTCATTAACCGGAAGAGTCACTGTGGGCGTTGAGAGTAAAGACTTAAGTAAAGCAGCTCCTTTTAAAAATATTTCATCGGAAGTTGAAGTTTTGCCCTCTTTTTCATTTTCCTTTTCAGGTAAAACAGCAGGAACTTCTGTTTCATTTGACTGCTGTTGAATATTTTTTTCTGAATGCACTGAACAGCTCATTTTAATTCTCATAATTTTTTAAATTAAAATAAGATTGCGTGGCTTAATTCAACATCGTCAGCCTCTGTTTTTTAATGATATATATCTGTCTTATTTTCACAGATAAGAATGACAAACACGATATTTTTCTAATGTCTGCTATGAATTTATAAATTTGAAAATCTGTCACAAACTGGTGACTAAACCGTTGGCAAGGTGACACCGCGATGCTTTGAGTTACATTTATATATATTTTTCTCTTTTTTCAAAAGAAAAATAATATTTTCATGATAAAACGTTTATTATCAGCTTTAGTGCTTTTATCAATATTTCTGTTAATGCTTCGAATTTTTACGAGAGCGATTAGGCTTTGAGTTTATTTTATGTCTTGGCTCAAGTTTAAGCGTATTTTCATTTATTATAGAATAATTAGGTTGCACTCCAATCAAATTATTTCTCATTTTTTTTATTAATTTTTCAACACTTTCAAAATAATTTTTTACTTGAGATTTTTTTAATTGCACATTTTTTTATCAGCTCTTAGAAGAATAATTCCCGACACGTTTACTCTTAATTCTTTTTCTTAGTCTTTTCGAATAAACAGAGCGAGTAAAAAACAAGGTTTTGATAAGTTCTCAGTACGACGTCTGATGACAGAAAGAAGGTTGTGATGTTAATGGAAGTTGATTTTATACTGGGTGCGGGGCGAATTATTGCTTGCTCTTTAATACTCCTCCTTGTCGCGACATGAGCTCAAGTGCTCGCTCGACAAAAAAAAGCCAGGCTTGATAAGCCTATCCATAATCCGAAAACAGAAATATATACAAAAACACATCACCAAGTGTACATATTGCTTATAACTGTGTGCTTGTTTTAGTTACTGACTTCTTTGTCACTGTGAATTTTTTTTTCTTTTCTTGAATTCATAATTTCTGTTCTGGCTGATAAGAAAAATGAATTAAATTACGAATCATCTTCAAGTTACTGTTGTGTCAAATTTCCCTAGCTTTTAAAGTTCAAATATTAAATAACGTACAACAAAGAGTAATGTGATGCATCAGCAAATAATATGATGAATGAATTCCTAGAACATTTAACACAGCAAACAAAAATCACACGGAAAAATTTCCAAATGCGATAACAGAAAATTGTAACACGAGGTATTTGTGAATTATAGTTGTAAGATTAGATAAAATCTAGATTGATCTGAATTAGTCATGTTACATAAATATAATCAGGAGTGAACATAGGAGTGAACAAACAAACATTCTAATTTAACAATTTTCAATTGTCATTATGCTGACATTAAATTTACAAGAATGATTATTCAAATCTATCCTGGTGAATATTTAGAATGTAAATCACTTCTCTAATACTAACACCAGCTCAGTTTTTAAACAAATATCATCAATCTTATCAGTAACGGCTCTATCTCAGAGATAAGAAATTATTTATATTTTTACTGACTTAAATTGAAATTTAAAATTCAAAGATGCTTAAGAATTGCAAACACTTCAATTTGAAAGTGCATGTTGATGTATTAAGAACAGTCAACCGAGTTAAAAATGTTTCACTGAATTATCAATTTATTTCTTGATAACCATCTAAATTCAAGAAATGATGTTAAAAAAATTCACATTTAATTGAATTTTAATGTTTCTCTTTTTTTCCAAGAAACTTTAATTTATCTTAAGCTCCCTTTACAACATGTGGAATAAAATTTCGTTATTTATTAATTCAATCTTATCTTATACCCTCTCCCAACTCCCACCTCTTATCTTTTTTATGACATTTATGACAAACACCCACGACTATAAATAAAATCCACGAGAAATTTTGTGAGATTACGATGACGGTCACAAGTACGTCTATAAAAGCCAAACATTATTCGAAAATTTACTCATTTCAAAGCGATGTGCTTACTTTGACTGAACTCCATCATACATGCTTTTATTCTCACTGTTTGTTCCAATACTCTATATTTTTCACAAGTCTAATGCGCTCCCAATAATTTTGTCACATGGTTACTAACATCAGTTCAAGGTTTACTTTCAGACGTCAACGAGATTAAAATGTGAATTTTGTTTTATTATGACAAATCGAAAGCTCTCACTTAGTGACGACGTATTTGAATTTGTTTATGTAGAATGAACATAAGCTTTCGGACTTGCACAATATATTTCGTATTAAATTATGTTCGCAATAGTGTTTAATAAGAACATTTAAAAGGATAAGTTTGACATTTAAATAATTATACGGGAAAGCTTCTTTTATTTAAAGTTTATCTTTATTTTTGTAATTAGAAATAACTTATTAATGAATGAAAATTAATGGAATTTTTTTATAAATCTATTTTTAAAAAGCATTAAATCTCAAGTAATCAGACAAAAATATTCCAATAATTGATAACAGGGTTCAAAATGTTAAGCCCAAGCAAAATTTGACAAAATTATTTGCGTTTGTTTTTGTATTTGAATGCGAGTATTTAAAATCGAGATTAAAACATTTTTTACTTACGTATATGCGAGCCTTCGCGTAGATAAACTAAATCAAATTTCATGTGAACTTTTATTGTCGTTTCAATCAAAATGATAATTTGAATCTTTTAATTGCGATCACTCATTTAAAAACAATAAGAGGCAAAAAAAAGCGTCTTTTTCAATGTGGGGCTTCAAAGGCACTGAATCATATTATGAATATGTGAAAGAGATCAGGATATCTACAAAGCCTGTTCTAGAGAGTACGTGTCCTTTTTTCAGACAGGTGTATAGAAAAGGAAAATATTCTCACGAGTTACACCATCATACAAGCCTGTTATGAAAAGCCACGTTGCTCTTATAGAAAAAAACATTCATTCGCACTCATACAATTAAAAATGAAACGCACAAAGTAGATAATTTAATGTTATATAGAAAATGTGTCAATCAAGAAAATTTAATAATAATAATCATAACAATTTTTAGCAATTGATGCAAATGGACAATCGATAATCAATATTGATTTTCTAAAAGTAGATATTCCATTTTTTTAAATGCTTTTATGTTTTAATTGTCTAATTGCTAGTTGAATGGAATTTTATATTCAAATTATTTTATGCACTTATCGGAAAGGAAAAGTTATGGGAAAAAATATGAAAAATTACCCTTCATATGGACTTCCCCGAACAGAGATTGTAATTGGAAGCATATTCGTAATCGTCATTAGCGGGTTGTTTAATTGTTACTTTCAATTTAGACACAACACAAGAGATAACAGTGGCAATCCAAGCAAATTTTGCTGAAATCAACAATTCATGAATAAATATTCTTTTAAAGTGAGTGAGTATAAATGTAGATGAGAAATATTAAGAAAATATCGTCACATTGCCTGCATCAGTATCAGTTTTACTACAACCCGAGCGAGAAATTACGTTGATCTTGTTTACAATTTAAAAAGATTTAATATTTTATTGCATTGTAATCTATGAATGAGCCGAGTCATATAGTAAAACTTTAAAATAAAATTTCCACGGACATTAATTTTTAAATAAGATAATTTTTGAATTTATAAAGATAATTACACACGTCATGATATGTTTCAACTTCTACCGCTGTATTCGTGCTTTTCTTTTAATTTTCTTTCATCAATATTATTCAACTAATAGCCATTAAAATATTAAATTATCTGACCTGTTAATAGAAATCCTGAATTTTTGATTTTGAAAATCCGATTCTTAATGTCAACGTTTACTGAACATCATTTAGCGTTTAATCATGAAAATCTTATCTAGATAATTTAAATCTTTCTCTTTGATCTTCAGAATTAAAACTATTTATCTTAAGTATGGAATACATTTTCGTAAACGTGGATTAAGTTGTAGAATGACTCAGTTTCGCATCAACTGGTAGAGAAAAATGACTTGAAACAGGTGTTTTTAGAATAACTGTTTATCTTAAACTATTATTGTACTTAAAAGTATCAGCTGATCAAATTTTTTGAGTTGTCTCAAGAACTTTAAAAGACTATGTGTTGCATTGTTTCCAAGGAGGTTGACGAATGTTTGAACTCAAGGCTAAAGTTTGTAATTGTTAACAGTTAAGTATGATCGATCCTAATATAATGAACACGATAAACATTTTTAATTACACATAATTTCAAAAAGTAGCACGAAGGAGTACCACGAAAGGGTTTTTAATTTCTTCTCACCATGTTTTTTGTACATTCAATAATATTGTATTAAAAAGAAATCACACCTTAGTATCACATTAATTCCTGATTATTAATTTATAATTGAAGAAAGAGACTTGTAGATATCATGACACCATTCTAATGCCACTAAGTTATACCTAAATGGCCGTAAATAATTTATCATTGAAGATGAAGAAGGCGTTAAAACAAAATTATTTCTGTAAAAATACCTCAAGGATTTGTCTTTCATTAAAGCTGAATGGACCGCCAAAATAATCAAAATTTAAACTTCTCAAATAAACTACGTTTTTAAAGCTTATCGTTCTGTTATCTAGGTTTGTATATCGATCATTAAAATATGTATGTCTCATGCACCAGCTAATTAACTCATAAGCTAGTAAAAGTAGATTGCTATTTTTTACTTTATATACACAGAATATTTTAATAGTTATTGTCATTTGAAAATATACAAAGGAAGCAGCGAGAGAATCACGAATTGTCAATGCCCGAGAAAAAAAGTTCTTATTTCATCAGTCACTGATTGTGGTGTAATGTTCGAAGTTTTGAAATATTGCGACGAAGTATAAATTTTAGAAGCAATTTAGCAGAGAAGTCCGTGCCGTTTTTCAAATTCCAATATTTAGCATTAAGTAGCATAACATCAACTTCCATGTTTCAATAATGAGCTCAACAATATTCAGATTACCTCTTCGTTTAGATTATTTTAAAACTTTCAGTAGTTTTTTTTAATACAAGTTCAATTCATCATTTTTCTTACACAAATAATGTGGCTTGATATCATTTCACTTTTTGTCAATCAAATTTCATTGCTGGTATTCTAAATTCAAGCAATTTATTCTACAAATTTCAAGCAATTAATTTTCACTTCGCTCACAGAGCGTGTAACTGTTACAATAGTTTAAAATATACTAAAACTCATGAATTGTGAAATGCATACATATTAAAAAGAAAAAATAAAAAGAGACATAAAAATGCAGTTTTATTTAGTACCATGCAGTATTAGAATACAATGGCTTTCATTTCAACTAAAGTTAATATTTTCTTAATGAAAATTTATCAATTTGGGTCTGTAGTACAAATTGTTTAAAACTAATTTAATAAGTTGACCCAAACCACCAATTTTTCTTCAGCACTGCTTTGTCGATGGCCCTAAATTATTTTACTTAAATCATGCGCAGATATTATGAAAACACGTGGCCATCAGCTATGAGTATTTCTCTGAGAAAATTATTTTAAAAACGCTCTTTGAGCATTTTATTCAAATATCTAAGTAAAATATGACCGGCTTCTACACACGAACAGAAATGTTTTGTATTTCTGTTTTATTTTTGTATGAAACTTGAACACAGAACATACAACATTATAACAATGTAGTGGAAGAGTATTCAAGATCAAATTTAGCATTTATGTTTAACTGTCGTCAGCATATTTCGTCGTGAATCTTTTATTTACTCAATATTAATGTAAAACAAAATAATAACAACATTCAATATATTTTTCACATGTTTTGTATATTTGATTTGATAGAGGTATGTGATGATGAACTCGGGCTCGTCTCGTGTATAGCGTCTTTCACCCACCGCTCTTCTGTAATACAAAATGAAACACAGAGAACTTTGGTTGGCAACAACTTATGCCACTTTTCTGTCACTTTATCTCACAATGATTATTTAGTTACACTTGATGTTGTTAGGTTGATAGCTCCAGAAAACTTCGAGGTTTTCGGTAAATCGGAGCGCTTTATATACTGAATTCTAGGATAATAAAACATCGGTTTTTGATTATTGTTATATTTTACGATCCTTTATCAAGATCGCAAATGTTTACTTTTGATATCTGTCTGGTAAAAACTCAGAAATTCAAACGCACGATAAATTATCGTCTTAGATTTAATAGATTTATTTAATATTGCTTAGTCATAAGCAATTCCCTGTCATGTTCTTTTAATGGTGAACATGTCGAACATAAATATGTGCAGTAATAAAATGTTTATTATAGATATTTTATTACCTACTTCTGATTTCTGATTGACTATTGTCTTTTTGCACGTGGGTTGTGTTCACCCTCCAATGTCGAGGAATGAGATATTCAACCGCCCTAAGGGGGTGGTGTATGAATCACGGGCACTACATATATTTGATTTGATAAAATTTTAATTAAAGGATATAAGCAAACATCATTTTGTTTGCTGGTTTAAATCAAAATCTTATTTGACGATGGGATTTGTAAAATTGAACTCTACTGTTCAGTAATTGCAGTAACTACTGGAAGATTTTTTCACCTTCAATTACACTCGGAAACTCAAATAAACTATTTGACTAAGAACTTACTTTGTTTGATTGCTTAAGTGAGTACAAAGCTCCCTTTATGACAATAAAATCCAACATACTTCATAATTTATACGTTAATGAAAATATTTTATGAAAATAAAAAAGGAGCATCTTAATGTTTAAGCTTTTATAATATGAAAAGTATGGCACTGCCAACGATGAAAAATTATTGAAAAGCTTTTATTTTATACAAATATGTTGAAATTCTTTTTTGCTATACATTAAATAAAATAAAATTAAGCTTTATTTAAATTGGGAGAGTTTCTTAATGACAAAAACCAAAAATTAGATTTTTGGGTCAGTGTCGGTGAGTTTAATCATTTTTATAGATTCATCCCATAAACGTTTATGATCTTCCGAATTCGTAACGTAAGGTTGAAGTTCGGATTCTTTGCAATCGGAGAAATATTTTCCAGTCACATCATTTAGTTCTTCAGAACAAGCAAGCATTATTGTTGTTTGCGCACCTTCCACAACTGTCTTAAACAAGCAATAGTTTAATATAGCGAGTCCAATGCTCAATGGAAATGGAACATTTCTCCAAATTCCTGAATCAATCACACCGGGATGAAGAGAATTAACAGTGATTCCAGTTCCTTGTAAACGTTTCGCCAATTCCATAGCGAACATGATATTCGCGCTCTTTGATACGTAATATAAATAACCTGGTAGGCCATCTAATTGATTCAAGTGTTTCTTCAAATTAAGTCTAGCTAAGCGATACCATCCTGATGCCACAACCACAATACGACATGGTGCTGACTTTTTCAAGAGATCAATCAGCAAATGTGTCAATAAAAACGGTCCATAATGATTTGTTGCCATGGAAAGTTCGATACCATCCACGGATTTAGCTTTGTGGAATGTATTTGCATAACCCGCATTATGAATTAGCACATCAATTCTTTTCTCTGTCTTCATAATCTCAGCTGCAAAATCTCGAACTGATTTTTGTGAGCTTAAATCAAGTTTTTTTATTAAGATATTTTCATTTCCAGTTTGTTTGATAATTTCATCTGGAAATAAAATAAAAAGTTGTTATTTTTTTGGTTTTTTAATGTTTATGATCTTTTCAAATCATGTTTGATGTTATGTTCATAGAAAGTGAAAGACTTCAGAAGGATGAAACTTACCACGAGCTTCATATGCAGTATCCATAGTTCTACATGCCATGATGATACGAGCACCACGTTTTGCTAAATCTCGTGCAGTTTCTTTACCAATTCCACTGTTTGCTCCAGTGATTAAAACTGTTTTCCCATCCATTCGAACCTGAATTTATCTTAAAATTAACTCAATGAAGCTAACACTAAAATTCGTAACCTACACTCGATGTGAACATTCCACATGTTGCTTTGACCCATAAACAAAACACGAAAATTATTGTAACAACTCCAAAAGCCAAAGTAAAATAGATCGAGAAGGTTGTTGTGTTTGGAATCTCATACCAAGCCATTCCCTTAAGAAACTCGCTAAAAATATTAAATAAATTAATTGAAGAATTTATATATGCTTTTACCATAATTTTTATGAAAACTTCAATTTCCATCAATGAAGTAAGAGTTACAAATGAATAAAATGAGATAATGAAACAAATTTATTTACCCGTGTGTTTATATTTTAATTCGGAAATTAAAAAATAACTAAATATTAATTTAAGTAATCAATTCAGTAAATTGTTTGAAAATGAACACGAAGCCAGATGAATTGATGAAAAACACGTCTAAATGGTTCCAAGGTATGAATCAAACTGATACAATAAAGTAAAAACTCTAACAATTCTTCAACTTTGACAACTCGTTTTATTGACTCTCCCAAAATATTTTCTACATTTACTTATGAGTAGACTAAAAAGTTTTAATCAACATCTACGTAGGACAAATCTTTGAGACGCCTGTGACAGGTTTTGAAATCTGAAGTTTGTAAAATTACAAAAACCTCTTCTAAAAGTCGAAATTTAATTTGACGTTGGGATTTGTAAAATCGAATTCTCTCAAAATTCTATCTCGTGCAGCTTCTTGAACACTTAAAGGGAATAAATTAAGAAACTTGCACAATGGTTTTTGATATCCCGGTATTGCAACGACACGATCTTCTCTCAAGATTGCTTCAACAGTTTCATAAGCCGCTTCTTTAGTTTCGAGTGCTGGAAATCTAATTCTGGTGCAAACAAGTAAACGAAGTAGTTGATTAAATTAAATTCAACAGAATAAAAGCAAACTTACTCGGAATTTAAAAAGTCGACAATGTCTTCTCTTGTTTTGATGAAGTAAGGACAAATAGTCGTAGTTTTTATATATTTTCTCCATTGTTTTATTCTCAAGTTTTCTTCCAATGCCGACATAAAACCATATGCTCCAAACTTGCTGGCAGTGTACGGGATATTGTGGGGAGTTGATATAATTCCAGACATAGATGCTATGCACACAATATGACCGTTACGACGTTCTTTCATTTGATCCAAAAAACATTTTGTCACCTAAATTACTATTAAAGTCAATAAATAAGAGAAAAGGTTGATGGTGTTCTTACCAGAATCGGTCCCAGAACATTAACTTTAAGCATAGTTTCAATGTTCTCTGGAGTTTCGTCCAGATTGGAATTCGACATCAAACCAGCGTTGTTAATCTGAAATATCAGTTAAGATCTCAACATTTTATTTGAACTTACTCGCTGCCAAAATACGCACCAAAATATCAACTGCGCCAAGATCATTGAAAACATTATCTCGAAGTTTTTCTATTTCATTTGCTTTGGTGACATTGACTTTATATGCTTTGGCTTGCACGCCCTTGTCCCTTATTTCTTTGCATGTCTTTTCAGCTGCTTCCAAATTCACATCAGCAATTACAATTCTACATCCCAGCTCTGCTAATCTTAAACTGATTCCACGACCCAATCCATGACCACCTCCTGTTATCTAATTGAAATTCACTTTAAACTTTTGCTTCGTTTTTTAATTAATTTGAAATGAATTTACCAATGCAAGTTTTCCTCGAACATCTTTACGTTTATAAAAGAATAATTTTTTACTTTCAAGACAAATTAATCCGCATGAAACAAAAAATGTTTTAAGACAATCCCAAAAGACAAGAAAATAGAATTTAAATGACATAATGTTTCGTATTTAGTATTTGAAAACTTCAATTTTTTGATCTTCTCACCGTCGACTTTACTCGCAAACTGACTCTGTTAAACTTGCAATATTTTTCTACAAACTTGTTTATTTTTTTACTCATAGTAATAAAAGAAGCCAATTTTAGTTAGCATGTTAGATTAGCTATTGTAAACGGAAAGTTGTGCTTTCTCACGGGCAACTCGTTCGATGAAACTTAAACTTTTTCAGTCTTAAAATCAATGAACTTACTTTAAAAATTGAAAGAAGAAAGTTCACAGACTTTAAGCTTGAAACATGTTTCAATTTATAAAACTTTTATTCAACTGTTCAAATAATCTTTTTCTCTAAAGTAATTATTTTTGAATGACTTTCTCGTATCAAAGATTGAAATAAAACTAAATCTTAATATCGAATCTTCAAAAGAATTTTGTATTTCTTTGCTTTGTTTACATCAAATCAATTTACATTCAAGTAAACTTAGGAAATGAAACGAGATGACAAAGCTATCAAATTTCAACATAAACTTTGCAACAATTTTCTAAATAAATGATTTTAAATATTTCTTTAGCATTTCGTATTCATGAATACCTTCATTCATTTGAAGTTATACATTTGTAAATAAATATCATATTTAAAATATGTAATATGTTGGTGATCATTTTTGAAGGGTCTCAATTGTGTGGAATAAAAAATTAAAGTGTTTGAACATAAACTTTAATAATATGTGCTCAACATATTTTTACATCTAAACGCTTAGAAAAGTGGCAAACTATCAGTTTGATTCTAAGTTTTTCGAAGAAATCCCTTATGCATTATTTCATAGCATTGAATGACATGATTTCCTTTTTCCAGTTAACAACCATAAGTAAACCAACTGCTGAGAAGTCATGAAGCAAAGAAGTTATGACTTTGAGAAATCTTTTAATTTCTTTACTATGATTGTACAAATTTTTGGATTTCAGTGCTTTTCAGTGAATAATTTGTCAATGAACGGTTCATCGCTTAAATTCAAGTTTTATTCTTTTATTGTTTTCATATCAATATTGATTGCTTCGTCATATTTCGTCATTTTTAAATGTAATCTCTTCACTAATAAAAAAATCAATTCAAAAAATGTTTTGACTTACGTTATTGAATATATGGCTCAAGGTGGAGGATTAGTCGTAATAATTGTTAGTTTTGTACAGTCGATTGCTTCAACTAATATAACGAAAAGAGTTTATGATAACTGTTTTAAAATTAACATAATATGCGAACGTGAATTTGAATATTCAATCAAATATTTATCAACGAAAAAGAGATTTAAAATGTTTCTCATTTTTTTAAGTTCATACGTCATTGCTGCTTTATTAAATTATTTCTTTCTCACCAACGAACCACAAATCAATCATTTCTTATGTTTTCTATTTATATTAATACAAGTGGTCATTTATAAGTTTATTTTGCTTGTTGATTTAGTAAATGTACATTTAAGAACGATTTGCAAACTTCTTCATGAAAACGATAACATTCAATTTACTTCAAATGATTTAATTTTGTTATCGGATGTTAATCAAATGCATTTTAATAAAACTTCATTGAATTCCTTCAAATTGCTAACCATAAGAAGAATTTATAACATTATCAATGATAATTCAGAGCTAATAAATCAATCATTTGGCTACACAATATTGACAATTGCCGTATATACAATTTGCGTGATAACATCGACACTTCATGATTTGATATTGATGATTGTGGGAAATTTACCAGTGTCAAGACTCGGAGGTATTCAATAATTTCAATTCCTTGGCATATTTCTAAAATATCTCTAAACTTTTTGATTTTATTCAGGAATCATTTTATTAATTCTGGTTAACTATGGCATTCTTATTTCAATTGTGTGTACATGTGAAACAACGCAAAGACATGTAAGTTTTAGAAATATTTTTCTAGATATTCATAAGTCAAACATTTTTCATCAAAGATTTCAGATTTTCACGTACAATTGAATAAAACTGAGTTAGATAAACCAAAATTTAAACGACAAGTGATGGTGAAATTTATGGAGAACTTCGATTTGCAGCTAATTTATCGTCCAATTTATTTCACAGCTGGAGGCTTTTACACTTTGAATCTAAAATTTTTGGCCACTGTAAGATCATTTTCATGTTTATTTTAATTGCTTGTAAGAAAACTATTTTCCAGATATTTATAGGAACAATTTCGTACCAAATAATTCTTTTACAATTTATGTAGAAAGTTTGAAGGGATAAACGAAGTTTTGGGCTTTTCATTAAAGCTTCATTTGTATGTTGTAATAAATAGCCTAATTGTCCTAGCTTAACAAACACGAAAGTTAATCTAAGAAATAAAATAAATATTTAAAAGTAAGGACTAAGAATAATTGTGGACTTAAGTTCAAGTATTTATGAACCTTCTAACTGCTATTTAAGTTGAAATTATTCTATTCAAATGACTGTCATTCTGGCGAATCAGGCTCAAGCCTATGAATTTGGAATATAAAGCAGAAACTGGTCAGTTGCTTGCAGTTAACCATTGAAGAAAGAAGGTTCATAATGCATTCTGCTGTAAAATATTTAAGTCAATGTGCAACAATTTTCCAATTATTTGGTCATCAATATTTCTCGGTTAAAAATTTGTCTGATGAGAATTTGAATCGTCAACCAACAATTGGTTACAAAATTTATTTCACTTTATTGTTCTCATTATTAGTGATCTTGTCGACAATCATGGTAGCTTTATTAAGTGCAGATTACAAGGTTGATAAAATCACTGCTAAGGTGATATTCAGTGCTGCTGTTACTCATTCAATGTTGGCTTGTCTAATTCTTATAATTGTGATGAGTTTTGTTCAATCATTTACCACAACTTCAAAGGTCAAGAAAATTTATTTGAATTTCGTTCGAGTTGCTGGAATTTGTCAAAACAACTTTCAGTTTATCATCGATTATCGTCAGATAAGAAACAAAATTTATAAAACGTTTTTATTCCATATTTCTTTCATGTTTATTTTGTTGAGTTCAACATATTTGTATGAAAGTAGCGTTGGTATGCCTGATGCTTTCGTGAGAATTATTGCCGCTGTAATTCCCTTGTTTTTCATTTCAATGACCGTTTTTAAATTCATCTTTTATGTTAAGTTAATAAACTACCACATCGAAGTGCTGATAACTTTGATGAGTCAAACTGACAAAAATTTGATTCAAGTCTCAATTATCAACAAAAAATCCTTAAATCCTCGTCTGAAGTTGTATGGGAAAATTAATTATTTGAAGACTATTTACGATATTTTATATGAAAATTCTATGCTCGTAAATGAATGTTTTGGGACAACAATCTTAGTAGTAATTATAAATATGGTAATTCTACTAACAACCGTTGGATATCAATCTTTTCTTATTATTGTTGGTGAAAATTCGATCAATCAAAGCGCAGGTGAGTTATTTTTGATTATGTTAAAAAAGCAATCAACAAACTTTAAAATCTTTCAGGTATTTTATTTAGTGCAGCTTCAAGCATCTTCACATTCCAATCTATCGTTTTCTGTTGCGATCGTTGCTATAAATTAGTAAAAAATTTCCAAAAATTTAAATCCTTCCAAAGAACTAAAATTTTGTTTAATTTAACAGATAAATAATTTCATAGCCTGCATCAATAATTTTGAGTGTGACCGCTATCAAGAGATTGATTACATAACTAATGAACTTCTTAAAAGATTTTACTTGCAACTGATTTATCAACCAATTCGGTTCACTACGGGTGGTTTCTATACAATAAATTTGGGACTTTTAACTTCTGTAAGTGATTTCAACATTTTAGAAGAGATATTGTGAAAAACTTAAAATTATTTCAGATTTTTACAGGCATTGTATCATATTTGATCATTCTTATTCAGTTTTATTTAACCTAAAATGTAGATTGATAAGTATTCACGATTATAACACAACATTAAAGTTAAACAACCTTCAATAAAAGTTCTAATTGATATGTGTGCGTAATAATTAAATTCTCATTATTTTATTGTACAATGATGATGAACAAACAAGTAATAATAGCGTAAAGTATTGCAATTTGTCAACACCGAAGCTTCAAGTAGTGAAGTCCTTCGAGATTACATAATTGATTTGTTTCAATGAAAATATGAATAAAAATTCCTTGCAATGATGTCTGAAAAATGTTTTTCTACATGTTTGAGATTTAGTTTTGAAATATAAAGCTTAGCAATGAATTCTGCTGTCAAATATTTGAGTCAATGTGCAACAATATTTCAATTTTTTAGTCATCAATATTTCTCAGTTAAAACTTTGAGTGTGGAAAATTTGAGTCGTCAACCAACAATTGGCTACAAATTGTATTTCATTTTCATTTTTTCAACTTTAATAACTTTTGTAACATTTTATGTATATTTAACAAAAGAACTTTTGAAAAGTGAAAATTTAGTTTTGGGTGCTGTTATTAATAATTTAATGTTTTTGAGTCTTATTCTCATCATTTTGATTGGTTCCATCCAATCATTCTTTTTGACATTTACGCTCAAGAAAATCCATTTAAACTTTTTTAAAGTATCAGAAATTTGTGAAAATGAATTTCAGTTCATCATCAACTATCGAAGCATTAGAAACAAATTATTTCGCAATTTCTTATTTTATTATTTCTTATATTTCTCTATTTATGCTTCATATTATGTTTTACAGATAATTTTCAAAGTTCCCAGTACATCATTTCGATTTTGTGCAGCTTTCATTCCGTTCAATTTTATGTTGATGACAATTTTCAAAATCATTTATTTCGTCAAAATTATAAATTATCATCTTGAAATTATTGTTGTGTTAACAAATAAAACTTTCACTTCAAATTATGAGACATCAATGGAAGTCGACTTTTATGGAAAACCAATGAGACATCACAAATTCATTTGTCTCACAACAAAAATAAGGGAATTAAAAAAGCTTTACAAGATTCTCTACGATAGTTCTGAGTTCATAAATGGATCAGTTGGTGTGACCATTTTAACAATTATGCTTATCGTTGTGGCCTTAATTACGGCTTCTGGATATTGGTTGTTCATTATAATAATTAGAAAAGAGTCGATTGATAAAGTCAGTGGTAACTATTTATATCATTTAATCACAGATAAATGAAATCGATAAAAAACAATTTCTTTATTGTAGGTGCAATGTTCGCGGTATTTACAAGTTTTCTTACTTTAATTATCATCACGTTTAACTGCAGCAATTGTGAAAAATATGTAAGCTTTTAAGTAAACTTCAAAGAATATATTTAAAAGTAATTTTAATTTCCTTTAGATGAAAGATCTGTTGGATTCTATTGACAAGTTCGAGTGTGAAAGTTTCTACGACATTGATGAAGTTAGCTTTGATATGTTACTGAAATTTTATAAGCAGCTTTCAATTGAACCAATGAAATTCACAACTGCGGGCTTATACAACATAAATCTTAAACTTTGGTCGTCGGTAAGGAAAGCTGGAATTAATCAAACTATTTTTAACTTTTTTATAGATTTTTACAGGAATTATTTCCTACCTAATCATTCTTCTTCAATTCTATTCAACTTAATTGTTTGATGTTAATGATAAACAAGTGGAAAAGTTTTGCACAAGCAAATATCCAGATAATCAAGAGTGAACATTGCACAAAGAATGTAAAACACAAACCAATTTTTAAAATTAAATGTCATGGGTGTTTAAATAAACAAATAATTGAAGCACGTTCGATTTATAATTTTAATTGAAATTGTCAATCATAAATCAGTAGTTCGAAGTTTACAGTTGAGATAAGAAGTCTTAGAATGAATTCTATCATAAAATATTTAAGTCAATGTGCAACAATTTTTCAATTATTTGGTCATCAATATTTTTCAGTTAAAACTTTGACTGTGAAGAATCAAAACCGATATCCGACACTCGGTTACATCATTTATTTTATCTTTATATTTTTAACTTTATTAATTTTTTCATCAATTTTCGTATCAACAGCTGATATTGATACTGACGATGATACAATCACACCAAATACTATTCTGAGTGAAGTCATCGCCCATTCAATGCTTGCTGGTTTAGTTCTCATTGTGATTGTTGGTTTTGTTGAGTCATTTATCGCAACTCCAAAGTTTAAAAGGATTTACTTAAACTTCATTCAAGTCGCTCACATTTGTCAGAATGAATTTCAATTTTCTATCAATTATCGTCGCATTAGAAATAAAATGTTCCTCAAATGTTTTGTTTACTTTTGTTTATTTGTTTTATGTGAACTTTTATTGTTCTTTTACGAACGAAGCTTTAACCCCAAAGAAGCTTTGATTCAAATGAGTATTTCATTTGTTCCAATATTCTTCGTAATTATGTCAATATTTAAATTCATTCATAATGTTCGTCTCATAAATCTCCATCTTGAAATTCTTTCCAAATTGATGAAAAATCTTTTTGATGCGAGATATAAAACGATCGAACATTCGAACATTAATAAAAGACAAATAAGAAGATCGAAATATTTTAATCTTTCGACGAGATTAAGATTTATTAAAAAGATTTACAATATTCTTCATGAAACATCAGAACTCATTAATCAATCTTTTGGAATAACTGTTTTGCTTATAACTCTTGTCATGGTGATTTCTATAACAGAATCAGCTTACCGAATTTTCTTGATAAGCGTTAAAAAAGAAACGATTGATGCTATTGGGGGTGAGCATTAATTCGATGGTTACAAACTTTTCTTAAAAATAAATTGAAATTCCACATTTAGGGGCAGTTTTTAATTTATTAATGGGCATACATTCATTGATCATCATCGTTTTAACATGCGATAGCAGTGGAAAGCATGTAAGTTTGGATACCATTTTTAACCCACATTTATAATGAAGTTTTTATTCTTGTTTCGAATCTTCAAAGATGAAGAAAATTTTAGAATGCATCAATAATTTTGAAACTGAACATTTTCAAGATATTGACGATGTTAGTGATGAACTTTTAACAAAACTTTACATGCAAATTAATCTGCAGCCGGTTGAATTCACTACTGCTGGTTTCTACACCATAAATTTGGGATTCTTAGCATCGGTAAACGAAGTTTCAGTTAGGGAAGTCATTAAAGTTAACTAATAGAGATAAATTTTCGCAGATTTTTACAGGAATTGCTTCATATCTGATAATCCTTCTTCAATTCTACACATCCTAACTTGTCAACACATCGAACTCTATTTGTGCTCATTTTCCCTTGCCAATTGAAGTTGACCGAATAATTTTCGAATGATTATTACTTTCAAGTCTCGTGGGTGGTCTTTTATTCATGAGATATCAATATCAGATAACCGTTAACTTATACGCAACTTCACCTTTTTTTGCCAAACACGCAATGCACTTTTAAAATAATTTTAGTTTAGTTTGAGCTGTAAAAGGTAAAGGAAGTTAATTGAACAAACAGAAATAATTTTCAAAAAGGAAAATGGAAAAAGAAATAAATAGTCTTTTATCATGCTTCGAAGCCTTCGGATTGCAGTATTTTTCATTAAGAAAGGATGATCTACATAGTCGACCATCAATTTGGCGGACAGTTTATTTTGCTTTTTTATTATTTTTAATTACTATTGCATTTGTAATGGCCGCCGTGATTAGCGATGTCTTCTATTTAGAGGAAGCGTCAGCGAAAAGTTTTGTCTTGAATACAACTAGAAATTTCATGATTATTGGATTGATTCTCGTTGTTTACACAAGCATAATTCAATCGTACTTTTCAACAAGAAGTACGAAGAAAATATTCAAAAATTGTAAAGACATTTTTGATGCTTTTCAAATGGAATTCAATGTGAAAATAAATTTGAAAGATCTAAAGAAACAAATTCAGAAGAAATTTATTCAAGCAATGATGTTTCTGATTGTAACTTGCAGCACTGTGTTGGCAATTCATGAAAGTTCTTTAATGAACATCACGGAAAGATGTTTAGGTTTCATTCCAATTACTTTTTACATTTTTGTAGTTTTTAAATACATTTTTTATGTCACGACCATAAATTTTCATCTGGAATTGCTTGAAAAGCTTCTGCGAAATGTTGCTATTAAAAAGGAATATAAAATGTTGGAAAAAGTTATTCCTGGAAGGAATCTCTCACGGGTTTCTGTGACATCTCAGGAGTATTTTGATCCGATGAAACAATTCCGTGCCGCACGAAAGATCTACAATTTGATATCTGAAAATGGTGATCTGGTGAACAAATGCCATGGATTCACAATTTTAGTTTTATTACTCGGCATTGTTCTCACATTAACGGGAAGTGGATATCGAGCTTTTATGATAATTATGAAAAACTTGTCATGGAGAGAGACGCCAGGTAAATTAATTTGATGAAATCAATAAAAAATAAAAATTTAATCATCATTACAGGAGTCTTATACGTTCTTGTAATGACAATAACAATTTTAATAGCTATTGTCGTCCATTGTAACAACACAACTCAACTTGTAAGTTTACGAATTTCAATATTTAAATACAGTGTAAGTCCGTTGCAAGAAATCTCATTATAGGAAAAATCCCCGGAAAAATTGTGACTCCCTTCAATTGTCTTACAACGGACTTGCACTGTAGTTCATTGAACTCATCAATTATTTCTCTTTAAAGATTAAAAAACTTGCAACAACTGTCAACAAAATTGAATGTGAAAACTTTGATTACCTTAAAACAGACATTCGGCAAGTTCTTGAAAGTTTTTATTCACAATTAATCAGTCAACCAGTTGAATTCACTGCAAATGATTTCTATACAATCAATTTGGCTCTTTTGGGATCTATAATAACAAGTGTCACGTTCTATGAAATTATTCTTGTCCAATTTTATGCATCTTAAAAGGATAAAACTTTTAGCAGACATTTCTACAGTCCAAGCTCTATGAGTGCAAGCCCCACGAAAAAAATCTCTAAATTTTATTACATCCATACTTGAGAGCAATGTACATTCCAGAAGGGGAAAATTTCCATCTCTGCAAAGCTCCCTTTTGACCATGTGCATTTGTATTGATTAAACGATTCAAATAAATAAAGTACAGCAAAAAATGAATTGAAATCAGCATTTAAAATGCAAAAATTATTCACATAACATTTAAAATTTAAAAAATAAAACCTTTAAGTTTGTCTTTATTCCATATGTTTAATTATTTTTCAATTATCATTTATTTTAATCCACCATTTAGTTGATTAACATTTTTTTAAATTAAGAATTTTAAAAAAGTTCTGTGAGAAGAAAAGCTCCAAAAATGAAACTCCCTTCAGCTTCCGCTTATAAAGATTCCACTGTACTAACTCTCATTCTTAAAAAGTAAATAAACGTTCAAACAAGAATAAACTTGGCAGTATTACGTGAAACCTTGAATATCTATATAATTTGGGATTCTTAGCATAAACGAAGTTTCAGTTAGAGGAGTCATTGAAGTTAAGATTTTTACAGGAATTGCTTCGTATCTGATAATCCTTCTTCAATTCTACACATCCTAACTTGTCAACACTTCAAACTCTATTTGTGTGCAATTCCCTTGCCAATTGAAGTTGAACGAATAACTTTCGATTGATTACTACTTTCAAGTCTCGTGGGTGTTTTTTATTCATGAGATATCATCATAGAGATAAATTTTCAGTTTACTCATACATAAATTAGCCTTTCAAATTACTTGTCATGCACGCATTGAGCTTTTACAATATTTTTAGTTTAGTTTGAGCTGTAAAACGTAAAGGAAGTTAATTGAACAAACGGAAATAATTTTCAAAAAGGAAAATGGAAAAAGAAATAAATAGTCTTTTATCATGCTTTGAAGCCTTCGGATTGCAATATTTTTCATTAAGAAAGGATGATCTACATAGTCGACCATCAATTTGGCGAACAGTTTATTTTGCTTTTATATTATTCTTAATTACAGTTGCATTTGTAACTACTGCCGTGATTAGCAATGTCTTCTATTTAGAAGAAATGTCAACCAAATGTCTTGTGTTGTATGCAGTTAGAAATTTCATGATTATTGGATTAATTCTCGCTATTTATACAAGCATAATTCAATCGTACTTTTCAACAAGAAGTACAAAGAAAATATTTAATAATTGTAAAGACATTTTTGATGCTTTTCAAGTGGAATTCAATGTGAATATAAATTTGAAAGATCTGAAGAAACGAACTTGGAAGAAAGTGGCTCAAGCAATGATGTTTTTGACTGCAACTCACAGCACTATGCTGGCACTTCATGAAAATTCTTCAATTAGCATCGCGGAAAAATTTTTAAGTTTCATTCCAATGACTTTTTATATTAGTGTGGTTTTTAAATACATTTTTTATGTCACGACCATAAATTTTCATCTCGAATTGCTTGAAAAGCTTCTGCGAAATGTTGCTATTAAAAAGGAAGATAAAATTATGGAAAAAATTATTCCTGGAAGGAATCTTCGACCAGTTTCTGTGACTTCTCAGGAGTATATTGATCCGATGAAACAATTCCGTGCCGCACGAAAGATCTACAATTTGATATCTGAAAATGGTGATCTGGTGAACAAATGCCATGGATTCACAATTTTAGTTTTATTACTCGGCATTGTTCTCACATTAACGGGAAGTGGATATCGAGCTTTTATGATAATTATGAAAAACTTGTCATGGAGAGAGACGCCAGGTAAATTAATTTGATGAAATCAATAAAAAATAAAAATTTAATCATCATTACAGGAGTCTTATACGTTCTTGTAATGACAATAACAATTTTAATAGCTATTGTCGTCCATTGTAACAACACAACTCAACTTGTAAGTTTACGAATTTCAATATTTAATAATTTATGATGAACTCACCAATTATTTCTCTTTAAAGATTAAAAAACTTGCAACAACTGTCAACAAAATTGAATGTGAAAATTTTGATTACCTTAAAGCAGACGTTCGGCAAGTTCTTGAAAATTTTTATTCACAATTAATCAGTCAACCAGTTGAATTCACTGCAAATGATTTCTATACAATCAATTTGGCTCTTTTGGGATCTATAATAACAGGTGTCATGTCCTATGAAGTTATTCTTGTTCAATTTTATGCATCGTAAAAGGGATAAAACATTTTGTAGACCTACATTTATTTTACTTACTTTAATATCTACTTAAAAAATAAATAAAAGTTCAAACAAGAATAAATTTGGCATTATTAAGCAAACCTTGACACTTACTTTTTTGACTGAAAGTAAACTTTGTCGTGAAGAAGCAATTATTTTGATGACACTGTCTGTCTATGTCCGATTTTAAAATCAATAAAAATATTTTAAAATTTTCCACTTCTCAAACATCAACTCGGAAAAATTGATTTCCAAACACATAAAATTTTTTTTCATGAGCTGCGTGTCAAATCAAATAAGAAGAAAAAGTATATTTTAAGGTGATTACATGTTTTGTCATTCAGTTTGTATTAAGAAATTATTCGAGCAAGATGGAAAGTCAAAAGAAACCGGTGCGACCTTCTATGGAAGAAGATTTGAATAATTGTGTGCAAATTTTTGAAATTGTTGGCTTGCAGTTCTTTTCTTTAAAGTCAATCGCCGATAAAAATTTCATGGATCGTCCTTCAACTGGTCGAAAAGTGTTTGTGATTGTGCTTATCGTTGTAATAACTTTCATGACGATTTTGTTTCTATCAAAAAATGATAGAATTAATACAAAAAATGTTACAGCGAAAAATGTTGTGATGTTTTCAATCAGGAATTTCATGAACGTTGGATTGATATTTGTTGTCTGTTCCAGTATTATTCAATCATACTTGACTACTCATAAAGCAAAAATATATTTCAAGAATGTTAAGGAAATTTCAAAAATTTTAGAAAATGAATTCGGAGTTGTGTCAAACTTCAAGGACATTCGCAATCAAACATGGAAACGATTCTTGTTATCATTTTTATTCTACAATATTGTTCACATTACCAATGGAATTTTTACCAAAGATCTTCAAGATTTTCTTAATAAAAGCTTGGGAATTATTCCACTTTTATATCTTTGGATGTTTACATTCAAATTTGTGTTTCACGTTAAATTGATAAATCATCAGTTGAAAACTCTGCAGAAGATGTTGCAAAATATTTTTAAATATCAACCACTCAAGATAATTGACGCTGTAAATATTCCACAAATATCAATCATAAAACCAATGAAACCATCACTTGATCTCCTGAGGCATTTGCAAGGATTGAGAAAAATTTACAACATAATTTATGCGAATAGTATTTTGGTTAATGAATGCTTTGGAATAACAATCTTAGTGCTTTTGTGCAACATTATTATTGCATTGACTGTATGTGGATACGAAACATTCATCTTTATGCTTGGAGAACTCGAAAATTCAAAGACAATAGGTTTTTATGATTTCGATATCAATCCGCCATTTTTAAATTGACATAACAATCATTTTTAAATAATCTTTAGAAACTGTTTCCATCATGATCATGTGCATCTCATTGCTTATCGCTTTGGTATTTTGTTGTCAGCGAACTCATCAAATTGTTAGTATCGTTAAATGTTTACATTAAAAATAACTCGCAGAATTTTGTTTATTTATTGAACAGTTGAAGAGAATCGGAGCTACATTGAATGAAATGGAATGTGATTATTACGATCTTTTAACTTCAGAAACGAGAGAATTTCTGCAAAAATTTTATCTCCAATTAAGTCATCAACCAGTTATTTTCACAGCTTTTGGTTTTTGTAACATAAATCTTGCCATGCTTGGAGCAATTGTCATAGAAATCGCTTCATATCAGATCATTCTTGTACAGTTTTATGCTTCATAAACCATGTTTGTTACGTAGAGTACATACACATCAAAGTTAATTACTTAAAATAATTTCATAACTCATTGAAATATTAACAAGGGAAAAAGTTCAAATTTCAATTAATATTGGATGACATCACTGACTGAAAATGTTATCAATTTTGATGTATGAATTATCAAAGGAGCTATTAATAAAAGCACTATCATTAAGTTAAAACGATGGCTTTAGAAAATATTCAATTGTGTTTATGTATGGTTGAATATTTGAAATATTAACGATTCATAAATATTGTCGCAAGCAGAGCTCGGAATTATTGTGTTTACATTTTTTACAAAAATATTGAATTGTGATCATTGTGATTGCGCAACAAGCAAGTTTGATGTCGTTTAAGTATTTTTAGGCAACTTTATTTAAAAATTTTTATCAGGTAAATAAAATGGTGGCCGTCACCCTTGGGTGAGGCCTCTGTAAATAGTTTTAATCTCTTCTTAACTTTACTTGCGTGATGAATAATTTATGAGAATCATTTACAACATCAGGGGAAAAAGGTAATTGTATTAATTCAAACTATAATAAATGTTGAACTCTGTTAAATGTAGAGTTCAGTTTCAATTTTGACATCAAACGAGAAAGATGGAATTTCCTCAAGAAACTCCAGTTTCTAAAATTTATCAAGATAAAGTTAACGGATCTTTGGTTTTGCTTGAAGTTTTTTGTTTACAACATTTTAGTGTAAAGAAACTTGATGACAAAACTTTCAAAGATTGTCCATCAATATTCCGATTAATCTACATGATCTGCTTTCTCACATTAGTTGCAAGCGTCATGGTCTTTTATATTATAGAAGACGAAGGATCATTATCGATAAAAGAAGTGCAATCTAAAAATTTTTTGGCATTTGCGATAAAGACCACGATGAATCTCGGTATTTTTGGTGTTGTTTGTACGAATGTTATTCAATCATATTTGACTACTAAAAACACAAAGAAAATTCATTTGACATCAATGGAAATGGCAAGAATTTTACGAGATGTTCTGAAATGTCCTGTTGACTTTGATCGTCTCACAAAATTTACAATGCGTCGGCTTCTCTTTACAGTTTGTTTCTTTCTCATAAATCATTGTGCTTTAATCCTTTTTAAACTTGATGACAGGAGATTAATGTCAGTAGTTGTAGGAAGTTTACCTATGTTTATGCTTTTCTTGTGTGCATTTAAATTCAATATTTACGTTTGGTGGATCAATAACCAAATTCAATATCTCAACATGTTTCTAAAAACTATTTTTCAAAAGCCTGTAACAAAAGTTATTTCAACCATCAATCAAAAAGTTTTCCCCATCAATCCGCAAATAAGTTATCAGAATTACATGGCACAACTGCTTGAAGCTCGGAAAATGTTTAATAAGATTTTTTCGATTTCTTCATTACTAAATCAAAATCAAGGGATGTTAATTTTGATGATGCTGACTGTCCTATTAGTTGCATTGACTGCGTCTATTTATGACGTTTTTATAATCGCTCTTGGAGAGATGAAAGTGCAAGAACTCCCAGATAAACTTCATATTATATCTATCTGCTCAAGCTTACTTCTTTCTATAGCCATTTATTGTCAGAAAACACAAAATGTTGTAAGAAATTCATTTTAATTTTTTTATTGCACTGCAGATAAAAATTATTTTATATTCCTATTCAGATGTGTGAACTTGCAACAACTTTGGATGTGATACAATGTGAACAGTTTGAAAACATTCCAACAAACGTTCAAATTTTCCTTCAAAGCTTTTATCTTCAAGTCAATCATCAGCCAGTGTCATTTAGTGCTTTTGGTTTTTACACGATCAATTTAACATTGCTTGCTTCAATCATCACTGGAATTGTTTCCTACGAGATTATTTTAGTCCAATTTTATGCTTCTTAAAACAAGTTTGAATTGATTATTGTCAAAGTTTAATTAAGTTAAAGGCACTTGCCTAAGTAAATAATTTATCTACGTGTCTGATTGTTTCACATTTCTAAATAAATTTCATTATTTATTACACAGTTGACATTTTTTTTGAATAAGATAAAATAAGTCATCAGCATTTAATTAACGTAATTAATATCCTTATGTAAACTGTTTTGGCCTGTTCAAAAGATATACAAATGTATACAATTTATGAGTTCATTACAGGAAAGGGCAATGTGAATATTGTTAGCTTACAACTCATTTCATTTTTCTGCTAGAAAATTTGAACAACTGTAAATATCTTGTTTTTAATAATTTGAAGATGTAGGTAAATGAATTTTGATAACATCTGATATTAACACAAATGTATTCTTTTCATCATCAAATCATTATTTATTATCCGACTAAATAAAATTGTTTGGCGGGTTGCATAATTTGAGGCGAGTTGTGTTATAGTTCAGAAAAGTTTGAGAATCTTGTTTCTCTCAGTGATTACGCAGGTTCTAAAGGTTGAGAAGCTTTGGCTTTTGTCATGTTCATATAACAACATAAATTGATTCTTTTCAACATAACGAAATGTTTTTTATATTTCTTAATGCAACCACATTTAATATAAAACTTCGCCTGATCTTATTTTCTGCAAGAATAAAAAGTTGATTGGAATTTTTAAGGCATCAAGTCAAATCATTCATTTGTGCTTAACTCATTTTACTTACAACATCAATTTTAAAACAATAAAATAACGATTAGGAACTTTTATGAGTGTTATTTCGTGATTCTTTATGTTTATTTTGATTTATTTAATTATTTTTAATATCATGTAGTTTAATTTTATGGCATATTTTGCACTGGTTTTCTTTGATTTCGCAATTTAAATACTTTTAATTTTTATGATTTTCTTCATGGAGTCAAAAGTTTTGAGAATTTCTCGATTGGAGAATATTTAAATAATAATTAAAAAATTATGGTTTCTTACCAACACACACTCACTAACAATTCTTTCATGCATTTTGTCAAATTTTGTGTCAATAACATCGTAAATATGAAATAAACTTGTCAATGATACAATGAGTCTCCTTTGTTGATGTCGATATTTACTAGAATATTCAACATTATGTTAAATTTGCCAATTATGTGCGATAGCTGCTGACTTGAAGAAAGATTTAAAATTTACGGTAAAAACTCATTTCGAGTCATTTAAACATTTTCGCATGACGAAAGTTTCATTATGAAATTCATTGTTATAGATAAGTTAATATCCAAAATATTCTTTTAAATCTCAACCTTAACATAACTTGCCTTCTTATTCAGAATATTTCTTTAAAAAATTCTTCTTCTTCTGAAATAATTCTTGTTCAGTTTGCAAATGAAGAGAAGAATATTGAATGAAGCTTTAGAAATGTTTATTTACAATAATTGTTAAAGTTATAAATCAAACTAAATATTTAAATGCTTAACATAAACCCTAAAAAGTCTCTTAGAAAACCATCAAATTTGAAAGCTTTCACTTTCAATCAATTAAACACGTTTCGACATTTGTATCATTAAAATCTTGACTTCTTTGTTGATGAACTGTAGAGATCATTTAAGTTTTCTATAAAAAAATCAAAGTTTGATTGAAACATCAAAACATATATCTCTGCAAATGCACAGCTGGTGGCAGCCCGCATTGTAATAAAATAATAAGAGAGAAACATTTGATTTGCTTATTTTATTTCATATTTTTTTTGCTCCATAAAAGAAAATTGCTACAAATAGTAATTGAAATGAATAGCAAGTACACTTTGAGAGGAAATACTTAGCATTACAAAAGAGAATGATTAGTTGGTCGGTTAGCTGATTGGGGTATTTTTAAATACTTTCGTTCGTGGGAAAAATTTTTTTTTGGTTGCTTCGCGAGTGAATAATTTATGCATGAACAGTTAGTTCGAAATATCACACGGATTTTATCAATAAAAATATCACGGAGATGCGGCCTGAAATCTAAAATGCTTTTGTATGAATTTGTAATCAATTTGCTAAATAATCATGCGATCTTACCCTTTTGTGTGGTTTCCATTTCACTCTCCGATCACTTTTCTCAAACTTTATTATTGAATATATGTTTTCGGCTAAAAGAATGAAATGCTTTTGATTGCGTTTTCTTTTTTAACAATTTTATTTTTGGTAAGAAGCAGTCACTCGCCAAGATCTCATGCTGGTAGGTCTTTAAAGTATTCAAGTTCGTAGATCTGTTCTCTTTCTTCAAAACACAAAAGTATGAAAGCAAACTACATTCGAAATAAAACACAATATAGGTGAGCCAACGGAAAACCACAAGCGATCAAAATATAATTGATCTAATAATTTTTGTTAACCTGCGGTTCAAGCTGCTTTTTCAATTACTAATTTCTATTTGTATAAATCAATATTTGTAATGCTAACTCTTGATTGTGTATAAAAAGCAACGAAGTACATGGCGGCAAAAGATCTTGCTTTCTTGTGGTTTAGTTTAGTTACCTTCTACGCTTATAGTCCATAATGAATTGAAGAATTATAAAAGAAATTTGTTATACTAGCAAATGAATAAAGAGAAGAGAAGAAAAAAGATTTATGAGTTGATATTTTTCATTCAATTTCGGACGAATTCTCGTGAAGTATTTTGCTCTAAATAAATCTTTATCTGTTCAAGTAGTTTTTGTAGATTTTTCTTCTCTTTAACTATTTGTGAGAGCTTTCATTGTTTTCTTTCTCGTAATATGATATCTACTTGTGAAGAAAATGAAGCGTCAAATGATAAACTGGTTCGTTTGACAATGATATTTCTTAAATCAATATTAACAAAATCGACAAACTTGCTACGCTGAAATGGATTCTGAAGTTTTTTTCTTTTCATATAAAATGAAAAAAGAAAAACTTTATTAAATGATGTAAAACGTGATCTTACCATTTTATCCAAGATGCAGACTTGGTGAGTAAAAAGAATAAGAAAAAGTAGTTTTGATTTCTACACACGACCGCAAGCGCATTTCTTGAAGTTATTGTTGTTATGTTGGAAGTTGGAAGACAAATGCAATTACTCGCAATGAATCGTTAAGCATTAAATTACAAAACGTTTCTCATTCTTCTTGTAAATCTTTATTAAAATATCATTTTCACGAAAAATAGATAGAAAAAAAAGATTGTTAAAACGTAAATTATTTATATTATTGTCCATTTACTTAAACTCGACTTACTTACTCACTTAATTCATATGATGAACATTAATTATTAAATACTGGCTATTTTTCATTCTAAGTAAACGCTACTCGCTATGTAAGCATATTAAGGAAGTTTCTTCTTCTTTTTCTTTCAAATTCTTCGTCTTCTTCTCTTAAATATTACATTTTATTCCTAGATGTTTCTATTAATCTACTTCATTTAAGTCTCAGATGTCGAAAGATGGAACAAGAACTGTTTTACAAATGGAAGAACTGACAGTTTTCATTCCCAAGCTATTTATCAAAAATAAGAATGAAAAAGAGACGTTTCTTGGGGCTTCTTTTCGTCACTCGCAAGGCGAGCATAATTCATAAAAATTAACCGACGATTAAACTTCTTCTTCTCTTATTACTAACTAACATGATCCGAAAACGAAGAGAAAAAGAAATTTAAAATTCATTCGATTGAAGTTCGAGACTACTTACATTAAATATTTAAAGAAGCATTAAAAGATATTAAAAGTGAAACATAAAAATAAATACAATCATCAACTAATTTAATTATATATGCAATGTGAGCGTATCATTTGAATTAACATTATTTATCGTATGATGAGCGTTGCTGTTGCTACTATTAAAATGTGTTGAAGACGCTGAAGCGGAGAAACATTTAAAATCTACCTTATTTATGCATTTATCAAAGTCCTTACTTAACTGTTGGCTTTCAATGCCTTGAATTGTATTCTTATCTACATCGGAGTTTTGTGTTTTGAAAAGCGATTGTGAATTAAGAGTTTTTGTTGTCTCAAATTCACTCGCATAGTCATTCGGATGTGACTTTAATATCGACAGCTGCGATCGACTCATTCCACTCGGCCCAGCTAAATCTTGTATCGGATTTAACTCAACATTTGAACTTCGCAATGAGCATGATGAATTCTTCAACGGATTTGCATAACGTCGAAAGTTCTCCTCGTTTTGAAGATTATTTGATTTCTCTTCATCGTGACAACGGGTGGTGTCGGTCACCGAGAGATCGATTTCTGATTGACGGAAACAAATCGTCTCATTTGAATGCCATAGACACAAAGTGTATATCACTGAACTTATGATTAATATTAATACACCTATGAAGACTATGAGAAGATACGCTTCTCGTTCAATGTTCTCATTCGTTATTGCTGTTTCCACTTTGATTTCTACTATTGCATTCAAAGCGATTATCTCTGGATAATCAATTAAATAAGAATCTTTAATATGTAGTTTAGGTCTCGACAAAAGTTCGCCTAACATTGCCACCACCTTTGGAAGCACGGTGCTTGTCTCATCGTTGCATGACTGTAAGATTTATATAAGCATTTAATTAGATTAACATTAGATAAATTATTTATTACAAAGCAATTATGAATGAGAAATTGCATCGCAAATTGCACAATTTGCTAGGAATTTATCTTTCTCGATCGCTTTCTTTAATCAATTTCAAATAAATACTCACAATTGTCACTTCGATTGTGTCATTTGATCCAGATTTTATATCACAGATGATTATAATTGCTGAGTGGAAAAAGATTCGCTGCTCGACCATTCGTCCGCCGAGAATTGTACGGAGATTATGACAATATGATTCAGTCGACAGTCCTTTTGAGATCTTCAGCATATCAAGCACGATGTTAATACGTGAACAGTTTTCACTTAATATCGCTTGGTTCGGCCAACATTTACTTGTTGCTGGATATTTTGGTGGTGCAGTACGAAGCGATTGTTCAAGCATCCGGCAATCACCACGCTTTACACATGGTGGTGACAAACAAGTTTCTTTCAATGCTGGAACGCACACTTCATTATCATTACATTCATGTACAAAGGAAGTTCCTTCAGAGACACAATTTGGTAATCCACACCATAGATTGGAGCATTTTGTTTCATTCTTCTCACCACATAGACAAGAATTACAAAGATTTGTTTCAACGACAACATCGTCGTTGTTGTTGTTATTATTGTTGGTGTCGTCATCATCGTTATTATTATAATTAGAAAAGGAACATTTCGGCGGTGAGTTTGAAAGTACTGTTGGATGAATAGAAAAAGAAAAGAAAAATGAAAAGAATAAAAAGGGAAAGAAAATAAAAACGTTAATTTAAACTATCACTTGAAGTGATGATAATAAGTTAGATCAACTTACAAATTTCACATCGTTTTCCTCGTCTGTTCGATGGACAAACGCATGAGAATTTACCGATACCATCGATACAAGTCGCACCTTCAGTGCACGGTTGAGATGCGCATTCGTTTATATTAATGCGGCAGTCGGGACCATCGAATCCGGCTGAACAAACACATCGAAACCATCCGTCTCCTGACTCACAAGATCCATTATTGTGACATGGTCCCGAAGCACATAAATCTGATAGATCGTCATCATAGTCATTGATCATTGTCTCACATAATGTGCCACTAAAACCGTCGGGACACATGCAATAAAAGCCATTGATCATATCCACACATTGACCATTCTGACATGGATTGTTGACGCATTCGTCAATATTTATATCGCAATCATGACCAGTAAAGCCAGCGATGCAATTACATTGATAATCGTTAACAAGATCGATGCAAGTGGCGCCGTTTTTGCACGGTACATTCTCGCATTCATCAATATCTGGGTTGGTTTTGTTTTCAAATAAATTAAAGAAAAATAAAGAGAAGAAAGAAAAAATGTTGGAAAATTAAATATTTATTTTATTTATAAGTTAAAGAAAAAGTTAGTTACTTACTTTGTTCACATCGTTCGCCAGTAAAGCCTGGAGTGCATGTACACACGTATTCAGACTCAGTTTTTGTCGATGATGACAAAGTGAAATTGTCATTAACTGCGACAGTGCGCGCTGAAACTGGTGCTCCCATTGAGCTCATGCCACGATATTGTCTCGGTTTGTATTCAGGCTTCGTGACATTCTTCTTCGATGACTCTTTGATGGTGCACGTTGCGCCATTTTTACATGGCACTGGCGCACAAGGATGCTCGACAATCTCACATCGAGCGCCTGATAATCCCTCGGGACATGTGCAACTAAACTGTTCCCCGCCAATATGATGACACGTACCACCGAACAAACACGGTTCGTGAGTTCCGCAGTAATTTAAATCTGAACATTTGTGAAGAGACATTTTTTATTATGTCGATGTTAGTCGTTGGTTGGTTATATCAGTCGGAAAGAACGAAACGAAAGGAGGAAAATAAAGCAATCGTTAATTAAAAATCAAATTCTTGTTCAACAGATGATATCATTTTATCGTGGATAAAAAAACATCAAAATAAAAAAGAAAAGCAAAAGTAACAAATGCTTTCGATCTTCATTGTATCTTTGAATTCTTTTTGGTTGCGATTTCTTATTTTTTTCGAATGTTTGTAGCGAACATTAAATTAATTTTATTATTTTTTCTTGCCTTCATTTTGAGTTGATTTTGTTTGCACGAAAATTATTCTACTTTCAGACTAATTAAGTTTATTTTTTTCATTTCGAAAAACTTCATTTCTTAGTTGAAAAATCTAGATCAAGTGAATTTAATTTTAATTTTTTACCGACGGTTTATTCAGTTGAAAAGCAAAGCAGTGAACTGTTGTCGATGAATTAGCAGTCTCAAAATAACTGAATTTCAATTTTCCATCTGATTTCATAATTTAATTACACCCAACTTAAGTGTTGCAATTAAAATCAATGAATTCGTGGCCTATTAATTGAATGATTAAATAGCTTTCTGCTGCTTTTCATTTCTTCTAAACATGGTTTCGTAACAAGTGTTTTCCTCATTGAATTATCGAGAGTATGGAAAGTTAAGTTAACATTACCGTGCTATTCAAAAATTATGTTTTAAAACACTCTTCAAGTCAGGGGTTTATTTAAACATTACGACACGTTCATTGTAAAATAAAATAACTAAAAATATGAGAAAAAGATTTGTGTTGTCAATTTCAAATGAACCCATCAGCTCGTATCATTGGAAACTCGACCGCCTGTGGAATATGTGAAAACTTTAGACCAATTTCATGATCATCTATAACTTTCACCCTCTCACTCCATTTCATCAAACAAAACAAAAAAATTAAACAACATATGAGCAGAGAAAACATAAGAGAGATTTATGATTTATCTCATTAATTCGTTCTATTGTGTCGATGTTTTTTTCATTGAATCTGGGTTACAACTTACAGCATCATGTGAATTATTTTTCCGCACTTGGCTTTTGAGTCATGTGTCGAAAAGTTTTCTTTTTTATCATACTATCGATTGAAATATAAAAAAAGGGATGACACAATGCCCTAAATACTTGACAGAATGTTTGTGAATCTTACGATGTTCATGTAAATATTTTAAGTCGATGTTCACCCTTCTTCACTGCTGCAACATAATATTTCGTATTCACTTACAGAGGGGTTGATGAGGTTGCATAAAGAATTGAAAATTAAACCGATATAAATAAACTATTACAGTTTATAAACTATTAACTTGAGTAGGGGCAATCTCATGTTCATCGTTGCACATGCTTTCAATTTCCTGGTTCATGAAGAATCAACAAAGCACAAAAGGCGAAAAAGAAGTAAAATTTCCCTCGTTTTAAAAATTTGATCCGCAACAGTAATAACTGATTACGGTCGAAGTACTTGAAAATCATGTGTTAAATTACGTTAAGGAAAGGAAATTATGAATGCAAAGTGTGCGATTGCTAACAATCACAACTGTATAGGGTGAGATGCGGCTTTTTGATTAACTAAGTATTAAATAATCCCATAAGTTTATTAAAACACTTGTTGTGTGATCGTTTCACATGCAACGTTTCAAAACTTCTACACATGTTAATATTACTCAACGAAATCGTCGCAAACATCACGAAAGCAACAAACGACGAAAAAAAAAGATCAAAAAGATTCTAATTTGTGAATTGTCATTGGATGATTAAATGATTGTAAAGATGAATTAGTTTTTGTCACTGACCTTTGTCACAGAGTATTCCACCCCAATTTTTATGACATCTACACTCCCATGGCTTTTCACAGAAGCCATTTTTACATCCTGGATATGCTTGACACTCATCACATATCGCTCCTTTATAGCCGTTACGACATTGACACACACCTGGTCGTTCACACGTTCCATGAACACATCCGTTCAAACAGATTGGCTTGTCGCAGTTGTCACCACTCCATCCTTTCTGACAAACCTTTTGACCTTTATCGCCACAAGTGTAGTGACCAAAGAAGTCATCGCGAGGCTTACACAACACAGTGCAAGTTGAATTATAATAATGTTCATCACATATCACACGAATTTTATATCTAATACGAGCATTTCTACTCGGTTGATTACTATTGTCTAAGCTTATCCAATCGGATGGTGGTGAAATTGTTCCCGAATATGCCACTTCCTCGATAATGGCTGGAATGTTCATGGGAAAAGAAAAGAAAGAGTTTCATTATCCTTTATTGTTATCTAAGAAGTCTTTGAAACTTTAAAGAAGTTAAAAGTGATTCAGATTTTTCCTTTTAACTTCTTTAAAGTTCTTCCTCTTAAAACAGAAAAAGAAATATGAATAATAAATCATAAATCATAATTTTCCGGTAATTACCTGGTGACGAAGAATTCCTGTACATGTCCAATGCTTGGAGAATTAACGAAAATGATTGCTGATGAGATTAAATTGGTGATGTGTTTACGTACGCAAAGAATTAGTTCGATGATGTTTTTTTTTTATGATTTTGAAGTGAACAACACAAGACGAGAATATAAAATAAAAAAAGAGAACCAAGAATAACAATAAGAAGATCGTAATGGAAAAATCAATTAACAATTGAACCCAAACTAATTTGATTATCACGCTTAAATTTTCTTAACACGAAAAAGAGTTTCAACGACCAAATCAAAAGCGACCACAAAAAACACATCAAAATATGTTGTTTTTTAAATGAAATAGATTTTTTTTCTTTCCTAAACTTGACCAAAAAAATAAAATAAAAGAAAAAGAACTTCAGTGAAGAATTTTATGGTCGTTAATTATGTTCATTAGAAAAGAACCATTTAAGTCATAAAGAAGAAGAAAAGCAAAACTTACAGTCCAACGAAATGTGAATGGCACGGTGATTGTGGCAAACTTGTGACCATGAAGCTCAAAGCTGGAACTCCCAAGAATCTTTGTTGTACTCTCGCCGAACGGACAGCCGAAAGATTCAACTCCACCAGGATACTCCTTGAGACACAACCGAAATGCTGTCGTGCATTTGGGGCAATCAATAATCTTTGATTTCTCCTTCTCGTTACTACCACAACAAGAGCCATTCATCAGATGATTCTTGTCATTCGAAATTTCCAGAATTTTAAGTTCAAAGGAGCCAGCGCCGTTTATCTTTTAAAATCAGAAAGAAAGAGAAGACAAAAATGAATATAAAAGATTAACGTTGGAGGTTTTCAATTCGATTTTTAAAGTCGTGTTGATGATTCGCTTTTATATTATGTACAAACGTTGTTCAGTTTTATACTTTTTGGCGGATTATGTATTTATTTATTTAATTTAATATTCAAACATTTTATTTTACTCGTTTTGTCTTTTCAAAGTTGAGACTGTCACGGGCAGGTAGGTAGGATGTGTTTTTATAGTTCTCGATGATTGTTAGGCTATTAATTATCGGTGATTAAAAAGAAGCTACAAGACTTGTCACACACAAAGTCCCGAAATAAAAAGAAGAAAAAAAAATGATAGAAACAAATAAAAACAAAGATCAGAGAATCAAGCTGCAAGTAATTTTGTGTTTATTTGAATAGAGAAATGGAATGAAACGACCAGCGCGACCATTAACTCATTATAAAAGGAAAAGAAAATATTTTCTCGTGAATTTCTCGGGAACTATCGGTTTATTCAAACACATACCATAAGGTAGAGGCATTGGTCGCGGTTCGTAAAGAATTTGACGTTGTTTAGTTTCTTAAACAAAACGCGACATGTCTTTACTTGACTCTTTTCTTTTTGGATTCTTCTGAAACTTTTTAGTTTCGGTTGTATGGCAAGCAACACTGTTCTGCTCTGCTTTTAACATATTTTGCTTCGGCTGCTTTTAGGGGGACTGTTTTTATATTTTATTTATTTTAATTAGGTGGGAACATGAAATTTAATTGGACGATTTTTTTTTTGAATATCTTAAGTATATTTATACATATTGGACGCTTTATATTTTGTGTATTTCTCCAATTTTTTTCCTTGTTTGTTTCTTTTGTTGAATAAAAACGACATCAGAATAAAGAAAAAAAAAGAATTCTTAAGTTTTATGTTAAATATTTCCACGAAATAATTAGCTAGTTCATCTCGTTAAAATGCTTTCTTGAATGTGACTAAGTGAATAAAATTTTGCGTTTATTTTCTCGTGAATGCATTAGAATTTCTTCATAACAAAATGCAAAAAATAAAAACTTTTCTCATGCTTAATAAGATGAGACGTTATCAACATTAACCGTTTAAGAAGTGCTAATATGAAAATTTATTGACTTCGATTTAATCTCACGTTTCATTTGAATATCATCATAGTCTTAAAGAGACCAGCAAAAAGAGGCGGAGAATGAAATCAAAGACAACAAAACCAGAAATATTTATGAGAATATCGCTTTGCGTGACGTGATATCGCTGCGAGGCGCACACACCGAAAATTTATTAAAGAGAATATGAAACAAAGACGCTTATCAGATCGACCTATTTATCAGAATGGGTGATGAACATAAAAAGAGATGTCATTGACTGAAGGCACGCATATATCGCATCTCAACCAACAACCACATCATTCCAACGTCCAGTCGTTAAATAATGAGACGCTTGTTTCATTTGGGTGAAAAACTCTTTTTTTCTCTTAATTTGATTTTTGTCAAAAAAGAAAAAGAACAAAAACCGGTCACGCGGTTTGTTGAAGCACTGAGATTTATGGACTGTCCAGATGGCACTAAATTTTTCTTCGACTTGTCTTCTTGCGCTTCTCGATGAATATTTTTATTTCTCTTCTCGTTGTCGCGGTTGAAATTGTTTCTGATTTCTGTCCTTTGTGGGACTCGTTCTCAGAGTCTTTGCAACTCAAAAGGCAATGAAGGAATGTTCCGTTTTTAGCAGGTTTCTCATCGTTGAAATCTTTCCGATGGTTTTTTTGTGTCTTTGTCTCAATCCCATCTCTTCACACTGAGGTTTTGTTATCTCGCGAATTTCTGTTTTCTTATTCTTTTAAATTCTGTGTGAAGTTGGTAGCATCAACCAAAGATGTCATGCTGCTTAATTCTTCAATTTTTTTTTCCGACATATTTCCATCAATTTATAATTTCTTGACAATATCTTTCGGAATATCGAATTTGATGCTTGAGCACGAAACTATTGACCAATAAACATGATTCAATGAGTCATAAAAATCGCTTCGTCATTGACATAAAGCGTTTAAGAACGCGTCATGACGAGTTTAGAAATTCCAACGGATGAGATTTCGTAATTTTGCGCTTTGCTATGGTCTTATGGCAGTCTTAGGAAAGGAAGACTGGAGACAATAAAATACATTCCACATCTTCATTTCTAATACCGTCCATGGCTATCTGATAATCGACAGTTTAACTTGTCTTACTTTTTTCTTATTTCGCATTCTTTCTCTCTCCCCTGACTTTTCTCCGTTTCTTAATATTTATTTTATGTTAAAACTTAAAATATTGCGTTTTTTTTTCATTGCGATTCCTTTCGAACGGGGAATGAGAAAAAAATCGACGAGTATAAAAATGTATAAAATTAAAAGCAAAAAAAAAGTTTTTTTAAACTTTTAATGAGAGAATCGAGGGAAGGAAGAACAAAAAAAAATATTCATATTAGAGAATGAAAACCAGTTTGTTCATGTATTTCACAATACAGTAAACGTCCGAGATTGTGAGGAAAATTGCATCTTTGCATGTTTTCTCGTGACCTGTGCATGACTCGAATCGTGATCACTTCGACGAGATTAAAGCTTAAACACTTTTAATTGTTTTTAGCGCCTTAATCTAACCGATAAAATCTTCACGATTTAGTTTTTGTACACCCGCTGCTTTATATTCAGTTTTTGTCGCAAAGAGTCATCTTGAAATATAACTTTATTAGGCTTTAGGTTAAGATTGAACTTCCCATAGCGATAGAGAAATACAAAAACTTGTGAACACAAACTGCGATAAGACTTTTCATGTTGTGCGGGGTTTTTCTAAGGTTTTTTCTTTTCCTTTCTTTTTGCTAACAGGAAAAACTTTTATCAACAACAGTAAAGACTGAAAGTTTGTTTGAATGATTTTCCCATGATTACTTCGACCATTTTAAATTAACATTTTTCAATTCATGTTTCACAATTTTTTTTTGTATTTCAAATCTTACATGTTCGAGTTATTTTCAGTGCACCTGAATAGCGTGATTTGTTGGGAATTGTAACTCGATTATGGCGGACTCTCCCTGTACGCGATTGACTGTTGCTTCTTATTGTATTCCGTAAACGTTACTCTTTTTCCCTTACTTTTTCTTATAAGATTCCACATCGATTCAAATCGAAAATATAAAAAAATTAACAAAAACACATCGCATCGAAATAAAAAAAAGTTCACTACTACTTGTTGAGTTATTATTGCTGGCTGAGTATCTTTTTTATTGTTTCTTATGGTTATTTTTTATTTCGTTTAAATTAAATAGCATCATGAATGCTTTTTTGTGTGCTTTTCAGTTTATTTCGTTCAACTTTTTTCTTTTCAAACATCGCGTTTTTGAGCCTTGATGTCGATATAGCAATTTTAACTGCTTTTGTTTTTATAATGCAACAGAAAGTCTTGAAGAGTGAAGAAGGAAGAAGAAAATCCAACTGCTGTCCATCCATCTTCCGACTTTAGCGTGTTATGCTTTTAATCCATGCTGCCAAATGGCTGTGAAAAAGATTTTTCATTCAACTTTTTTAAGTTGAAGGATGAAAAAGGAAAAGATTACCAAATGCTTGATGATTTGTATCGTATTCTTATTTATTGTATTGTCAACATTATTATCAATTAATCTTTCATCTTTCTTTTTCACTCATTCTTCGTCATTTTATATCGATGAGTTGGGTCTTTAAAGAACAAAGTAACCAATACAAAATGACACGATCCGGTAATTGATAACAAGTTTATCAGGTTAGCGATGCTGGTGAAATGAAAAGCAAAAGCCATTTGATATCAAATCGCAATGTTCTCACATAAAATTCATGTCTTACATGTAGCTTTATGGTTTAAGTTTATGATCATAAAAGTTATTATATTTTCCAATGCATCATCGACAGTCGAAGAGTTCTTAAATATCAAGAAGTGAATAATTTCAATGTACATAAGAAGATTATGTCAATTATCGTTTTATTATACAAAAATCTTCAATTAAACGATTTTAATCATTAAACTACACTAAATACTTTTAACAACGTTGCTTAAATCATTGCAAATCTTGTTTTCTTAGAATTCCCTGCATAGACTGTTCAATAACTCTCGGACTGCCTCTCTATCTCTCGTTCAGTCGTCCAACTTCCCTTCCAAGATTTTTCACCGTCAAAGATTTATTGCAATACGAATGAGAAGACTTAAGAAATCACCTTCTTTATAAGAGATACCTTATCTCTCCGTGTTCAAAAACAAAATTAAATGCAGAAAAATTATATATTATTTGCCGTGCTGCAGCATTTCATTTTTTTATTTCTTCTACTGCCTCTTACTTCGCTTGTTTTATTTCTTATTTCATCTTTTAAGTTTTTTTTGAAGCGCTCTCATGAAGAATCAAAGAAAGAAACGATTCGGCCCGAAATCGTTGTTTTGCAAGAAAAAAAAACATAAACGAACAAAAAACTTGAATCGATTTCTGCTCTTAAAACATCATTTTAAAAGGCAAACGAGACTCGTGCAATTGCCAGTAAGATGAGCGATGGTATATTGTTTTTTTTCTGGTTCGTCGGTACTCGCGATTTTGAGCTCAAAGAGAAGCTTTTAGTTTTAATTTTAAATTCCGTTTTCTTTCTTTACTGATCACTGCTATGCGCTTGTTGAACGATTTTCAATTTTTGTGTCTGATACTTCTACTGCCTGTTGATATGATTTCATTATAGATGATCCGTGTTTATGAAGTTGAAGAAATAAAGAACTGGAGAGAAATAATAAAAAAACGACATGCCTCAAAGCGAACGGGTGAAGACACAAAAACAGCTCTAAAGACTTCACTTTGTTGCTTCCTATACTCATTCTTTTAAAGTGTTCTTTCATATAATGAGTCAATTGGTGGTTTGTTAATTAATCTATTGTGTGGTGAACAAACAACAAAAAGTTCACTTTAAGAGAGTAATAGAGCACTTGAGGTTTCAACTTTACCTCCTTCTACATTATTTTTTCAAGTTGTTGAGGTTCTTTTCAATATCGTTTGGCTTTCTTATGATTAACAGAAGAGCAAATAAATTAATTGGATTCGAAAAGATGATTTTAAGTTATGCAGTCGGGGGCAAAAGAAATGATTTCTGATTTTAAACACGAACGAGAATGAGAATTGGCTTTCTTTCTACACGAAACAACTTTTTGTTTTATGTTCATTTTTTTTCTTATATTTTTTATCAATGAAAATTGTTGGAAAAACGAGTTCAAAGAAGAACATCGAAGAAGATAGAGAGAGATGGAGAGAAAGGGAGAAGAAGAAAAAAATAACCAACAAACAACAAACAACATAATTCTGACCCCAAGGGCGATTTCCAGAGCTCTCATGGCATCGATGAGTTGAGTTGAAATGTGCAAGGAAAAAAAGAAAGAAAAAAAAGCCCAAAGACATGTTTCGCGAAACAACCAACAACTGTTCGTTGGGGTCAGAAAGCCACAAACTGAACAATATTTAAAGGGACTTAATGAAGCTTCGTAAGTGACGTTACAAAAAAGCTTTTGCTTTCTTCCTTTCCCATAAAATCATCAACATAGTTGGAAAGGCGCCAATATCTCAAAACTATCGATGACTTTACAGCTTTGTTTTGAACTTTTTTTTTTGTTAGTGCAATAGATATTAGAACTACTTGTTTTTTAATTAAACGTCAGTGTAATGTTGAGCTGCAATCTTTGCCTTAGTTTCGCCCTAAATAACAATCATTGCAGTTGAAGGCGGAGAAAACACTGGAAAACTATAAGGTTAGAGTCCAAAGTTTCTCTATTGTATAAAGTTGGTGTATAAATTTTATAAAACAACGTTATTGTCTTTTCATACTCGATATTTAGCATGGCCGATGGAAAATAATTCATTGCGCAAGCTGAAAATCACATGAGAAAAAAAGTTTTAAATAATTCCTTTTCTCTTCAAATGTTTCTTTTTTTAATAAAACATTTTTTGAACTTCATCAATAAACTTACAATCGAAGGAGTTGAACATCGTTATGAAGACTTTTTAATGAACGACTGACGTTCGTTTAAATAAGAAGAAGAATTCCAACAAACGCACAATTCTTCAACCTTCTTAATTAATTAATTCGATTAATGATTTCTTTTTTATTTGCCCAATCGACGTTGCTACGTTATAATTTGTCTTTTCCTTTTGTGTTTGTTATTTAAGTTTTTTTATATGCTTGTTAGAATTTCTTGAATGGACGAAAGATGTAAGAAGCAAAGTGCTCACTGCAGAGGGATTTCATTTCACATTTCACGTTCATATGGAAAAAGCATTTGAACAAAAGGCTCCGAAAATGAAATAAGAATCAAGTCTTGAGGTCTATTGGTATGTGAAGGCTCAACATCAGGAATGTTTCCATTCTTCCGCTGCCATCAAAAGAATGAATAAAAAAAGTTTAACGAAATGTTCTCTTTATTGACGGGCTGTTTGCTTCTTCCAAATCTCACCTTTAAGTGTGTGTATGTGTCTTGTGTATTGTGGCTAATTCATTTTCATTTCATATTATTCATGGCTCATTTTTTCGCTTCTAATTGGGAATCAAAGAAAACAATTTTATTATTAGTCTTATTGCTCAATTTTGTGAACAGAACACAACATCGACGAACTTCGAGAGTTTTTTATTCTTCTTTTTTTGATCTTTCATGGTTTAGAATTATCTAAACCTCCAACCTATAAACTATACTTATGTTACGGCTTTAACTAGCCACAAATTTACGGATACAACGAGTGCTGCGTCTTTCGCTCTCTCTTACTCACTTGTATCAAAAGGAGAGAAGTTTAACAGCAACACAAATGAAGCAAGCATAATGAAAATGAAATCATAAGAAAACCATTAGAAGATTGAAAAGAAAAATTCAAATTTGATGGAATGACTAAATAGTTTTGTTGCCATTCAAGCATTCTACGTATTTCAAACTTCTTCTTCAATTCCATTGTATTTCCATAAATCAGAATGATTTGGAAACGTTTCATTTGTGTGCCCGTAGATTCTCGACTTTTTATTTTCTTCCTTCTTATTCAGGTGGGCACCGAAAAATGAATTCTATTACCCGTAAAACTCGCGGTGGTAATAAGTAGTTTAGAAGCGCAGACGTACTATTATTACCCGTACGTGGATGAAAAGAAGGGAAAAATTATGGAAAAATACTAATTATCCGGTAGAGCGAGCTTATTAATTGAATTTTCTGTCGAATTTCCTATTGAACACATTTTTTCCGCTTATTCAATTTCACGAGCGAGGGAGATTGGAAAAAAAGGAAAGAAAAGAAAAAAAAGTTGTTTCTTAACTTGACTTCCCAACAATTTCTTTCAACATTTTTCTATTCTTTCTTTTCAGTTAGTGTAATCTGGTTAAACATTAGACATGCCAAATAGGTAACAAATCGATTGATTTTGAATAAGGATAAATTTGAAATGTGTGCGCGGTGAAATGTAAAAACATGTTCATTACACTTCGCTCCTATTTTGATACAAAAACACGATCGAGATCATGACAAAGTCGCGAACGACGGGAGAAATAGTCATTTAATATTTCTTTTTCAGTCTTGTTTTCGTTCTCATGCCTAATTTATTGAGTGACAATCGAATGGAAGAGTTAAGTGGAGGGCTTAAAATTCTCAAATTAAACAGCAAGAGGCTTTGATTTTATTTTAGGCATAAAATCACATTTGGAAACGACGATCACAGCTGACGTCGCTCGCGATTGAAAAACGAGAAATAAATGAAATTTGTCGAAAAGGAAATTAATAATAACTAATAGAGATACACAGTTTATGATTATTATTAGATATTATAGGTAGATGCTACCTGTTGATGATGTCTTTCAATATTTTTTTGTATGTTTCTTCCCTCTACTCTCTTGTCTTGTCTTGTTTGTTATTTTCTGAATGACTAACATATTAAATTTTAATAAGCCATCAAATTGGTGGCACCGCCCACTGTTTAAAGATAATTTATAGTTTTTTCACACGTTCTTAAATTTATTTATGATAAAAAGCGCTATAATAATCTTATGCAGATGGCACCAAAAAAGAATATTTATTTATTCTTTATTTTGTTTTATGAATAAAAGAGAATAAACAAGAGTTTAATTCAATTAACATATTAAGAAGAATCATTCAATATGTCGTCTTTAACACAGCATCAAGCTGGGATTTGCATAATCTTATTAAATGCACTCATCGATTAATAGCTGGTAAAAGTTTGTTTATAATTTTTCAAGATAGAAAAATGTGTTCGATTAATAAAATTTAGTTGGGCACCTGCCGTGATATTATTGTTTCTTCACACACAAGAAGAAGCAGCTCGCGGCTAGTGAATGAGTGGAAGCCTCTAAATTAATTTTCTTACTTTGTGGTTTGCGCAGACGCTTTAGGAAGCCAATGGAAGAAAATTATGCGAATATGAATTGCTCATAAATTTATAATTTGTTGGGTCTAAATAGTGGATTTAATCGAAAGCGTCGATCCTTGAAAATCAAATTAAGCATTAATTTAATGAACAATATTTTCAAATTAAAAACATTTTCAGAAGTTAATTTTCCAACTCAATCATAAGATTAAAAATTTATTTCGGTAAATTTTGGAAATTGAGTTTAAATTAACATTTTACAATGTCTCCAAAGTTCAAAGTTTTATGAGAAATTATTCCAAGACTACAAATTAAAAAACTCATTTCAAAATTAAGAATTCTTTGCTTAAATGGATTTTTTTTTTTGATAAAAATTAATTCACCGTTGAATTGAAATGCCCTGGAACCATAAGTGGCAGCCGAGAAATTTCTCTCTCGCAAAACAAATTAACTCAGCATGCAAATCAATTAGTAATTTGTCCACAACAGTAAGCAAACAGAGTAGCGAGCAGGCAAATTTCCAAAACGATATTGTAATGTTTTAATTGACTCATTATTCGATCAATTATCATACAAAAGGCGATTTAGGAAAGAACAATCGAATGAAATTTGAATAAGAAACCAGCCGTCTTTTGCTTCTCCTTTTTACCTTCTCGCACAAGATGAAACAAACCAAAGCAAAGTAAATGCGAGGCCGCATTGAGATAGCTTTGTGGGAAAATATCGGTGATTTAATTGTGTTAGAAGCCAGATGCTTATGAAACATATACGCAAGGCGCTAAGCAACTTTTGCTCTCATTTCGATGAAACATTTATCAATTTCTTATTGCACCGTTCAATAAGATATATTTTTCTCCTTTTCAATGCATTGCATTGCATTGCTTTATAAATATTAAAGAGAAAAAAATATAATCTAGATTATCGTCGAAGCTAGAAAGAAGAATTTTCTATAATCAATCTACTTTGAAAAAGCATTTAAATGCATTCATGTGCCTTGTAGCATTAAAGAACATGTGCTTTCTTGCTTCGCTGCAAGTTGGAGCTTCTAACATCAATAGCTTCTTTCTTTATATCAATTATTCTGTCAGCGTGAATATGTGTGCGTCCCAAGGCAATTTCTGCGAAGGCAAGTTTTCCACCTGATGCAAGCGAATTGCTTTAGTTCTCTTGTGCAACTCGTAAAAGAAATAAAGAAAGAAAGATGAAAAGAAAGAAAAAAAGACTGCAAAATTCCAATCAACTTATTTTTCAGTTCGCTTTATCTCTTTTTTCTTTTCTCATTCCTTTTCTTTCCGTCTGCTTCGCATTCGTTGCCATCGATGTTCGAACATATATTTCGCCGAAAGGCACCGTGTGAGAAATATTTTGCATTTAGGACTTCAATGTACTTATACGTACAGCGTTTTATTATATGCCAATAAGGCATATTTGTAATGTTCGGTTTAATTTTTTCGTGTTCAATCTTTCACCATAGCCTTTTAGAGAACTTGAGCTGATATTGTTGGAAGTCACTGCTCGAATCGATCGTTCGGTGTATTTTTTTTTGTTTTTATTATATTTATTTGGAAGTAGAGGAGATCTTAATTAAGTTCTACTTCGTATGCCAACCATCTAGGTGTACATATATGGAACTGCAAAACATGTATCAAAAGCACAAAATCGATCCAATTTCGTTGCTTCTTTGATTAGAGGTTCAAGTTTACGGTGAAAGAGGCTTTGGAAAGAGGCTTAAAGCCAAAAACCCGTTGTGAATATTTAATCAAAAACTATCTCTACCTAGCGTGTTCTTCTTTCTCCCTCTCTACATTCAAATGAATTTTTATTACTTTTTTTTCGCAATAGATCTTATAAGCACACATTTTCATTTTGATTCGTTCTTTTTTTCATGTATGCATAAATTCGAATGAGGCTAGAGAAGAGTTAACAGAAAGATTCAAATCATTATCACAACAAAACAGTTGTATGATGTTGCTTATGAAATCATTCGGAATAGTACAGAAAAACACAAAAGAATGTACAGAAACGTTATGCGCTTAAATCTCGTGTCTTATTGGAAAGATAAAACTGTTATCTATGAAACAAGTCATTCCAGAAAACTGTGGAGAAAATAAAACGCTTAGATAATTTGTAGCTTGTTGTAGCATAAAATGAGAGAACAATTATCAACTTGTTATCAATACTTAGCATAAGCCATGAGCGTAGTTTTGTTGTGGAAATTTTATCTGCATGTATAACAAATTTTTGACACACACTTCTGCTTTTAGAACGACGCTTTCTGAACTTGAAATAAAAGATTTGGTTGTGATAATCACTGGCATGGCACAGATGTGACTAAGCAAAAAAATTTAAATTTATTACTTTGACAATTATGTAAATTCGGGAAGAAAGTTAATGATTAATGATTGATGCCATAAATTTTGTTGATTTATTTGTTATAAGATCAGATAAAATAACATTTTTGTGTATTAAATTGTTTGATTTAAAAATTGAGTCGTTCTTCCTTGGTCACAAGAAGAGAGAGAAAAAATAACATCAAAGAATTAATTCGGCACTTAAATATTTTATGTCATTTTATGGTAGATAATTGTAGCGAGCATAGATAAGTGAAATATAATTTTATTACAAAATTTTCCGATTTTATATTGCTTATAAATCAGTTAACAAGATGATTAGAAAATTAAGTTTTAGTGTCGATTCTTCTTTTTACTTTTAAATAAATATTTAAAGAAATACTTTTTTTAATACTTCCGTAAGAAATTTTAATTTATTTTCCATTTATGAATGAATGATATCTTTCATAACTCTCTGCATTTTGTATAAATTTCATGTTATATTCATCAAGTATTATCATGAAGAAAATAATACAAAAAAAAAGCAGCAAAATAAAATGAAAATATAATGAAATAAGTTGAATTAAAACAGACTTTTAAGAATTATTCGCCATAGCAGTGTCAAATTCAAGGCTGGAGAAATTCGAAGCTGAGCGGTGTTGTGTGACGTCTGACGATAGAAAATAAGTTGCAAGAAGAATTTTGTAGGTATAATGTTTGCACATGAAATAAGACAAGACGGAAAGGAAAGAAAAGTCGTGTATTGAAGTGTTTAACATGCAGAAAGCAAGTGACTTATGGTTAAAGGAAAAATTTGCATGTTTAAGGCTTGAGAATCATCATCAGTAAACTCTCTTAGCATTTTTATCACGTAGTTGAGATAAAAACGGTTTAAAAAGCAACAAACGAGAGGTGTAAAGTGTTCGTGGTATTTTTCAAATATATTAATAAGAAAAATGACGTGTTGCTTCCAGCTGTGGACAAAATTGCACAAAATATCTTTCTGAAGCTTTGATGCAATATTCACATGTAGAAAAAAAAAGTTATTAATGTAAAGTATCAACTTACGTTTGGAACAAGATCACAGATCACAATAAAAATGAGCATTCCAATTCTAATCCATAAATGTTTATTTTCCATTCTCATCTTAGTTTAATCATAGTTTGTCTTCCTGTTCCTGTTTGATATATTGTGTCCGTTGGATGTGCAATTTGCTGCTTGCTGTTGCTATTATGTGACTCTCTTCATCCATGTATTAATTGGCAAATCAATTCTTAACTTCAATGCGATGACATGTTTGACCATTACGTGATACTTTTTTGCTTGCAACTCTGATCGTTTAAATTTCTTTCTATAAATGTCTATCTATGTAACAATTGTATGGAAACATCTTTTTGCGCACAGAACGGAAGATGCACATGAGAACGAACTATCAATTAACCGAATATAATGCAATTTATGGTAAAAATGCATTTTCAATATTCAATTTTTTACGCCGAAGAGCTTTCGCGTTTTTTTTTTGCGCTGCTATGTTATGTTGTTTCCTTCTTTCCACAATGTGCATAAATTTTCATTTTTCCACACGTTTTAAGATTTAATTTTATTTTAATATCTTTTCTGCGCTGTTTGCTTCGCTTTTTTTATTCCTCATATGCTTTATCTGTGCATAAAACCCTTTTGCACATTCTTCAAAAGAACTTCTTACTTCTTTGCTTATTTTTTCGTTTTCCGTTTTTATTTTTTTATTCGACTTCAAATAACATTTAATTCGTGAACAGCGCACAGGTATTCGTCGGTAATGTATTTAGTTTGGAGGATGAGATGATCATGCTTCACACATGAAATACTCGATTAATTTTACGACAAAAACTCCTTAAAGCACAAAATTGCACAATTTTTCTTTTGCACGTCTTCTTTCTCTTATTTGTTGTCTTCAAAAGTATTTAAGATAAACGGTGGAGAAAAAGTTAATTAAATTTTTCTTATCCTTCGAAGAATTTCACGAGAACTTAAAATTAACAATAAAAACTAAATTAAATGATTTAAGCCAATTTTTTTTTTTGCTTATCGCTGTTTTCACTCTTAAAATTTTTAATTCAGTTTTTTTCTTGTCTTCTTTTTAGATAATTTTTTTTTGTGTGGAAAAAGATATATTTTTTAAAGTTGTTAATAAAAAAAAAAGCAGCAGCAGATTTAATATGCTGGATTAAATGTTCCCGCGAGGCTTACAACTGTGCAACCGTTCAAGAACAGCGATAAAAACAAACTGCTCAATTTTGCCAGCGGGAATAAAGCTTGAGGCTACGGAACAAAGTAAAGAAACTCTCTCTTCGGAATCATCTTCTCTCTCCGACAACAAGCAGTCGTTCATCGTTCAAACAGTCGTTCATCGACATCAATTCGAGAGAGAAATATGTAGTGCTTAGTTGATCAACAGCTTTATGGAGGGTCCGAAAAGATTCTCCCATAACACTCTAAACCAAACGCAACAAAATATATAAAAACCTAAAGAAAATATTAAACTTTTCATGGAATGAAATAATGTTTGAGTTTAACAAATATGAAGCGCTTTAGATTAATCACACATTATGCAATCAAATATTGATTAAATCTTATGGCAGCTCAAATAATTCTCAATTTCTCTTTTCAACTTCACAGACCATACGCAGTGATTCTGACTCATATCTACCGAATGGAACTTAAAGATATTATAGAAATGTAATAAACGTTAATAATGCAATTGCCGCGCGCAACGAAGGCAAGAACAGAAAAAAAACGAACGTTGTGAACAATGTAGATGCAGAATATACAAGTTAAATGCTCATAAAAGATATGTGCAAAAAATTGTAATTGTAACATCTTTTTCTTTTAATTCTTTATAGTTGCAGGGAGCGAGTAAATGTGTGGGAAGAAATCTCTTAATGTCTTCATTAAAATTTGCTTTTAGCAATTGAATTTTTATTATTTTGATATCTATTAAAGTAGTAAATTTTACAGATTCTTCTTTTATTACATTTAAAATGCTAGAGCATTCTTCATTCAATTGTTTATCTAATTGATGCATTCACATGAGAAAACCCATTCACGATCAAGTTCCACTGAAGTCAACTGCAAAATAATTTTCTTCACCATATCTTAGCCACGTGGTGGTAACGATACTATTTACTATATTAAAGATATAATTACAGTTTGCTTTACTTTTTGTTTTCCTTCGTTTCCACTCAATTAAGCAAAAGATCTTTAATAAAAAAATTATACAAAACCAGATGTTGGAATTTTGCTTTCATAAATTAAAAATCTGACATTAAAGTCGAATAACGTTGGAAGCGAGATATTAAAATCACTGTGAGAATAAGACGCTCGATAAATCGATTGAAAGCAACGGAGGAGAATAAAAAAGGGAGTAAACAACAAAATCAGGTGGAAATGCAAATGAAAGAGGCTGTGTTCATGTAATCAAATCAAGCATTAATAAACAATCATTAAATGACACGTTGACAAGATTATGATAATTTGAAAGATACTTAACTCCATGAGTGAAAATATTAATATTTTAATTACGGAGAAAGATACAAAGAATATTGGAGAATAAGAACAAGAAATAAAGCTTAATCATAATTATTATTAGCTGAAAAAATTTGTGTGGAAACGCATGAAGAGAAAGCTTCCAGACAACATCTACAAAAGTTTCAATACACAAACTTATTCATTGATTTTGTATCGTGAGAACTTTTTTGCAATGATTCATCAATTATTGTTGTATAAGGAATAAAGGCAAAAATACTTATGAAATTATCAAAAGAGTGACGAAATAAATCGTATTGCAATTCATAAAAGGCAGAAGCAGTTGACAAAGCGCCTTAAAAATATCTTTCAAGTTTTTCGACATTGAAGTGAAAGAAGTTGAAAGTTTTTATCAAGAAAATTGTTCCAGTTTTACAACATTAGCCGTAAAAGGGCGATAAAATGTGTTCGGAGGCAAGCTTATTAAACTTCAATTTAGTTTTTTTTCGTCTTCGTTTCTCGTACGATTAAACTTTCCGCTCTGACACCTGACAGAGTGACAGAATTCGAGGAGATTAATTTGATTGAATAAAAAGGTTTGTTAATAAAAACATATTTCGTGTTCATTCTTGAATCGCTCTGTTTTTAATTCCCTTGCATTATTCATAAATCGTTCGCAAAATTGCAAAAGCTTATGTTTGTTCGCTCAATTTCATGGCTGCCCTCTTAAACAAGCGTTAAAGTCTTCTGTACGCACATGTCATCTTATACATGTCAACATAAGACGATACTTTGATAATTGCCATATAAAATTTAAATGAATTATTAAAAAATTAATTAATTTTCCATCAAACTAACATATTTATGTTTAATCCTTTTCCATATTTATGCTGGTAAATTCATGTAAAATGAATCATTCCTTTTTCAATTTAAATTGAGATGAATGAATCTGAATGTGAATCATGAATCGAAGAATTCTACATTTTTTATTTCAGATAAATCACATTTTAGATTTGAAACATTTATCTTAGATTGATGTCTGTCGTGTGCGGTAAGACTTAAAAACCTCATGAATTATATTGTATCATTCATTATATCTTAAAGGCGCTTAACTTTAAAATATTCAGAATGAATCGGAAATGATTTGATATGATGTATTCGACATCAACTATCAGATGTTCAAAGCAAACAATGTCCTATATATTTTACTTTTCAATTTAATTTTATATAGTTTTATCTTTATGCGCAGCGAACATTTAAAATAGTTAAGCAAAACATCAAAAAAATTTCTTCTTTGACGGCTCAATTTAGTGATGTAACGGCTCAATAAGTCGGTAATTTCTTAAATAAGCCTTTAGTCCCCAGGGGTGTAAATCTGCTTGAACCGGACGAGACATCATTGTTGGGAACCCCTCTAGCAAATATATGAAAAAAGAAAAACAATTCTGATTTCTTTCTTAAATTTTTGATATTTTCTTGTTAAAAATCAAACTTTCCATACTAGAATGACATCTCGAAAAGCCAGTCATGCTGGAAGTTGGTATACGTCAAACCGTAAGTAAATTTTAATTAAAACAATGAATAAGATATCACAAATTTAATCTGAGTCAAACGAAAATATTTTTTTATTCACACATCATTCCTTTCGCGGTCTATTTCACACTTATTCTATTAAAAGTCATGTCAGTATCCTTGGTTACCTTGTTTATTCTGAAGAAACAAATTAATAAAGATAAGTATAACTCCGACGTTAACTTTTAAATTTTTATTTGCAAATGGACAAAGAAATGTCAGATATCGACACCCTGGAAGTTCGTATAAGTGAAATGAAACTTAAACTTCACAAGTCTTATGAAACATTTACGAAGGCCCATCAGGATCTTTCAAATATTTCTCTCGATTCTCTAAAATCTTCACCTGAAAATAAACATCTTGGAATATTAGCTGAATTGGAGCCAAAAGATGTTCAGGAGATTACAGAAGCTGGTTCTATCGATGAATGCCTTTCATTGTTGCGATTGAAAACAGAAAAGTTGGAGAATACTGAAGAAACATCATGCCCTGGTGTCAATAAGATGTTAAACTTAATGAATGAACTGCAAACTTCAATCGGATCCTTTCATGAAAACGAAAAAGAATTCTCAAAACTTTCTAAAGACGTTAACGATGAAATGATCTTGCTTGAAAATCGTATGAAGGACTCAATTAATCAGCTTGACAATCTTTGTTGAGCCATCGCAAAATTCTCATTTGAATTACATATGATTAAAAAAATATTTATGGCACAGATTCTTCAAATTAATCTAAATAAACAAAAAAACATTTCGTCTAAATTTTCATTTACTTGCACATCTAATAGGCACTGAGTTGAACAATCAATTAGATAACTGGCTAGGTCAAGCAGAGTTGAGTTATGGACCAGCAAGAGGAATCATCGCTGTAAATTAAAAAAAATAACACGACTTTGTATTATTTTATATATTTTGCTTGTTTCTTTTAGCCTCACGCTGGATATTCATATTCTGGAGAGACTGCAGCATGGGCATACCGCCAAATTAGTCCTGCAACCGTGAAGGTAATTAAATAATGAAATAAATTTTTTTTTTATTTAATCCCGTCATGAATTTTTTTAGAGAATTTTTATTCTTGGACCATCTCATCATGTACGTCTGAGAAAATGTGCTTTATCTGTTTGTAAAAAGTACGAAACACCACTTTATGATCTCAAAATTGACACAGGAATTGTCGCGGAATTAGATGCGACGAAGGAATTTCAATGGATGGATCTGAAAACAGACGAAGACGAACATTCGTTAGAAATGCATCTGCCATATATTGCGAAAGTTATGGAAGATTTTAAGAATGAATTTACAATTGTTCCAGTAATGGTTGGAAGTTTAGATCCAGACGTTGAACAAATGTATGGAGAGATATTTGCACCTTACCTTGCTGATCCACAAAACTTGTTTGTGATTTCATCAGACTTCTGTCATTGGGGAAGCCGGTTTCGTTATTCTTATTATGAAAAGTCGGCTGGACCGATCTGGAAATCGATCGAGAACTTGGATAAGAGCGTAAGAATTGTTAACGAAATGTAATTTTTCAAAGACTTTTATTTGCTTTGTCTTTTAGGGAATGGATCTTATAGAAAGATTAAATCCTGAACCATTCACAGCGTACCTTCGAAAATATCAGAACACAATATGTGGACGCCATCCAATTTCTGTGTTCTTAAATTCAATCACAGCACTGGCCAAACAAAATTACCAATTGAGCTTTAAGTTTTTGAGATATGCTCAAAGTAACAAAGTCACCCATAATAATGATTCAAGCGTTTCATATGCCAGTGGAAGCTTGATTTTTAATTGATCAGTATGTCGTTTGATTTACAATAACACGAAAGCTTTTAATTCTAACGAGATATCGAACAGAAGATTTATAAATATGCAATGATTGAAGGTCAATAAAATGTTTCTAGAAAATAATTAGAAAAACAATATCTTAGGAATATCAGAATAAATGTCTTGGAATAAAATTTTCACGATTGTCATTAGTATAAAGAATTAAATTTTTATACATCATCAATTTTCTTTTAAAAGAGCCAAAAACAATAAAGGAAAAGGCTTGAGAATCTTTACTAAGAAATTAAACGTTTCAAAATCTGTGGAATAAAATTTAATCTTAACAACTGTTGTGCTGAAGTAGAACCCTACAAATTGTTATGTTTTGAAAGATTATCGTGAAATGGCGTAGCGAAGTATCGCTTAAAAATAAAAAATTACTAAAAAACAGTTATAAGCAAGTACATAAAGTGAAGAAAAACTTTTTTGAATGTATATGGTTTATGAAAATCAAGTGAGCATCTCGTTGGCAGTGACCAAAAGTGCTTAAAAAGTGTTTTAAACTTTTTCCCAATCTGTCCTAAATAAAAAAAAACAAAGTAATTTTCAACAACAAACTCAATTTGTACATGTGAACTATTTGATATCAAGTGTTAGAAATAAGATTTGAAGATATGTGTAAAATTAGTAGAAGCATTAAGCAGGATTCACCCAGCCTCAAGTCATTGGCAATCCACAAACCTAAGCCTGAAAAGCGAAGGTAAGAGAAAGTAAACTTTACATCACCATCTTGACATGCTAGAGAAAACAAAGAATGATAAAGCCAGTGCAAATTAATATTAAATAACGTTAAAAAAGGAAGTTTGCAAATGAACTCTTCTTTTATATTTCCCATGTGTTGATTGCGTAGCTATTACATTGTGAGGAAATTTATTTTATTTTCTCTTCTTTCCTCACACTCCCTCACACATTCACGAATCGAAGATTCAATTAAAATAGCTTTTATTTAAGTGAACACTTTTGGAGTGTATATTTCAATGTGATCAATTTATTCTAGCTGTAGTTAATCGAGACAATTTTCAATAATTATCTTGTCTTCCTTCGTTATCGGAAACAAAAGTGTTGATCGCGTTTGTATAGCGAGCAAGTTGTTTACTACAATTTCTTTCCATTTTGATGTCCTTCGACTAACATTACGATGACTGCCCATAGTAACAACTTTAATATAAATTCAGACACAACTGGAGTGTTATTGTATGGAATACCACAAAAACCAGTTTGCGCATTTCGATGGTTTCAAATGATTGAAGTCCACAAAAACTGCATTTGTTTTGTATATAGTCGCATGAAGGAAATAACAGGAAAATCTTATTTTTAATGCAGAATTGAAGGCTTTGGTACTAAGCATTTGTGGTTTATGATTTATTACTACCGGTGAATTTTGTCACGAAAAGAACTTCGTTACCCGTTACGTCACATGTCAAACTACGTCATGCTAAATCTAAAATCCATAATCAATTGAGAATAAGAAACAAACTCAAACATACATTTGAATGAATAATGACTAAATTTTGTTTGTTGACTTTGCATGATAAAGAGATTTTAATGAAATATGCAAGGAAAGTTATTAATGTGAATTGAGTATCAGACAAGAGATTAATGTGTATACATACAAATAAAACACAAAAAAACACATTTTCTGCGAGCAGTACACGTGCCGCTAAGTTTTTCTTCTTCTTACGCACAAAAATACTCGGTTCAAGGCAATGCGAATTTATTCCAATCGAATCATTTTAGTTTTTTTGATCAAATCAAAGCGGCGAATTTTGTTTTGATGGTCGAATCATGTTAAATTATTGTAATAAACAAAGTATGTAAAGATCTTTAAGAGCTTTATTTGACTTTCATTTCACTTGACCGTTGCACTACATTAAACATTTATAAATCAAGAATTTATAAGCAATGTCAAAGTCTGATTAATAAAGTTGTTTACAATCATAAGAATATCTTTTTCCTACCATAAAAAAGATCTATTCGACTTATGGTTGTGTTGCTACTTTGCTGACGTCATTCATTGCTGAAATCAACACAAAAGAAAACCCTCCAAGAGAAAGATAAAAAAGAAAAGAGTTTTCATGAAAGCTTAAAATCTGCAGACGATTGTGTAAGTTTCGTTATCTTTAAATGACGTAGGTTTGTTATGACTAGCTTGATGATAATGTTTGTTTATTGATGTAAATAAACAAATTCATTCATTCATTAAGTTGAAAGTTGCCATTTTTGATTCCTTTGATGTTCTAAAAAATGGATTGAAATACTTTTCCCTTCAAGTTGTTCCTTTGAAAAGCTTCTTTTAAGCAACCAGAAAGGTTTCGCCTCAAAGGAAAAGGTTTATTGACTTCTCGACTTTAAATTCAAGTTTTTGTAAGTCTTTAAGTAACAAAGTTATGTTAGAAACATTAATTGAACATTTCTTAAATGGTTTTTTATCTTTTTGACATAACAAAGAACAACTATGCGTCGTAGTTGAACGGGATCCAAAAAGTTCAAAGCAAAAAACGAATATTTTTGGAACAATTCGTTTAAGATTGAGCAAAAATTCTTTTTCTTTAAACTTTTATCTTCGAAAAGATCTACTTTTGGCTTTGACATTTCTTTTGATCTCAATCTCTTATTTAAGATCTCCAAATACATTGACTGTTTGTATTGTAATTCAAATCAAAGTTTTCAATCATAAGACAATAATTGTTGAATAATTTAATGTGATAAATATTGATTTTTTGTGAATAAAAAAACAACGAACATCATTTCTAGTTTAAGTTACAATTATCAGTTTTATTTTTAGATAAAAACTTAGCCCAACTTGTAAATTATTTCTTCAATTCGTCATCCAAAGTGAGAATTTCTCTTAGTTTATCATTTTCTGGGAATAGTCATTAGTTTAGCAAACACTTCACAGATGTAGACACTTCTGCATTTCTTACGAGAAATTTTTTACGACTTCTTTGATAAGACACTCCACATGCTACTTGATTTTTGTTTAACAAAATTAGGATTTATTTTATCAAGCTATAAACCTTGTCTTATCAGTTGGTTAAACTTCCAAAAAAAGGCCTCTAATTGTCACTTTATAGCGATACAATTTAGTTCGGTTCTGAAATTGGGCGCAGTCACACTTCTTAAATTAAACCATTAAACCATTATAAAAGTTTGCTTTAAAATGAATCATTTCAATGTTGATGATCAATTCCAATGCAGTTTTGGATGTGAAAGTGCAAATCAGTGTCAATATGACAATAATAATTTTAATAATGAGCTTTTTCCGAATCAAGGATATTCCCAGCATCAGAACTATGAGTACAACAATTATTTTAATGACGGTGTTGTGCCTTCGAATTATTATTCTGAAAATACGAATCAACAACAATTGAATGACTATCAGAATTATAATAATGTAACAAATGCAACAGTGTTTTTCAATGAAAATGTTAATCAGAATTTCCCGAATGGAAATTACTTTATTGACAATGTTCAAACTTATCCACCATGTCAGGGCCCACAGCCTTGGAATTACGCACAATGTTACGGGTATTATGGTGAAGCTCCTTGTCAATATTCAAACGTTGTTGACATGGAAGATTTTATGTAAGTTGAATAAAAACTCGACTTCTGAATGACACCAGCATATGTCGTTCGAATCAAAGTCTTATCAATTATTAAACTCGATTTTCGAACAACTTAAAATTTTTTATTTAGTCTTCGATGCAAAATTATTGTCTAATCTGGTACGTGATTCTTCGATCATATTCGATAAGAGCAAAAGGCCTTAAAAAAGGGGAATTAACCCATCACAAGTTTTATAAATAAAAGCTTAAATAATCAATTTGTATTCATGACGTGGATGAAATTTTTATTTTGTATGAAAAGAAGAAGCGTTGAAATTTTAGAATTTTTGAATGTTCTAAGCGGAATTATTATTGAAAAGAAGAAAAGTTACTTAACTTGTTCAAGTTTATAGAGTTGTTTAATCTTCTCGTCTGATCAATAAGCAGTTTCTTATGGAAAATACAAACTGATACTTTTGAAACTGCATCAGCAGACATTTCTGCAAGCTCGTGAAGTTCAATAGCAGACACTTATCTTGAAAACTGTAGCGACATTGACCTCTTATTATACAGTAAATCAATCGACGATTGTCTTATCACGAATTAGCAACAAACCATTTTAAGTGAAAATAAAGAAGAAAACTTATAGTTTAAATTAATCACAATCACAATCAGATTTCAGTATTTCATTAAAGTGAGTGATTTGAAAATGATTGGATTAGTTGAAAAATATTCTGTCGCCGTTTTATAAAAAAGTTCTCAAATGAAGTTTATGAAAATGTAGTATTCTTCTAACAATTAATTGAAAGCAATTTCTGTCTTTTTGGGGCTTAATAAAGCATTAAAGACTTACAGGTTTCAATTGAGGGAAAAAATGATTGATGGATTTTTGATTTGATTATTACTGACAGATATCTGAGACTTGTATTAATAGCTTCGCTGTAATTCGGCATTGTGTTGGTGAATAATCGTAACCAAAAATACTTAAGATGCTCATAAATATTGCCGGCTTTTACTTATTTTATGATAAACAGTCTCGTACTGTGCCAATAAGTGCATTGTTATCAAATAATTGCATCTGGATATATTCGCAATAAAAGCCTCAATTTGAAATGAATTTGACAAAAGTTTTCAAGTGATAACGAACGACAGCTTGTTTACATTAGATAATTTATAAAACACTTTATGTTCTAAAATTATTTATACAATTGTTTAAAACATCTTTCTCAAACATTATCAAGTTGCTCTTGTTCCCATGAAAATTATATTAAAAAATAAAGTTCAAAACGCAACATCAAAAGCCTGAAGCACTTCAAAGAACGAAATTTGTTTCAAATATTTTTCTATGGGTTCGCTTGAAATAAAAAGGAAAAGAACATTTATTCAACTTTTCTTATACATTATAAATTACATTTTGTTTTATTCTTCTTGTTTCTAGGAACAATGAAAAACGTAAAGAAAAATCACGTGACGCTGCAAGATGTCGTCGATCCCGTGAGACTGAAATATTTAGTGAACTCGCTGGATCATTACCAATGAAAGCGGAAGAAGTTGAACATTTGGATAAAGCTTCTGTTATGCGTTTGTCAATATCGTATTTGAAAATTCGTAACATGCTGGAATTATGTAAGTTTTGAATTCTTTTAATTTTCCTTCATATGAATTAAAATTTTGATATTTTTCTTTCATTATTTTAGTCCCGAAAATAAAGAATTTGGATTTACCGATTGAAAAGGAAACTGGAAATGACGAATGTGAAGATGTTAAAAAAAATGTTTTATCAAAATATGTTGAAGACGATCAGCTAACAGTCAAGGCATTGGATGGATTCCTTCTTATTTTGAGTGACGATGGTGACATAACGTACGTGTCTGATAACATCAGTGACATTTTAGGATTGTCAAAGGTAATCAATTTCTATCTCAAACTGTCACAAATGTTCCTAAAATTGTCATTTACAGATTGATTTGTTGGGACAACCAATTTGGGATTACGCTCACGCATGCGATCATGAAGAACTGCGAGAGACATTAAAGGGTCGAAAAGCGTCACCATCAGAATTGTTAAGTGGATCTAAAACCACTGATTGTAATCCTTTGCTACATCGCGATATGATGTTGCGATTGAAGTGTACATTGACAAAAAGTGGACGATTCGTCAATATTAAAAGTGCTGCTTATAAGGTAAAGAAAAAAGGAAAACTTTAAAATATCTTTTTAACTTTTTTTTCTTATTTTTCTTTAGGTGATTCACTTAACTGGTCACATTGCGTTTAATGATGAAGGTTATCGTCAATTGTTGGCGATTGGACGACCTCTTGCACATCCTTCAAACATTGAAGTTCCACTTGGTTCAAGCACTTTTTTGACGAAACACTCATTGGACATGAAGTTCAGTTACATTGATAATCCAAAGTAAGAATAATATCTCAATAACTATCAAGAAGAATTGTCTTAAGCAAGTAAATTTCATTGCAGAATGTTTGATTTGTTAGGTTACAAGCCTGAAAATTTGCTGGGAAAATCGCTTTACGATTATCATCATGGTAGCGATTCTGAAAGTTTGATGACAAGTTTTAAATCCTGTAAGTAAAGAAAAAAATTAT